ACCTTTATCGCTTCAAAGCACAGAAGCCGTGCTGAAGAGTGGAAGATTTATGGCGGATGTTGGAATTTAATGAAATTGCAAAACGAAAATGTAACAAACTCGACTCCAGAGTGAAAGGGATGCCACTCACACACGCACAAAATGGCGGCAAAGGACAAACAACAGCTGCTGCTAGGATACCCTGAAAACACACTCTCTCCTACACCTTCTACACTGAGGCTACATTTTATAACATTTTCTGAGTTAAGTTATTAATAATTTTAGAAATCATAGAACAAGCTTGGATCTTTGTCGTTATAAAACCTAGGAAAAGCAGGAAAATCTACCTAGAAGTAAGGCTTTTAATCAGCTTTCATCACGCAAAACTTATTTATTTTCTGTGTATTTCCCCCCTGCCATCTCCGCTTCTCCACAAACTTTGTTTTTCCCTTCAGGCATCAACCCCTTTTGCTTGATTTCCCTTCTGTTTTTTTTTTTCTTGTTTAGATTGCTGTTGCTGTGACAGTCGCCAGCTCGTTTCTCTAATTTGAATAGCCATCGCTTTTTGGGGCTGAGTCAGCTTTAAGTTCCAACTGCAAGGGCATAAAGCGTTGCCTTCTAAACCCCTATTTCGCCGCCTGAAAACCCCGCCACCTTCCGCACACACGCAGTGCATTAACACGCACTTGAAAAGTGCAATCTGGCCGCAATTGGAATGAATACCCGGCCGCGAAATGGCGGCGGGTGATAAAACACGTTTTAATATCAGCGGCCGACCTGCACGAAACCATTGACAATGGACCTTGCCCGGGATCAGGACTCTAGCCAGCCAGTATATCCCCACCGAAGCCCGTTGTGTTGTCCTCTCTGCTGCTGCTGCTGCTGCTGCTGTCCTGCCAATGTTGCATATAACGTTTTACAAACTTTCGGTTAACTGGGCGCTAGCAAGGCGCAAGGACGCTGGATGGCGCTGCAGGCGCTGTTAAAATTCAATGAATTGAAATTGTAAAGCGCGTCGCGACGCCACAGGATATAGCCCACACGAACACACACATACAGATAAACAGACAAATCAACAGACGTACATGTGCAGGCGGAGAAATTGGAAATGATAATGAAGGGAAATTAAGTTTCAGAACTAAGAATAGGGAAGTAGGTAATATTGGGTTCTTACAAAAACAATATCTTCTCGTTACTAGATTCCTTCCTAGTTCTAAATTTTTCAAATACCCCCCCACAACTTTTTTTTCGCAGTGCAGTCGTGTGCAGTTCAAAGCCACGGCCATGACTGACTCAATGTCTGTGTCTGGCCGCGTGTCTGCATCTGTGTTTGTGTCTGCAACACCGGTAATTACCGCCACGTGACAATGAAAATTACCAGTAAACACCGCAGGCAGCCACAAGGACCCAGTATCCAATATCGAGATCCTTAAAGCCATCGCTCGGTCTGGCGGCGTAAATATTTAAGGAACGTAACATCATGACCATCAGTATGAGGGCCACATTGGGTGTCAAAAGCCATTGCTTTGGAAGATCTACGACCTGCGCCTAAATGACTCGACTTGGCCAAGTCGAGGACACTTTATGTAAGTCACAGTCACAGGACAAAGACGATGGCAAAAGGGGAGGAGCAATGGGAGATGGCAGCATGTCCAGTGGCAGTGGAGAAAACCGAGAATGTAGCTGCAATTTGTGAGGCAGGGATGCATAATCTGAGATTCGAAAGAAAAGTAAAAAGGAAAAAAGGTGGGGAAATATTACAACTTTTATATGTGAAAGTTTCTTAGTTTTATTCTAGAAAAATCTTGAAAAGTTTCCATTTTTTGCTCTTAAAAATCAAAGGGTAAGGTCTTATGGCAAGCCTAAAAATGAAGTCTTAGTTAGATTTTCCTGTTTCTATATTCTAGTTTTAGTTCCGTATCCCTGATCTGTAGCATTCACTGCAGCTGGTCACCACCATCAGCCACGCCTCTCATGCCATAGCAAGCTGACCAACCATCAGAGAAGCTCGTAAATAAATCAATGAGCAGTTTGGTATTATATCCTGCGACTCAGAGTCACAGCCAGCGCCAAAGAGGAGGAGATTGCCTTTTTTTTTTTCTTCTGGGGCATAAATTTGTGCAACTTGGCCGGGGTACCAACTACTCGGACTTGGACTCAAACAGAAAGCTGGAACGAAAGTCGGGGCCAGGACCAAGGCTCTCGTCACTGCTGACGTATGTTTAGCTTGAGTGGATTTTATTGTGACAGCGTCAGGATTTACTAGAGACAGCAACTGGAACTGGCAGTAGTCAGTAATGAGAAACCCAGGACCAGGCGCCATCGAAACGCCCTTTTTCCCTGTTTGGTCATTGGATTTGGTTTAGTTTATGCACTCGGCTCGAAATTAATTTGCACAATTTCTAGAAGTTTAAGCAGATTTATTAAGTGCATTTAAAAAGTGCTTAAACGAAAGGAAAGGGTCATGGAAATTTGCAAAGGAAAAGCTTGAATATGAATTAAATCCCTTACTAAAGTTATAGACAATATAGTTAAGTTTCTTGTTCCTTAAACTAAGAATATAGTCTTCTACCATGTCAGATTAAATCAACCTTAAAATAAGTTCAGGACAAGAAAATTTATTGAGTGCACTACAGCGTTGCGCATACGACAGGGGTCCCCTGAGGTGGAGGGAAAAAAGTGGGGAAATCAATGCTGAAATATGCAAATTTTTATTTCCGCGACAATTTCAATTTAACGACAACCAAGACGACGACAACGAACCATTTTCTATTAACATTGGCTTGCCTTTCTTTGTCTCTGCTTTCTTTTTTGTCTCTGCTTGGGGAAAATTACTCTCCGCAGAGCCGTTAACACCGCGCGCCCCCTCCCCCATCTTCTTAACCCCCCACGTGCAACGGAAAATGCGCCCCCAAGGGTTGACGCCTGATGGGTGGGAAAATGGTTTTCCGAAAAATAGAAATCCGTAAGCTGTAAGTAAACTTTTCCGGCTGGAGCGAAGCCACGCATTGAGCCATTCAAAGGATCATTATGCGTGAGCCCGCGTTATGGGGCCTCAAAGTGTCGTTGGTGGGTACGGTGGGGCGACGTTGGGTGGGTCTTACGGTGGGTTACGGTGGATGGGGATTGGACCAGGGGGTCAGATTGACGAAGGTGAGGCTCAGGGGGATTTCAACTCACTCATTCCAATTTGTATTAGCAGGCGGCTTAAAAGGTACTTTACGGACAAGTTAACAGCAAATGCGGGAAGTTCGAAAGTTAGTCAAGATTAGTAACTTTAATAAGAAACTAAAATAAGGTATTCCTTTGCATTTTAAATCAATTTCTTCACTAAGAAAGCGAATATCTGAGGGTTTCCTCTTACAACTTTATCCAATTTAAAAGCTCTCACAAATTGTCAACTGCTCAGAGCGTGTTTCCATTTCGAGTTGTCGGATTAATTGCTACCACTAAATATAGAAGGCATTAGTAGAATTGAATTATTTATTATTTATTGACAGTTTCCTTGAGATATATTCTGCTATATACAAGTCCTGCCCAACTAGTTCTGAGCTTAAGCTGCTCAGCGTATGCACAAGCCAGTAATATCCCCTAACTCCCTCTTTCCCCATCTCTATATAGTTCCACCCATTTTGTAGAGCACAACTCCATACCCAGGACCGTAGTGTAAGATTTATAGCAGGCGGACTAGAGGGAAAAACTCATGGGAAAATAACTTTAGCGGAAAAGTGCCGACAAAATACAAGAAAATGCTTAACCAACAGAACGCGAAAAGCAGAAGGCCTTTCAGCCCGGGCAGGACCACTTACAAGGATGCGAGTCCTGCCTGGGAGCCAACCAAGTGGCTCCCTACGGATTCGTTGCCTTCGAGCCAGAAACTTCATGAATTTAATTACCGAATTTTTTCGCTGTAATTACGAAATTCTTTTGGCCGAAAGTGGAATTTTCATTTCATTTTCATTAAAATATTTCTGCTTGTAAGTGTTTACAAAATATGTCTGCTAGGCGTCTCCCCCACTCACCACCCCCTTTTTTCTTTGTTTCCTAAACCAGCTAAGGATCGAAAAAGGAAACTTAGTTTGGTGTAAACTAAAAGGAGGTTAAGGAAATCAATGGGTTTTGGTAATTATATTGCATTACCACTTAAGTATTAGTACATCCTGAAGTAATTTAAGGTGGCTAAAATTATCTACTGAGGAGTGCGGCCAATGAATTTGGCCCACACTTGGTGGCAATGCAATTATTCAGTTATTGACCCACAAAGCCACAAAATGTCGGCACAGGCATAGAAACGGAATCAAGAGCAGACGGCATAGGCATTGCATTTGTTGTCCCTGCAATGGCATTGTCTTCACCTGTGCATTATTAACCCGACCACGATAAGCTCATAATGAGGCCGAGCTAATTTCTTACGGCTGAGCCGTCTTTGGCCAGCCTGTCCTCAAATGTGCGGCTAAACATTTTCCCCCTGTGAGTGTTTATCGGCAAAAGGAAGCCAAATGCATTTCTCTGTCTTGCAGGAAGAGTCTTAAAGAGCTAATTAATTATGAGTTGTTTTCTACAAATTCATCTTTCAAAATGCGAGCAAAGGATGCTTATAATATTCTTGATTTTAGCTAAGAAACTTAAACTTAGTAATTTACAATTTTTAACATTTAAACATGTTCAATATTTCTTTTTTTTCGTAAATTATTATAAAGCAAGGATTTAATTTTCATGGAAGTTCGAATAATATTTCTCATACTTTTTAATTTAAATCATAATTAACCTATTAAATTAAAAGTCAAAAATTTAAATTTAACGTTTTTCAGTCAAGACTAGCGTTTAGATCCCGAACTAACAGCTGCATCTACCGCCCCCAAGGTGCTGTTTAACCAAAAGGAGAGAAAAAAAATCCACTAGATGGCGTAAATACAACTGGGAACACTTCCCAGTGCTGCCAGACCGCATACGTTGGATATTAGAGTGCCCAGTTAAGTGACTGCCACAATTTGAATTAATTTGGTATTTTGGTCGAATAAGAAAATATTGCATAATTTTAAAAACTTATAAACAAACGAAAAACGAAATAATTCATTAAAATTAAATGAAAGCCAGTCGGGCGTTAATTCGCCAAGTGCGGCACGCCTCCACCCCTGCCACCAATGGAGCTACAACAGCTGCCTTATCAGCGATCTCCACTGAACCAGGTGAAACAAAACAGGCTGCACGTGCCACTTTCCTGGAACGGATTCAACGGGGACCAGGCTTCCAAGACTTTTTTGCAGTCAAACCAGCTTCGAGACTAAAACTAAACGAAGATGAGCAAGTGGACACCAGTGTTCCGTACCTGAATTCCATCGATTTCAATGGAAACGGTAGGAAGGTGCACTTTGAAGTCTATGGCTGTCAGATGAACACTAATGACACTGAGGTGGTGTTTAGTATCCTCCAAGAAAATGGTTATTTGCGATGCCAGGAACCCGATGATGCAGATGTCATCATGTTAGTTACATGTGCAGTGCGCGATGGAGCGGAGCAGAGGATTTGGAACCGATTGAAGCACCTGCGGGCCATGAAAAACAAGCGCAGCTCTCGCAGGCATCCGCTGCAGCTGACCCTACTTGGTTGCATGGCGGAGCGTCTGAAGGAGAAGCTACTGGAGCAGGAACAATGTGTTGATGTGATTGCTGGACCAGACAGTTACAAGGATTTACCCAGACTTCTGGCGGTCTCCCGGCATTATGGCAACTCGGCCATTAATGTGCTACTCTCGCTGGACGAAACCTATGCAGATGTGATGCCTGTGAGACTGAATTCTGAATCCCCAACAGCTTTTGTGTCCATTATGCGGGGATGTGACAATATGTGCACCTATTGCATCGTTCCCTTTACCCGTGGCCGAGAGCGTTCACGACCCCTGGAATCGATTGTGGCTGAGGTCAAGGCTTTAGAGGAACAGGGCGTTAAGGAGGTTACATTGTTGGGTCAGAATGTCAACTCGTACAGAGACAGGAATGCTCAGGAGACAGAGGATTCTTTAAAGGCCACACCAGTTCCCGGTTTCAGCACTGTTTACAAGACAAGAACTGGCGGCACTACCTTTGCAGATTTACTTCGAGCCGTGGCTCAAGCTGTTCCCGAGATGCGGATTCGTTTTACCTCCCCACATCCGAAGGACTTCTCCGACGAAGTTCTAAGGGTCATAAGAGATCATCCAAATGTGTGCAAGCAACTGCATTTACCAGCACAATCAGGCAACACCCAAGTGTTGGAAAGAATGCGGCGTGGTTACAGCAGAGAAGCTTATTTGAAACTTGTGCAGCACATCAGGCAATTCCTACCCAACGTGGGCCTATCCAGCGATTTCATCTGCGGCTTTTGCGGCGAAACGGAGGAGGAATTTCAGGACACAGTGTCTCTCATCCAACAAGTACAGTACAATGTGGCGTATTTATTTGCCTACAGCATGCGGGAAAAGACCACAGCGCATCGTCGGTACAAGGATGATGTTCCATTAAATGTTAAAAATGAGAGACTTCAACGTATGGTGCATGTTTTCCGTGAGGGAGCAACCCAGTTACACCGTAAAATGGAGGGACAGGAACAACTCATTCTTATCGAAGGGAAAAGCAAGAGGTCAGATGCCCATTGGTTTGGTCGCAATGATGCTAATATCAAGGTTATTGTTCCTGCGATGGATTTACCCACTACACGGGATTCTAGAATTAACAGATCATTTGGAGTAGGTGATTTTGTTGCGGTCCGAATTGAGGAATCCAACTCCCAGGTGCTTAAAGGCACACCCCTTGAATTAAGTAGTATAACGAGCTTTCACAGCAGATAGTTTATACAATAAAATGAACTTTAATCGTACCTAGTTTTAGTTGTGTTTTTCCATCACGTTTCCATGGCTGAAGAATCCTTCTCTGCTATCGGATCGCTTCTGCCATGATACTTGGCTATTTGGTTGCGATAGAACTGAAAGATCTCCGCACTGGCCGCCCGGCAAATGCATTCGATGTCGTTGAATTGGGCTATTTTAAAAGATCCCTTTGTCTGAACCAAAAGGAGGTTTCCTTCAACGGAATCAAAGGCGAAGGTAAAGCTGGCACGTTGGTGGAGTGTCTCACTTTGGTCGGGATCCAGGACATACTCTCCCTTCTCGTCGATGATGCAGTGGACGGCAGCAAAACTATATTTTAAGGGCAGACCTCCAATAAGCATAGCTAGGCAGGCGGAATTTACAGCACATGCATCAATCTGAGGGGAATATAACAATTATTATAACGTTTATAGATCACAGATGAATTTGATTTTTACACTGCCACGATCCTCCAGCTCCTGGACCTGGATTGACATCTTGGAACGCGGATGAGCTTCGGCAAGGAGGGCCAGCTCCAGAACATCTCGAATGGCTGACTCGCGAATCCGTTCCTTAACCTGAGGAAGACCAGCTTTTGGTCGGTAATTGCACTCCAGGTAGCTGCCATCTATGCTCAGGTTTTGCGTTTTTACCTCGATCGGACCCAAAACAGCGGCTATAACCACAGTGGCACCTGAAATATAGAAAGCCCTTTAGCCGGTTTGGCCCATTGGCAAATTTCAAGAAATGGCCATACCTTGACTGTACATTACGGATCCATCGCAGCGTGACAAGGGATTGAATTCGCAGTGCATCTGACGCAGCTTATCCTTTTCCACATTAATTTTCCCGGGCAAATTCATTTTATTTTGGTAAATTCAAAGAAAACAACGTGCGCGTTTTATATCGCCTTGTGTTTGTAATATCGATATTAGGAGGTCGTATTTGCTTATGGCTATCAAGCCGACAATAAATCGATAACAACCAAGTTAGCAATCGATTGCCAACCAACTTAGCGCGCCATTTATCATTTTAAATTTTTATGTTTTGTAATAGTTTGGCCAACCTATTATAAAATATGACAAAAATAACAGATATCCATTTAAAATGTTTTAATGTACAATCAATAATCTTTACAAGAATTACAAATAGAAACGCTGTAGATTATCATAAAAGTTCATTATCTGTGATATTTTTTGGCGCTTTCGAATGCGCCACACTGATCCATAGTCTACAAAACGTATATAACAGGGAAGAGAATAAAGTACATTTAATAAAAGTCGTTACTTCATATACAGTGTAACATCAGTGAAGTTGTAAAGTAAAAAATACATTAAAATGCCTGGTTAGTTTTTATAAATAAAAAAAGACATAAAAAGAAGATTTTAAACAAACATTTTTTCCAGGGCCAAATCCATTTATCAAGTTCCAGAAATCATTCTCTCAGAGTGGCACATTATACAAATACTTCGATTTGGCTGCTATTGATAGCAAATACAGTAAGTGGTTTGTTTACAATAAAAGTTCTTTGGTACAATGATATAGTGATGGTAATTAAACTTAAAAAGATATAGAACCAGGTTTGTAAACTATAGAGCACATGTAATACGTGAAGGTCATACACCCATTGGCATAACAACAATGCTTAATTATTCATTAAAAGTGAGGAATCATCATACTATTTAATATTAGGAACTCCAAATTTTTCTGACCTAGTTTAAAGTGATAACAAAAAGATTTAACACTATGTTACGATGTATTCAAGAAAAAGCGTTAGATTTTAAAAATAGTTTTGCAGTTTAAACATATCGTTAATCATTATCTGAAAATATTCATTTTTTATACTAATATTATCGAAATATATAAATAGGGTGGGTTACATAATGACATTTTTACTCCAATTATAAGGCATATTAAAAATGAATAGTATATATATGCAATATATATAATATGCAATTATGCAAACTATTTTATCCAATTATAAAAACAAACAATAACAACCCATTCCATCAAAATTATTAGAGCCTAAAATTAAAAAAATTGTTTATAGTGTGTGCTTAGATGCTTAGGTAGCAGGTTTCTGTCTAAAAATAGATTTCCTCTTATCTAAAATACCACCTACTGACAGAGTACAAAAATTAGATCAGTAATATCAGTATTTTACCTATCATGGAAACCTCCATTCACAAGTTTTTGATAAGGAGCCCCGTGGCACTTCAGTGCTTAGGACACGCTTATCACTTATCAATTAAAAAGGTGACGTCGATTCTTAAGATTTAAAAAAAATTTTTTCGAGTAGTGGAATTTTTAAATAGGACGTCAACTGATTAGGTGATAGGGGTTTCCTCATAGGTGTTGCTTGCACTATGTCTTCTGGTGAAATAAATTTAAATATTATTTATAGATCAATTGCCCTACTCTATCCGAGTGCTTTTGGAGTCGGCGGTGCGCAATTGTGATAACTTTAATGTCTTGGAGAAAGATGTGCACAGCATCTTGAACTGGTCCCCGGCCATCAAGCAAGGATCCAATGATGTGGAAGTGTCATTTAAGCCAGCCAGAGTAATTCTGCATGTAAGTTGAGAGATTTACATAGTCTTTAGAATTTTATTAATTAATTTAATAATTTCTAAATTTGAAATTTTCAGGATTACACTGGTGTCCCTGCCATGGTGGACATTGCTGCCATGCGCGACGCTGTCTTGAAACTGGGTGGTAATCCCGAGAAAGTAAATCCCATCTGTCCATCCGTTATGGTCATAGATCACTCTGTGCCAGTGGAATTTCATCGCTCTGCAGATGCCATGAAGAAGAACTTAGTTGTGGAATTCCAAAGAAACAAGGAGCGTTACACCTTCACAAAGGTATTTATTTAGTTGACCTACTATTGTATTCCCTTAACCCATATATCTTTGTAGTGGGCTTCCAAAGCTTTTAATAACATGTTTTGTGTCCCCCCTGGCTCTGGTATTATCCATCAAATTAATTTGGAGTACCTTGCCCATGTTGTTGTTGAAGAGGATAACAAGGATGGTTCCAAGACCCTGTTTCCGGACAGTGTTGTGGGCACTGATTCCCACACCACGATGATCAACGGACTGGGAATTGTTGGTTGGGGAGTAGGAGGAATTGAAGCAGAAGCCACAATGCTGGGGCAATCCATTCCCATGTTGTTGCCCGAAGTCATCGGCTATAAATTGGAGGGAAAACTCAATCCACTTTGTACCTCCACCGATTTGGTATTGACCATTACCAAAGACCTTCGTCAACTGGGAGTTGTGGGCAAGTTTGTGGAATTCTTTGGCCCTGGAGTGTCGGAGCTCAGTCTTGCCGATAGGGCAACCATCAGTAACATGTGTCCCGAATATGGAGCAACTGTAGGATACTTCCCTGTGGACGAGAACACTTTAAGTTACCTGAAGCTATCTAGTAAGTTTTTATTTCAGTTACATTTTTAATTTCTATAATATCTTCTTTTTAAAGACCGCTCCGATAAGAAGATATCGATCATTCGGGAGTATTTGAAGGCTACTCGACAGTTACGCAATTTCGATAATCAGTCGGAAGATCCGAAGTTCACGCAGGTTTATAAAAATGATTTACAGTTTGTACATTATTTCTAATCTTTTTACTACCCTCTAGGTTGTCTCATTGGACCTTGCCACTGTGGTTTCTTCAGTTTCTGGACCCAAGCGACCACACGATCGCGTTTCCGTTTCAGAAATGGCAGAGGATTTCAAGTCTTGTCTGATCAGTCCAGTAAGTAGTTATTATTGTGACCCATTATTATACATTCATAAACTATTTTCTGTTTTTTCCTCAGATTGGATTCAAGGGCTTTGCTATTACCCCGAAGGCACTAACTGATGTTGGAGAACTGCAATGGGAAGATGGCAAGACCTACAATCTGCATCACGGATCTGTAGTCCTTGCAGCTATTACATCCTGTACAAATACTTCCAATCCCTCTGTAATGTTGGGTGCTGGTCTCTTGGCCAAAAGGGCCGTTGAAAAGGGACTCGATGTGTTGCCCTATATCAAGACGTCTTTGTCGCCTGGATCTGGAGTGGTTACCTATTATCTGCAGGAATCTGGTGTCATTCCCTATCTGGAGAAATTGGGATTCAACATTGTGGGCTATGGCTGCATGACTTGCATCGGCAATTCTGGACCTCTGCACGAGAAAGTGGTGAATGCTATCGAGGATAATAATCTGGTCTGCGCTGGAGTTTTATCTGGAAACCGGAACTTCGAGGGTCGTATCCATCCAAACACCAGAGCAAACTATTTGGCCAGTCCTCTGTTGGTCATTGCTTACGCTATTGCCGGGCGTGTGGACATTGATTTCGAGAAGGAACCTCTTGGCGTGGATGCCAATGGGAAGAATGTGTTCTTGCGCGACATTTGGCCAACCCGATCAGAGATCCAGGAAGCTGAGAACAAATATATCATTCCTGCCATGTACAGGGACACCTACAGTAAGTAATTCTATTTAATCATTTATTTAACTAAAATAACTTTAATTTAACTCAGGCAAGATTGAAGAGGGTACTGAGGAATGGCAGTCGTTGGAGATTCCGGATGGTAAACTCTTCTCCTGGGACCCTGAGTCCACCTATATCAAGTGTCCTCCCTTTTTCGATGGCATGACCCGCGAAATTCCCAAACTGAAAAACATAGAAAACGCTCGCTGTCTTTTGTTGCTGGGTGATTTCACTACTACGGACCACATATCTCCTGCTGGAGCGATAGCAAGGAACTCACCGGCTGCCCGTTACCTCGCTGAGCGCAATGTTAAGCCTAGTGATTTCAATACATACGGCACACGTCGTGGCCATGATGGAGTTTTGTCCAGAGGGGCATTTGGAAATATTCGTTTGGTCAATAAGCTTATCTCCAAGGTTGGACCGCGTACTCTGCACATTCCTAGCCAGGAGGTGCTGGACGTGTACGATGCTGCCCAGAAGTATCGCGAGGAAGGTACTCCATTGGTTTTGGTGGCTGGCAAGGATTACGGCAGTGGCAGCTCCCGCGATTGGGCCGCCAAGGGTCCTTACATGCTGGGCATTAAAGTTATTATTGCGGAGTCTTATGAGCGCATCCATCGTTCCAACTTGGTAGGAATGGGCATTATTCCCCTGCAGTTCCTTCCCGGTCAAAATGCAGAGACTTTGAAACTTAATGGTCTCGAGGTATACAATATTATTCTCCCAGAAAGTGGATTGAAACCGGGCCAGAAAATCCAAGTCAAGGTAAGTAAATGAATTATATTGAAATTTATATATTTTTTTAATTCCAAAACTGTTATAATTATTTTTCAGGCTAATGAAACTGTATTTGAAACTATTCTGCGATTCGATACCGATGTGGACATTGCCTATTACAGGAACGGTGGTATCCTTCACTACATGGTTCGAAAGATGTTGTCTTAACTTTTGTGTTATATTTTCTATACCATTGTAAATAGTAAACAGATTAAATAATTACTTTATATAAGTCTCTGTTAATAAAAATGAATGGAAAAGAAATATCTTATTTTGAAATCAGATTTATTCTATAAAAGAAAAACATGATTTAATATAAAACAAACATATTGAATACTATATATTCTATAATAAGATATGTTTAATGTACTAGTTTCACTTACTAATCACAAGTGCGCTAAAGCAAGATTTTTTTAAATGCCACGTTTGAAGTTCGCGGGCGATAACACTTAACAAATTCGACTGGCGATAATGCTGCCATACCTGCCTATCGATATATGAAGAAACCTAGTCAGTTCCAATCCGTCTCGCTTCTCCAATCCAATCAGTTTCTTGCTTTGCTCGTCCGGAATAAGTTCAGTAAAGTTTCCCAATAAGATGTCAGGTGGGTTCCCAGTTCAAAATACCAGTTCCTTAGACTATATTAAACTGCTTCACCCAAATCCTGTGGCTTATATAACATATTTGTATTATCACAGGTGCCAATCCCTTTGCTCAGTTTGAGAAAACTTTCTCGCAGGCCGGCACAACATACAAGTACTTTGACCTCGCCTCCATCGACAGCAAATATGGTAAGTGGATAAGCCTTAAAAAAGGCTTTAAAAATGGGAGTGTCTGCCGACGTGGTGGTTATAAACATCGTATAAACTAGAGTAAATATGAGTGGCTAAATTGGGAATTAAGTCCCCCGAAAAGCACCTGTTGAAGTTGGAGTTTGACCCCTTAAAAGAAAGAAAAACGAACAGCAAACACCTTAATTTGCAAGTCAGGCGGTGTCAATTGGAAGGTGCTCCCACAGCTTAAATTAGGTATTCTATAGTTTTTTTATAGACAAGCTTGTTTCGCGCCGAAAGCGAAAGTTATCACCACAGAGATTGCCCCATAATGGGGCTCGTCTGCCGGTGATAATGATTCGTGTGCCTCTGAATTGTATTTCCATTTCTTTCCAAATTGTACGTGCCCACATTATCAGCGGCTTAAAACTAAACACATCTGCTGTTTTTGGGTTCGTAGTTCGAAGCTTCCGAAATATCTTCAGACCAAGTGGAATGTTTTCATTGGAGCAGCGCGTGTCCAAAAATCGAGGGTCTGAGGTGAGGGTTTTCTTTGATGGCTACTACCATTCACTATCAGTCTCATCGAGTGCTGGGCAAACGTAATAATTGTACCCAGTGATAACAGGTACCTCCTATCTCGATCACTACAATATAAACTCCGTACGGTGGCTAGTTTTTTTGAATTTAGATTAAAAGGTGTTTTTGAGATTGAAATTAAGAATGAGAAACTTAAAGCAACTGCTTGTTTTATAAGATCTAATATTGCAAAACAAACATGCTAATAGCTAGAACAGAAAATGTAAAAAATGCATTTAGTTTTTTAGGGTAATGCAATCTAACATTAAGTGCTCCTCAAAAATGGCCTAGGATTGGTTAAAATCTTATTTGACGCTAAATCTCATAGACAATATATTTAATCTTATCAAAAAGATACAAAAATGTTGCTTACAATTTTAATTTTTCTTTATCTAGTTTATGATTTATGACGCTTCGTTTAAAAATTCATTTATCCGAAAGCTTTTCAAAGAAAGTATTTAATATCTAGTTTAATCTAATGAAGTATGGATGGTTCTGTGTGAAATAAATCGTGATTTGCTAAAAACGTTTCTTATCTATAACCTTATCTAATGGTTTTTTTTTCAGTAAATGAAAATTTGTAGCATAAGAGAGGTTCTACTGTTGTGATGAAATTCTGTTGAAATTCAAGCTTTAAACTTTTTAATTAACACTTAATATTTTGCACTTCCAGATCAACTGCCCTACTCGATCCGAGTGCTCTTGGAGTCGGCGGTGCGCAACTGCGATAACTTCCATATCCTTGAGAAGGATGTCCAGAGCATCCTTGGATGGTCACCAGCCCTCAAACAGGGTTCCAACGATGTGGAGGTGTCCTTTAAAGCCAGCCCGTGTGATCCTTCAGGTACGTTTTATACTTAAATTAAGTAAATTTAGTAACTAACTTATAAAATTTACTTTCTATTTAAGGATTTCACTGGTGTCCCAGCTGTGGTAGATTTTGCTGCTATGCGCGATGCTGTTCTGGATCTGGGTGGCGATCCCGAGAAAATCAATCCCATCTGCCCCGCCGACTTGGTCATAGATCACTCGGTCCAGGTGGACTTTGCCCGTACTCCTGATGCTCTGACCAAGAACCAGAGTCTGGAGTTTGAGCGCAACAAGGAGCGATTCACCTTCTTAAAGGTATATTTCCTTATGATATCATCTCAAGCGTTGTCTTATTGCTAACACTTTTCTAATTAGTGGGGAGCTAAAGCCTTCAACAACATGCTGATTGTGCCACCCGGCTCTGGAATTGTTCATCAAGTGAATCTCGAGTACTTGGCCCGCGTGGTGTTCGAAAATGATACCACCGATGGCTCGAAGATTCTGTACCCCGACAGTGTTGTGGGCACTGACTCCCACACTACAATGATCAACGGACTGGGAGTTTTGGGTTGGGGAGTTGGTGGTATCGAGGCTGAAGCTGTGATGTTAGGACAATCCATTTCTATGTTGTTGCCTGAGGTTATTGGCTATAAGTTGGAGGGAAAACTGAGTCCACTTGTCACCTCCACTGATTTGGTGTTGACCATCACCAAGCATCTACGTCAATTGGGTGTGGTGGGCAAGTTTGTGGAGTTCTATGGACCTGGAGTGGCGGAACTCAGCATTGCCGATCGGGCAACTATCAGCAACATGTGTCCCGAATACGGAGCCACCGTGGGCTATTTCCCCATCGATGAAAATACTCTCGGTTACATGAAGCAGACGAGTAAGAAAAATATCTTATAAATTCGTAATATCAATATTTTCATTTAATTTCAAATCAATTTCAGATCGTTCTGAGAAGAAGATCGACATCATTCGTCAGTATCTGAAGGCCACACAGCAGTTGCGCAACTATGCTGATGAGGCTCAAGATCCAAAGTTCACTCAGGTTGCTATAATAAATTTCTCATATGAAACTTTTTTTGATATGCATACTTTCTGCAGAGCATCACCTTGGATCTGGCGACAGTAGTTACCTCGGTTTCGGGACCCAAGCGTCCACACGATCGCGTTTCTGTATCTGATATGCCAGAGGATTTCAAGTCGTGCCTTTCCAGCCCAGTAAGTAGTAACTTCCTAGTAAATTAATTTGATTAACTAAGGTATTCTTTCTTACTTCAGGTGGGTTTCAAGGGCTTTGCCATTTCTCCGGAGGCTCAGTCAGCTTCAGGGGAGTTCCAGTGGGATGATGGCAAAACTTACAAACTGCATCACGGATCGGTGGTTATTGCTGCCATCACATCCTGCACAAACACCTCGAATCCCTCGGTGATGCTGGGTGCTGGTCTCTTGGCCAAAAAGGCCGTGGAGAAGGGTCTGAACATTCTGCCCTACATTAAGACTTCACTGTCGCCTGGATCCGGTGTGGTAACATATTACCTGAAGGAGTCTGGAGTCATTCCCTATCTGGAGAAGCTGGGCTTCGATATTGTGGGTTATGGGTGCATGACTTGCATCGGTAACTCCGGTCCCCTGGAGGAAAACGTGGTAAACACAATCGAGAAAAATGGACTCGTCTGCGCTGGAGTTCTTTCTGGAAACAGGAATTTCGAGGGTCGCATCCATCCAAACACCCGGGCCAATTATTTGGCCAGCCCCCTGTTGGTCATTGCTTACGCCATTGCCGGACGTGTGGACATTGATTTTGAGAAGGAACCTCTTGGCGTGGATGCCAATGGAAAGAATGTCTTCTTACAGGATATCTGGCCAACGCGATCAGAGATCCAGGAGGTCGAGAACAAACACGTGATTCCCGCTATGTTCCAGGAGGTGTACAGTGAGTATTACTATTGTTCCCTTCACAATAGTTGGTATAACTAAAAATATCTTCCTGTCCTTAGGCAAGATCGAGCTCGGTTCCGAGGACTGGCAGACTCTGAAAGTGTCCGAGGGCAAGCTGTTCTCGTGGAGCTCTGATTCCACCTACATCAAGCGTCCACCCTTCTTCGAGGGTATGACCCGAGAGCTGCCCAAGTTACAGAGCATCCAAAAGGCACGTTGTCTGCTCTTCCTGGGCGATTCTGTGACCACGGATCACATCTCGCCAGCTGGATCCATTGCTAGGACCTCGCCCGCTGCGCGTTTCCTTTCGGAGAGGAACATCACTCCCCGTGATTTCAACTCCTATGGATCGCGACGTGGAAACGATGCCATCATGTCGCGCGGAACTTTCGCCAATATTCGTTTGGTTAACAAACTGGTCACAAAGACTGGACCACGCACCGTACACATTCCCAGCCAGGAGGAGCTAGACATCTTCGATGCTGCTGAGAGGTACCGTGAGGAGGGTACTCCTCTGGTCCTGGTGGTCGGTAAGGACTACGGCAGCGGAAGCTCTCGGGATTGGGCCGCCAAGGGACCTTTCTTGCTGGGCGTGAAGGCAGTGATCGCAGAGTCCTACGAGCGTATCCATCGTTCTAACCTGGTTGGTATGGGCATCATTCCTCTGCAATTCCTGCCGGGCCAGAGTGCTGAGACTTTGAACTTAACTGGCCGGGAGGTGTACAACATTTCCCTGCCTGAGACCGGTTTGAAGCCGGGTCAGAAGATCCAGGTGGAGGTAAATAACTCGGACCGCTGAATTACTGATATATGTTGTATACTTAACTAACTTTTCTTAAAGGCTGATGGAACTATCTTTGAGACCATTCTGCGCTTCGACACCGAGGTGGATATCACCTACTACAAGAATGGCGGCATTCTCAACTACATGATCCGCAAGATGCTTTCTTAAGCATCCAATTTGATTTTGTTTTTTATTTGTATATTCCAGTTGCATTTCTACACTGTAAAATGTAGTACCCTAAGTTTTTAATTTGTGGTGGTGCTTCCCCAACTTGGTTAGACCAATAAACTAAGCCTTTACTTTTGGTATCCAATTAAATATGGTCTATGAATTTAATGGGAATGTACTAGTACTGTTGGTAGTGAGGTTATATAAAGACTTGTTCAAATTAGAAGATGTACCAATTTTAAAAAGTAGGTAATACTTAAACTTTCAATAAATCCAAGATTTGCCATTTCGTCGTGTTCTTCACTTTGGGTAGGTATGGAGAAATAATGGAGTGGACCGCCTGTTGAATAAATTTCGCTCTCATGAGATAAACAAAGCCCAGTGATGCTTGACATGTGACAAGACTGAGCTGTGTGTATCCCATAAACTGAAACCAGGGGTCGTATTCCTTACAGAATTCATTCAAGGCACTTAAATATTCGGAAGTCTAGGATCAAGGCTGCTTACAAAAGAGCTATCTAAAAGAAACAGCAACTGTGATATGTGAAAAATTCTAAGGTAAAATCACGGCTACTATTTCCTTAGATAACTCGATATAAATTCAGGACGCGTTCAAAGTTCCGAGGCGAAGTTGCACAATGGATTATTATATTATTCTCACTGATATTTCAAGACTGATATTTCGATTTACCAACCGCGACACGTACTACTCCAGAACTAAAACCTGAGAATTGGCCATCCAGCTCTTATAAGCACATAGGTGCAATGGCCGCTGCCAGCGCATCAGATTTCCTGCTCGATGGATCGGCTATTGGTTCTGCCCCGAATTTCCATTGCCAAAATTCGCTGAGCCCTGCAATTGGCTTTCTGTTTTGCTGGCATGCTCGACATTTTTATGCCGAATTACCAAAAAATTGTGAAGCCCGTTTCTTGGTTCTTTGTGCCTGCACTTTGTTCACCTTCTAAAACCCGGCGCACTGAACCCGCCATTGGTTATAGGATCACTTTAAAGGGGGTTACGGTGGTGCTACGGGTGGCTTCCGCAAACGGTTTGACCCACAATTACGCCCTAGGGTCAATGAACAGTAAGTCACGTTGCCAGATTTTAGAGCATGATATTTTGGGTCAGTTAGGGGCTTTAAATTGTATATCACTTCAATGAAACAAGAAAATAAGTTAAGATTAATCTTTCCATTTTGTTAAATGAAACGTTACCTTTTTGTCTAAGATAAAAAATTTAAATAAGTTGAAAAAAATGAAATTAGTTTTCTTAAAAACAGAATCTAAAATTTAAAATCAGAACATAACTGATATGCAGGAGATTACTTCTATATTTATAACAAAGATCATAAAATACTTAGAATCTGTTATACGTATTTTCCGACGAAATTTAAAAAAGCCGCCCTATCGTCATAAAATATCGATGCATCATTCCCTTTTTGTTTTGATCTTTTTAATCGATATTTCAAAACAAACCATTGCTTTCGTTGTTTTGACAGTATCGATTAAACACTGTCTTTTGTTCCAGCGCTAGCGGTCAGAGAGATATTTTATTTGGCAAAAATTCGGTTTATTTATAACGAAATACCGATGATGCTGTAATTTTAAATATCTAAGGCGGTGGTTAAAAAGATCAGGAGTCCGATGAGCACCACTGGCGTCACTTGTCAGCCGTCGAGGAGGTCCTAGGACGCAGGACACAGGCCCTTTTCGGCCGGAACGAAAGAACACTGCTCGATTTTTATAAAATTAAGTCTGATTTAAGCGATCTGGAAATGGAGACTGATTACCAAAACTACGTAGAGTCCCTGTCGGGCGTGTCCTCCGACGAGGACGACTTCTCCACGGTGGACAGCTCCGACGAGTCCTCGGAGGAGCCAACTCCCACGCCTATAGCAGCTCCAAGGACACGGAATCTGGTGCAGATGCTCTACGACAGGGAGGTGGGTATACCCTAAAGATCAAGCTCCACCTAAGTGTAGTAGTCTGGAGAATAATAGTCTCTTTGATCAGAAAAAGCGTTTCGAAACCAATTAATAAGGAGGTCAACATTTCAGTTCAAGGTCTACATTTAATTTTATGGGAATACCGGAAAGATATTGCGATTGATTTTTACTCTAGGGTACAAAGGTACATATAGTATAAGTATAGATTATTAGTTATATGTATAGGTGGAACAACAGGGATTACGAAACCTTGCGCAAGACCATTATGTAGTAAAAAGTAATATTATTTCTTTAGGTCGTTTGAGATCTGTCCTAATAAGGGAAAGCCAGTGAAAGTGAGTCAGTTTGCAGCTATAGTATATTTATCTTAATAACTGACTATTTTAATATGTTAAATTATTAATTATCTGTAAAACTGTCAATTTAATGTTTCCAAAAATGTTTATCTGGGAACATACACTATACTATATATATACTATACTATACTATATATACTAAGATTATTATAATACTCTTATATACATTCTATTCTCCCCTTAGCGCACTGGATTCTTTTCAGGATCCTCTAGGGCTGGACAAAAGCAGCAGCTTCCTTACGACAGAGTGCCAAATAGGTTAAAGCTATACCTCAAAGATGTGCTGGCCAGTAGTTTGATGGAGGGGTAAGATATAAGTATAGATTTCTATAAAAAGAATCCTTGTCTAACTTACACATTTTTATCTTAGGCACATATTCATGGGTCTCACTGCCTGCGGCCAGTACATGCTCAGTCATCGAGTAGTATGTAACGATAGCTCCTCCCTTAACCATTATTCCTTCAACATGGGCTACAAGTACACGTAAGACTCTCCTTCTAAGTTAATTTTATTTTTAGGTAATATATATATAATATTTTTATAACTATACTTTTTCCTTTAGTTTGTACTTTTGGCCATTCCAACCGCACAAGAGGCTGCGCCACTTTTTCTCGCGGCGCCTCTTCGACGATCATATGGTAGACAACGTGAAGACTGTAACTATGACGCAGTGGAAGAACACGCAGCACCAGATTTTAGTTGTTCATGGTGCTCCAACAGAAGAAGGCGAGGATAGTTATATTACTTATGTCAAAGTTCCTAAACTCGGGTGCCTAGAATGCAAAAAACTTAATGACGACGGTCCATGTAGGTGCATAAACTTGTTTAAGTTATCAATGAAATTATTCTTTTCTGCCATTAGATTCCTTTTACAATGCGCACTGCCTGAACTGCCACTTAACGGTGCACACTAAATACTCCTCGACTGAAACTGATCCGAGATTCGAGCCGAAAATCAATCTGCTTTGCCCAGAGCGTATTCTGATCATCTCCAACGGATTTATGCACATGCTGCGTATCGATATGGACACGCCGGCCGTGACCTCAGGCAGCAATTACCTTTCTCAACAGCAAAACCTCGTTCTCCCCAGTCTTCAGGCACAATCGCCATCCTTCTTGCTGCCCAGGAATCTTTTGGCAAGTGAGGAGGATCGTTCCTCAGTTGCCTTCACAGCATCAGGATCGGAAACGGAATCCGTGAACGAACAGAGCGTGGTGGCTCGTATCATAGCCGACTTTAGTGACATTGAAACTGATCATGCCCATCGCTCTAGTCAGCCAAATAACAACCATAACATTAATAATAATGAGGCGTCATCCGGAGGCAACGTCAACTGTTCACCAAAAGCGTACGAAAAGCTTATTTTCACGCCACACTGCACTCCCACTGTGGTTACGGGCTTGAATAGTATGACTCTGCCGGATACCACGCTGCCGGTATCAAAACCACTTGCCAATGAAGCTAGTCCACCAAGAAGGCGCAACCAGCGAATAGTCACCAAGTTCCGCAACGGCATCACTACCATAGATTTGCAGGTAGGTTTTAATTTATGAGTTAAGATGTGTAAAATCTAAATCTATTAACCCATCGGCAGAGTCCGGCCAGTTCTAGTTCGATGACGGATAAATCGAATGCCTATGAATTCTCAGAAGACAACGAGAAATACGAAAAGATCTCCACTTTCCGCAAGCGACGTTTGGCGGAGAAGAAGTATGAGTTCTCAGAAGATAACTCAGAAAATATCATACCCTTCACCAAGGTCCGGATGGCGGGTCGCGCCTTTAATGCTTCGACTGCCAGTTCTTCCGCTCGCAGCTTTCATCGCTTTTCGCCCACGGCGCATTTCTTTCACAATTCCCCTTGTGCCTCGCCATCTTCATCGCCACATCCCTCCCAGCCGGCACAGACGCCTCCGCATCTGGGATTCCGTTCACCACCTTCTAGTTCCATGCTGATGCGTTCGCCAAGTCGCAATGCAAACACGTCTCAGATCTTTAACCAGAAATCGCCGCCATTGTCTCAGGCTACACAACAAATGCTTAGCTACAAGCCGGTAGGACCACTGGGAGCTCTATCTCCACTGCAAGTATCCTTGGCCAAGCGCTTCGAGATAGGTGGCTCTATGTCGCCGAACGCAGGACTTTCCTTCTTGTCACCTCGACGCGATGAGCCAAGGATTGTGGAGATGCCAGTGCAGGGCGGCGTAATGCCAGAGAAACCGGTGTGCACCAAGAAGCTAAGACGGCGCTATGTGGAAGAGGACGATGCAACCTCTGTCATTACTAGCGAAGAGGGTAATTATTTAAAAATATGGAGTAAATATTGTTCCTCATATATATTCTCTTTTCATATCAGACGACTGCATATCACCGGGATATCACACTTCGCTGCCAATGGAGGTGCATGGTTCCTGTTACTCTGAGATGCAGATGATCTCACAGGCTTCATATCAGCGGCTGCGCTGCAGCAGCGTTGTTATTACCCAGCACTCTTTCGATCTGGAGACCTTCACGTACTATGTGATCAGCCTGCTGTGTCAGAAGCACCAAAAGATCTACAACGTGTTCTATGACTGGGCTTACGAGGTTATCAGCGTTTGTCCACTAAGTCAAACGATTGGCTGCATGCTGATGGCTCAGTTCTCGGCGCGGGATCAGCCGCTGGCCATCTGCTCGCACTGCACCGGACGGATGGAATGTGTGTTCCACAACAGGCAATACGAGTGTCGCATTCTATTTACTTGGAATATGGAAAGCGGACAATGGCACGTGCTCGACTATGGCGAACTTAAAGAGGTGCACGAGCAGTTTAGCCCGCTAAAGCGACTTGGTAAGGCTCGCCTCACGTTCGCACAGGCGGCTAGAAAAATGGGTCAAGAAATGGCCAACGGTCTGAGCCAGCACTTGCCCGACTACACTTCTAATCTGCGTGTGCTCAACTCGGACATTCGAAAGTCCAAGATGTACATCAGTGATCTCGACAACATGGTGGAATTCCACTTGAAGCGCACATGCCATGATACTTTGTGAGCAACAATATGCTCTACTACTGCTTGCTAAAGCTAATGATTCCATAATATCAAAAGCTACGAAATTCTAATTGCAGGTAGCCTAAAATTTAAATATTTACTCGATAACAATTTAAAGGTACATCATAAAATATTTTGGAACATGACAGATTTTACAATAGTGGAAACCGTTAAACTGACAAGTTTTATTAGTTCGTAAAACTCGCTAAGGTTGCGTGCATCTAGTTCAGTTCTAAACACAAAAAAACGTGTGCTGTATTTAGTATTTAGTTACCTATACCTTAATTAGTGCAACGAAACGCTTTTTCAAAAGGTTGAAATGCGTCCTTATTTCGACTGAAGTCATTTAAGTAATCTTAAATATAGTTTAAGAAACGGAGCTTGACTCCTACCCTGCTCATACTTACAAAAATATCGTAAATATACCTTTTGATATTCGAAACTTCGATTCAACTATTAGCTCTTAAATTAGTTAGTTACCAACACCTTTTGAACTGCGGTACTTGTGATTTAAGTATCGATTTAGTTAATGTCAACCAATGCTGTTTGAGTGACGTGTGAAAATATACAACTGTAATCAAACTTAGAAACTATATTTCAAGATATTATAATTAAACATTGGAAATATACTTCAAAATATTATTCAGCCAGTTTCAAGTCTTAAAATTAAATGCTGATAAATATAAGACAACATCTTTGCTTATTTTCTATATTCCACCGTGGCTACTTTTTCATTATCTGGAGGACGACTAGTACTATTGCAATCCGTGTTAGTACTTTCTCCGTTTTGGATGCTGAAAAAAGTTAATTAATATTTAGGAATTTATTTGACAAATATTTAGGTAAAACATACCGCTTGCGTATGGACTTTAACATTTCCTGATTGCAGAACGTGGCCACGAATATTATTATTCCTTGACTACAGTTTATATAATCGCTTACTTCAACGAAGAGCTTGCACACATCTTCCATCCTACATATAAAGGCAATGATTTCAAGGAACCAACTTCCTCCCATTATGATAAAAAGGCGGAGATATACTCGATAGCTGGAAGCAGGGTATTAATTGCAGTTTATCGGGGAATATGTAATTATATTTTTTTGTATTTTACTTGGCTTGGTTCCTTGACTGCCTTTGCTGCTCACATTTATTTAGCACTTTCTGGTTCTTTTTGTTCTCGACATAAATGTATCGAGTCGTTAGGAAAAACATTGTTCCGTTGAGAATGATTAGTAATGCCAATGGGGCAAAAAAATAATACATTGCTGACCAACCATCGGCTGAATAAGGAAAGTAATAATTAAAAGATTTACAATTTTCGAGATAATACATCAATTAAGATTTAGTTTCTAAGATAATAGCTAGATTCTTGTTAAACTTACAATATATCCAGCATGAAACAACTCCCACAGCAGGATTGTAGGGATTCTTCATATCTGTAACAACAAATAGATCCACCACGAAAATGATAAGGGTTAAAAATCCAGCAGTGCTCCATACTATAACATTATAGTTAAAGAAGCTGCTCCTATTGTTGTTGTAGAAATCCTGGAACCGACGCATTGCGAATCTCCTCCAAACGTCGAAGCTGATGACGGAAAGCCACAGAAAAGTGGCCATCACTGTAAAGTAGCCAGTATATCCTAAAATTCTCAATTAGCATCGTATCATAACAATTATTAAAAAAATGTAGTGGGGTTACCAGTAAGATAGCACATACAAGTGTACACTTCAAATACACTAAACATGCTAGCAACATTCAGCGAAAATGCTAAAGCCAGGCAAATGAAGTAAAGGTTGCAGCACTTTCCATGAAGAGATTGGAATTTTGGCAACCACAGATAGGCAAAAATGGTTATAGCCATAAAAAATACAGAGCTCATCTTGACTGTAAAATAAATTTGTTTTAATAACTTTTTGCATATCCTTTGTAAACCTACAATATGCCATTTTCATAGATTTCTTCTCAAAGCAGTTGTAAGCTACAATGAGGGTGTGGTTTTTCATCTTCCTGGGCTGCAAACAAAATTCTTGCTTCGACAGAAATCGCTTATCGTAGTGTCTAAAAAAGGATCCATTCTGAAAGTATTGTTTTTAATGATCTTGCTATTAAGATATTTATATACCGACCTCGTAAAGATCCCATTTATCAACTTTTTCCTTAGCATTCAATACGTAATGCTGTTGGCATGGAACGGGAAGGTCCTGCTGCACAAACATATCATTAAAAATGTGTTTCTCGATCACTGATCCATTATGATGCGTTATATTCAGAGTGTGATCGTAGGTAAGGTTTTTATATATTTTCTTATAGCAATTCCCAATGCCCATCTGCTTTTTGGGATGGCAACAGAACCGAATGCAAGTCTTAAATTTACACACACAACCTCGGATGTGTTTGGGCACCGAAACCTCATCACCATCGTAATTGATCACATAGTCATATTCTCCCGTCAGATTTGAAGGAATAATAATATCTTCGTATTTATACGATCCATCTGCTAACATATCACTGTTATTTAATTTAGCCGTATCGAAGAAATCACAGTTTGGAATATCCTTTGACGTTACAACAATAACAAGGATACTTAGGATAAACTGTTGGAGAATTAGTTTTCCCATTGTTATTCAATTTATTTTAATAGGTTTGTTCTCCGCTCTACCGTCTTTATAAACCAACGGCTCAGTTTACAATAAATGATCGACCACTTAAGCTCGTTTCTTTTCAAACCTTATCACATTATGTTCTTTACAACATTTAGTGTATAAAAATAACTTTCTTATCAAATCCCTAACAGTAAAAGGGAAAACTGTTTTTTAAAGCCAATTGTTAAGAGCTGTATAAATGCAGCTTATCATGATGTTTCTTTGTATGTTCTTAATGTTAATCCTTAAAGATTGGATGCCCTCATTATGAAATATGAAATATTGAAGGAAAGATAATTGTATTTATCTATGTTTTATTTAATAATATTTGTAATAGATATTTAGCAATGGTCGCAAATTGACAACTTTTCGGCTGATTACTTTTTGACGCTACAACTTTGCAACTTTATTTCGATGGCTTCTACTTCTTAGTGCTGGACATTCTCAACGGACTCTTCAAGACACGACTCTATTCGATACTAGAAGGGCTGCCAACTGATGCCCATAACGCCCATCTCCCATCATCCTCCTTTGCTCTCAGGTCACCATCTTAATCGTAGTAAGAATAGCGCCACAGCTTCGAATCAGCGCTTTGACTCCAAATATTGCTTTTAGTTGCTCCATATCTTCCCATTTTCTAACTCATAGCCAAGAAAATGTATATGCTCTTTTAAAATGTGACATTTTGTATCTGTCTTTATAACTGTTTGCCCGAAAACAACGATGTCGTCTCACAAATTTGGCGGCGAATTTCAATACCCAAATGGTGCTCTGTTAAATTCGAAAAGTCCATTGAATCGGGGACGATAAGAAACTTATGTTATGCAGAAATTCCATCCAACTCCTTCAATTATCGGGTGAGACGCAGTTGAAACAATGCCATTTATTTTTGCTTCGCTGTTGATCGACTCGCTTTCCTGGTTTTGCTGCTTTGGTGAATTCACTCTGCTGCCCTTTTTGATTTCTCCCTTTGTCATCATTTTGATCGTTTCGAATCGGCTTCGCAGCTCCTTGAAAGTTTGTGCACTGTAAAGAGGATATTTGAGATCATTGCTAAGCTTTAATCCATCTGCTATATAGCGGATCACCGACTCATCAACAAATCCCTGACCTGCTATCTTAAGCATACGAAACACATAAATACATAGCCGTGAAAATTATTGTTCTCATGTTTCTTTCGCTCTCCCACTTGCTTGTGAATTTCTGCACTGCTTACCGTTTGCCTCTTTAATTTAATAGAACAGCTGTTAAGTTCTCGTACGTTGATAACGTGGTAGACTCCAGAAATACTTTGCTGTTCTTTTCATTTTTATACGATATATTGATATATTTTTGGTTAGGGGTCAACTCATAGCCATCGGCGTTTTGGTTAAAGGACTTCAGCCACTGCTTTATTGGAATTAAAACTCCATCAAAATGAGACATTACTTTAAGGAATCTTTGACCAATTTTCGCTGCAAGCAGTTTAAGCTCTTCGCTCAGATCGTTGTTCATGTGCACTTTTTCACGGCTAGCTGTTTTGCTGCCCTGCCATTTTCAAACGGACAACCTCTTCCTCGCATCTTTCTTCCTTTTGGTTTTGGTCTTCTATCTCGTTCGGCGAAGAAAAAAAGTTGTATTCACACCCATATCTTTCATTTCTGCGTTTCCTGGATTTTGATTTTCATACTGCTGCCGTTTTCGGGTTTTATATTGGTACTGATTGTCATGTTGGTTCTTTTTCACGGACCGTATCATTTTAACGAATTTTAAGTAAACCGCAAACTTGTTCTTTTGGCTTTGTTCTTGTCCAAAAAAAGAGGACGCTCACACACACAACTACACTTTTTTCGACTGTTTTAATGGCTGCTTCGGTTGAGCCACCATGTAAGATAATTTTTTGTTCTATATGTTTTATTTAATAATAATTATAATATATATTAGCAATATAGCAATGGTTTGGCAACTGATCTGGCCCGATCTTACAATAGATTGACAACTTTTCGTCTGAATAAGTTAAGTCGCTGCAACTTGGCAACTTAATTTCGGCGGCTTCTACATCTTAGTACTGGACATTCTCGAGGAACTCTTCAAGGCACGACTCTAATCGATATTAGTAGGGCTGCCAACTGATGCCCAGATAAGTCAATACACGGCAGACGTTTAAAATATTTAAGGTTTATTTTACTTGTTGCATCAAGTGGCCGTCCTGAGTCGCAGTGCATGTGTCATTACTCCGTTTAGAAAATATTCTAAATAAATAAATGTCTTTTTAATTAATTTATTCAAAAAATTTATGTTAAAAAGAAAACTTACCGATTTCGAATGCCTTTCAGAACCGCTCTATTGCAAACTGTTATCAAGAATATTATAATGCCCTGACTGCAGTTTATTATATCATTCACTTTGATTAAAGGTTTTAAAAGGTTTTCGACTTCACATATAAAGGAAAGTATTTCCATAATCCAGCATCCACCCATTATGATAAAAAGATAAAGATAAAGGCCAAAACTAAAAATGTAATGAAAACAAAACAAATAGTTTTTTAAGTATCTAAAACTTATGGTCTGTTTTGTAAATCTGGAAAAATTCAACCAAAAAATAGAAAAAGAAAATCATACTTGGCTTCATCCTTTGAGTTTACTTTTTCTTTATAATGTGTTAAGACTTTTGGTCTCAGCTTGTTCTCCGCATAAATATGTCGAGTAGTCAACACGAACATGGATATGTTAAATAAAATAAGAATGCAGATCGGGAAATAAAAATAAAACATTCCCGACCATCTGTCAGCTGAAAGAAAAGCCCTTTTAGTTAATATCAAAAACATGTAAAGACAAACAAGAAAACTTACTCATAATCCAGCAAGAAGTTACACCAACACCTGGCACAAAATTTAAACCTGAAGCACTGGCAAAGGGAACCAAAAGGTCTACCAGTAATACTCCTAGTGTCAAGATGCCTGCATTGCTCCAAACGATAAGATTGTAATAAAGAAAACTATTTTTTTGAAATTCTAAAATCCGATACAAGCCAAATCTTCTCCAGATATTGAAACTGACCACGGAGAGCCAAAGAAATGTGGCCATCACTGCATAATATCCGAGATATCCTGCAACAAAATCATGCTTAACGCCATGAGACTTATCTAATTCGTAATAATTACCATTGATTAAGCACATTAATCCAGCATTAAATACACCGAACATACTGGTTACATTTAGCATAAAAGTTACCATGAGGCACACGAAGTACAGATTACAGCACATGCCATGAATCGTATGAAACATTGGAAGCCACAAATATAAGGCAATTGTCAAGGCCATAAACACAATGGATGCTATCTTGACTAAAAGAACAAATTATTATGCTAATTCAGATAAAAATTAAGTAACTCTTACTATAGGCCGTAGTCAAAGAAGGCTCGATAATGCAGTTGTAAGGAACAATGGAGTAGCTTTTACCATTCTTCGTCTTTCGAGGCTGCAGACAGTAATCCTGCTTCGAGAGAAACGCGTTATCATAATGCCGTAGCAGAGTTCCATTCTGCAAGTTTAAAGCATAGAAAAGTTATTATGGATATGTTATTATTTTCTTTTCTTTTTCAAATTAACCTCGAATAAGGTCCACAGATCATCCTTGTATCGTTCTACGTCCAGATGATAATGCTTGTTGCAAGGCATGGGAAGCTCCTGCTGGACGATCATTTCCTTTATCACGTGTTTTTTAGTCACTGTTCCATTACTAAGTGTTATATTTAAATCATAATTATATGTAAGATTTTTGTTTATATCCTTTAAACACGTTGTTCGTTTCATGAGTTTCTTATGATGGCAACAGAATCGAATGCAGGGCTTCAGCTTGCAAGCACATCCTCTAACGTGATTGGGAACCTCTTCCTTGTCACCATTGTACAGGATCTTGTAGTCGTACTCCCCTGTAAGGCTAGCAGGAATGATGAGGTCTTCATGTTTATACGATCCATTTTGAAATCTCAAACTGTGCGTTAGATCTACAGTATCAAAGTAATCACAGTTTGGGATATCAGCAGCAATGCCAATCAAAAGTAAGCTCCATACGCAGCACCAATATGCATTTCGATTCATTTTGAACAGTTCCATCGTAACTTTACGCCGAATCCGATGTGATGACTTCTCCGTTTGACCACTTGAAGCAGAATAACTTGTTTAGCAAGCCACTTTGATTTCTTTGGCTTGATATCACGTAAATCAGCCATTAATATCTGAGGACATTCCAAAACAAACTGACGCAGACAGGCGACTCCTTAACACTAAGATAAATTCACGCTGAGTGGATATATTTACGTCATTCGCTGCAATGATTGTTATATAAAACTATGGCATTAACTCAACTGCCTTGAGAACAATCAAGTTTTTCCAAGAAAAACAGCAATACCCTGAGAAAAATATTTCCAAATGGGGCCACGATCAACATGTACATAACATGATACCATATGAATGAAATTTCGTAATCCATCTTTAATTCTTAATATAACCAATAGTTGTTTCTTCAAGTGTAGAGACCTGTATACATTTCCTGTTGCAATTAGCTCCACAAAAAGAAAAAGAGTGTCGATATCATTTTGAAATTTTTTATTACATCTGTATACATTTATAAAATATATTAAACAGTAACGTAGTTGTATATTAACAGTACCGTACAGTAAAAGTAATCGTACACATTAATAAGAGTCGTAAAACATTAATAATCTTTATGCTATCAACTTTCAGTTTAGCCGCAACGAAGCTTACCTTACAAAAAACAGAATCTTCTCCGGAGTTCACCTATGAAAACATCGAGGTGCTCTATTTGGAAATAGGTGACAGAAAGATCTTTAAATTTCATTTAATTGGTTTTATAACGAAAACGAAAACTTAGTTGTTAGACAGTAGTAATAATTAAAAATAATAATAATAATAATAATAATAACTATAATAGGGACCGCATTTCGAGAATGAAACGTGGAACATTTCTTGAATAGAAAATTTTTTGGATTTCTTTCGAATCATTTTTTTTGTTTTGATTTTTTTTCACTTGTTAACCAACCAACTTAACATAATTTGTCACTAAAATACAAACTTAAACAAAGGACAATTTGCTTGCTAATAATATTTACACATAGAATATAATAAGTTTTGATTTGTTTTTTCTCCCATTTTGTATGTTTGTTTTTACGTCTTCGTAATAGTTCTCTGACTAGTGGTTTACTATATATATATATATCTATATGTTTTTTATCAGTATATCTGTTTTGTATATATATATATAGATTACTTTGTATGTTTGACGGGAGTCACTTGGCTATCTGACTACCTGATTTGAAACCACAACACTTATTTAAATTGCAAAAACGTTAAACCTCTAAAAAATACATTTAATTCACATTTAGTTTTGTTTTAAAATCCATTAGATTTTCTTTACGTGGGACTGACTCTTGGCATCATATACGTTCTATTGGCTTGCACACAACATACATTTCTTATTTGTTTTTTTTTTTTTGTAGTTTTCAATGCATGCACTATAATAGACATTTATGCTTTGTTCAAAATATTTAACAACTAGCTATTCTAATTGTTCTCTCCCCTCTCTTAACAATTGGAAATCATTTCTCTAGTAGGTGGCCAGCCTTTGAGGCTGCTCCTGGCTATCTCTATGATTTAAACTAATCCAAAACTTATAGAGCGGAGTACTTCTGTAATCTCTAGGGATATTAAACGGGCCATTAAGATAAAAGATTTACTAGTCATGTTATTCACATGTTGAGTTTTAACATTTACGTGATTCTATAATAATCAAACTAAGAAAAGTTTACAAATTTATACACACATTAAGTTGAAAAGATGTTGCCTCCTTTTTATGATCAAAAATTCTATTCAATTTATATACAATATCTTTTAAAAAGGTAAACTAATATGTGCATTTTTTATACTAAAAACAATGAAAAAATATTTTATGCAATGGGAATCACATTCAAAGTGGGATTTTTCTAAATAGCAAAAAGATTTTAGATTTAAACTACCTTTGACCATCTTAAGATCCAAGGATTCTTAGTTATCTTCTTGACACTTTGCATAAAATTAGTTTAAGACCCCCAGAGATTTAAGAAGTACCCCCAATGAATTCGCTTTTTCTTCTCCCAACCCATTTTCTTTTTTATGTTTTTTTTGTTTTTTTTTTGTTCTTTCTTGTAGGTTTGTAGGTTAACTTGGGCGCAGATGTCGCTTAGTGTTTTTGTTTTGAGATTAATCATTTGATGATTATTCACAGAAGTACTGAGGTAGAGTTGTTCCATCTGTCGACCCGCTGCCTTATTTTTTTTTTTCTATTTTCTGCTGATTTGTATTTTCTTTTACCAACTCTGGTTCATTGCCTGCTCCAGTTTGGCCTTGGCCACCGCCGCTGCGGCAACTGCTGCCGCTGAGTTAGTGGACAGGGGAAGTCCAGCTCCAACGGCCACCACTGCCTGTTGTTGCTGTTGCTTGCCAACGGCTACGGCAGCGGCTGCAGCAGCGGCCAAAAGAGATGCCGACGGTGAACTGGGCATAAAGTTAACATTGATATTAATGGGATGCACCACCGGCATACTAGTGTAGCTCTTCTCGAGCAGATCCATCCCGTTGAGGAAGGGTACCAGTGCATTATAGTCGACATTGAGGGGCACATAGTAGTTGCCCTGACCATGGAGTGCGAATATCGGTACCGTAAAGGAGTGCCTGGGCGGCAGAGGAGCGGTGGTGCTGCTCGGAGTACTCAACTGGCCACCAGCAGCTGCCGCCGCAGTCAGTTTCGCCAAAAGTGGACTGGAGTTGGAATTGCCATTGTGCAGCTCCGACTTAATGTCCTTGATGTCGCTGAAATTAAACGAGGGTGATGGCTTGTCCAAGCGACTAGCAGCGTTTGCTGCTGCAGTGTTGGATTCGGTTTGTACTTCCTGGGGAATTTCCCCGTTGGCCGCCGCCTCAGCCAGCTTCCGCTTCTTGGCCATAATGGGAGCTATTTCCGGTTCTGTGCCATCCTTCGAATGATCCGACAGTGCATGCAATTGGGAGAGCTCATTCTGGAAATGCGCTGCCACTGGGCAGTGCTCACTGCTCGTCTCCTCGTCGTGGAGCTCGTGGACAAAGCGCTCCTTGATGTGGTTCTTGTACTTGTAGTTGTTGTTGTGCTCTACCTCGTGCGAGGATTCCGAATAGTTGCGCATCCTCACGGACATCAGGCTGTCCTGGGTATGGTGGCTGTGGGTCAAGAGAGATTGCTGTTGTAGCAGCAGATCCCTGGGCGGTGGCGAGTGCATGTTAGAGGTATCTATGTGAAGGATCGGTTCCCTGGACGATTCAAAGTCGTGGTGGCTGCTGTCCGTGTGATGGTGATGATGATGCGGGGCCGTCGACGTGATCACTGGCGCCTGATGGGGCTGTTGGTGGGCTGCCAGCGGAGTGATTTTAGGCGCACAGCTTCCACCGGCTGGCGGGCAGGTGGTGGAACTAGCGGCATTGCTACAGTTACTACCGCTGCTGTTGCTATTGCCCCCGGCAATTGCTGCGGCTCCATTGTTCGTAGAATTACTGGGTACATTGTCACCAGCTGGCGCTGATGATCCACTGTTGCCACCACCATTAACCAATGGCACCTTCGAATCCAACCCGGCATTGGAAGCCTGCGAGTTGCCATTGGCAACCACAACTGCTGCTGCTGCGGCTGCTGCTGCTGCCGCCACCTGCTGAGTCCTATGCAGCTGATTGAGATGGTTACGGAAACTCAGGTCCTTGACATCGTTATGGTCCTGACTGTGCTCGACATCCGAGGCCGAGGTGGCCAGCATGTCGCGCAGGTGGCACAGAGGTGGGTGGTAAGCCTGATGGGGACTGCCGCTGGAGGCGCTCACATTATCCGGCATGTGGCAGCTGCGCGTTGATTTGTAGCAGTCGGCTGGTAAAGAGATTAAAAAAAGTTAGTAAATATTAAATTGTGATCATACTTTGCTATACTCACTCTTGAACATCTCGTCGATGTGCTCCTGCAGACGCCCCAACAATCGGTGGCAAAAGTCCTGCATGTGGACCTCGTAAAGGAACTTGGCCGCCTCCTTCATACAGTCCGTATAGCCGGTACGATAGTCGCTCTCCTTCTGCTGACACTCGCTTTGCAGGTGCTTCAGGTGTCTAATGGCCATCTCGATGATTTCGGTCTTCTCAATACGGCCACGTCCTTTGCGCTGATACTGCGGCGGGATGAGGCGGGATAGGTCCGCCAGGCAGGAGTTCATGCGATCTCGTCTCCGTTTCTCGATAATTCGATGGGACAACGGATCTTGCTGTTGGCAGAGGTTATAGAGATAGTCTCGTTAATATGGCTTGGTAGATAGCTTCATCGATAACCCAAATAATGTGGGTAGTTAGTGGGCTTTTTAGACCCCTAGCCTAAGTAATGATTTTTCTGCTGAGAGACGTTTTTCTTTTGCTATTTTTTTTTTTATTTTATTTTCGCTAATTTCGGATTTTCTTTTTTTTTCACTTTATTTTTCTTTGATCAATTTTTCTTTCATTTTTTTTTGCTAACAATAAAAAAGGGTCAAAAGTGGCGGCTGGCGTCGATGGCGGCATGGTCATCATGGCTCAGGGTCATTGCTCGTGTGTGTGGGTGGTGGTTGGTGGTTGGGTGAGAGTGTGTGATAGCTAGTGGGCGTGGTCATCATCCGGGCGCTGCTCTAATACTCTTTTGATCCTTTGATCTTGTCTCAGTCGTTATCTTTTTTTATTTTGGTTTTTCGTTTTCAATTTGAATTTTTGATTTGTGTTTTGTGTTTGAATTTTGATTCAGAATTCGGAAATGATAGCGAGTTTTGGGTCGCTCTAAAATTGTAATATTTACCCTCGATGTCTTATTACGTCTTCCGGTGGCATATTCAGCATCGTCCTCGCTGTATGCCGTGGCGGATGTTGAAAAATTTAAACTAGATTCTGTGCAATAAGGAAAACTGGAGACAGCTGCTTCGCTATAATTGGTTTCGATATGCAAAAAGAAGTGGGAAGGATAAAGAAACACAGTTAAGTCCAAATCTTGTTCAAAAATGTTTTATATTATTTTGTTTTGGTTTTGGTTTTGGTTTTGTTTTTGGTTTTTTATTCATTTTAATTTTCGGTTCAAATTTTGTTTTATTCGTTTTAGTAATGCATTTATAAGGCGCATAACTTAGTCTGTCTTAGAAGTAGTAACTTAAGCTAGTTAGTCTAGGATTAATAGTTAAAGACTAATTGTGATTTGTTTTTGTTTTCGTTTATTTTGCTATTCGATATGAGAATAATTTAGGGCTGCAAAGGAACAGAAAGAACAAAGGATTAAATGTTGTCGCTGAGACTCGAAATCGCTTTGGATCAGCCAAAATCAATCCGTGTGCCTCAAAGAGCTCTCCGTCGGTTAGCTGGACTTTTGGGCTGTGGTCGCTTGGCTAAAATCAAACGAGCGTTTTGGTTTGGTTTGTGTTTGTAGTAAAACGGGTGCAAATGCCTTAAAGTACGATTAGCATACGATACTTATTACGGATCCTCAAGTCCAGGAAGGAGATTCATCTCGCTCATTCTCTCTCTCTCTTTCCAACACAATGACACACGCAAGATGACAAGATGTCAGGATCGGTGGGGGGATCATAAAAACCATTTTTATTTCTAATTTATTTTCAGAATTTATCCCACCAGATGCCCCGTAAAAACCATACACGTTTCAATACATCCACTCAATATATCAGGCCAGCTAATTTTAGACTCTACACGTTTTTATTGCCATGTGCCAACAAAAATATAATAAAAATCTAAGCAAAAACTTGAACATATTTTGTAAATATACAAAAATCTCGATGAAAACTGTTGCCAAGCGCCACAGGGGAAAGATTCAGACATAGAGAGAAGGAAAACCCACACAATTCAACATCTTACACACCCATTGAATGCCAATTCTTCGAATCAAAAACTAAAACCAAAACAAACACATCATCAGCATCGACCAGAAAGCGCTAGAAGACCAAAATAAAAATAAAGTGGCCGCAAGAGAGAAACAATAATAAGTGTCATGGCTCTGGGCGATAAGCGAGCGACAACAAACAAACGCAAATCATATTCTATATATACATATATAGATATATATATATCTGATTTATCCATCTAGTATATGGTTAGAGATACCAGAACGCACCAGTCCCTGGCGCCTAGAACTTGTTTATCCGACTGTCTTGGCCCCTCCCCCCTAAAAAAGGCGCCAGCAACTTGTTTTCATCTCGGCGTTTAGCACAATTTGTTGAATTCGATTTGTAAACCGTGGCCAATTATCGTTCCACCAGCATACACTGCGTATGAGTAATGCAAATAAGCAATTTTGAGTTTGGGCGTGCCATTGCCTTGGATTACAGGTTGACTGCACTCAAAACCATATTTATCTAAAGTTTATGATGCGAGGTAGTTGTTAAAGGGCGAATGGGTTATTAGATGCTTTAGTTTTTGAATGTAAAATTATAAATGAGGGAAACTAGGAGGGAATTACTGAGTTTTAGTTCAATTGGCTGGTGAATATCTTCTTGTTAGAGATGTATGACATCAAACAAGCATGTTTATCATTTCTTATTGCCATATGATTCTGAAATTATTCATGGTTTTAAATAAATTTACAACAATGACAAAGTCGCCCAGAATGTTTGCCAGCGTACGTGTTTAATTTAGGGGGCTGCGCCATCGGGATGCGATCAAACAATCCCGTGAACAGGGCGTGTACTCAGTGGCGTACTTTTCATCATTGACCAAAGAGCATTAACAAGAGAGAACGTCAGCGCGAATCACTCGCTTGATTCATGAGAGCAATGGCGAAGACCCCAATAAGTTGGCAAAATGCCGCCCCGTTTGAATGGCGCTGGCCCACCGAAAATGTCTTACGTTTTGTTTACGTTTTCTGTGCCGTTTTTGTTGTCGCACTATTAAGTAATTGGCACATAAATACGAGGGTAAGATCTACAGGTAGTACGCGCGACACTGCCATGACGACAGTTCCCCCGATCATTCGCCTGTGGTTTGCCAATAGCATGGACAGCATTCCCCCATCCGGATCTAAATACTATATATACTCGTATACTGACACGTTTGTCTACGCATGAGTTTGTGATAATTACCCCCATGTGCTGTAGTAATAATGTATACTAGAATTTGCACACGCTCTGGTCCTAATATTCATATCGCTGAACTTGTCCATTGATATTCAAGTTTTGTGTCTAACCATTTCCTGTTCTTATCAAGGGGTAGTTAAACCCTACCGATAAGATTGTCACGCCACACGTGACGCTATTTCTATTATATTTTTCTGTTTTTCTATCATTTTGTTGGTCACTTTTGGTACCATAAATTGTTGTTATAGCTAACTGAAATAATCCGAAAACAACTTGTATTTTTCGGTTTATTTAATCATCTCTGAGTGTGTGGGTTTTTCCCAAATAATAATACAGGCCAAGATAATAGCATAAAACTAATCGGTAAAGATTACAATTCCGATCAGTAAACACCTCAAGAAGTCTGTAATAATGTTAATTAGCTTGGGCCCAGTCATTATCTTGGTCTCAGAATCTTAGGTTAATCAACAGCAAATATTATTCACTGCTGACTCATGCAGACGACGCAAGTGATTCATGAAAGTCTTGCCGATGCTAAAAAAGCCTAACAATGCCCAATACCGTAAAAAAATATACAGAGAGAAAAACAGCAACATTCCTCATTCAATTTGATATTAATTTAATAATTAGCACTTGAAAGACATTACAGTATGGCAAAGAGAATTTTTAGACCAATTTCTTATCAAGACCAAAATACAAATCAAATACTAATAACATTTCTCTCTGTGTATTGATTTACACAACTCACATGTTTACGGTGGACAATCGGGGCATTCAATGCCAACAGTTTCCGCCGACGATCTGTGTCACAAAAATTTCCATATCGACATTGGGTAATGGAAATGCGCTGGCTCTGGCGCTGCCTCGAATTTTGAAATCTCCGAGGGCGAGAGTGGAAAACAACCGAAACAACAATAAAAACAAAACAAACAACAAATGATGACGCCGTCGAGTTCGAGGAGAGAAAAATAAATCACATTTAAATAGAAGAGCCTGGCTGTCTAATTAACAAAAGTGGGTGGGGCTGGACCCGTCTGGTTCTCGCCTGATCGACGACCTTGAGTTCGTCAGTCGGCTGATAAGGTACACCCCTCTATATATATATATACCTAAATATCACCAACAGAGTCGGCTAGATTAGCACCAATTACACTGAAAATGCAACGAAGCATCTGCTGGCCAGGTGAGCGACACGATCACGTGAGATTTGCGAACTGGAACTGAAATAAAACTGAAAACTAAAACCGAAACTGGAAATGGCGCTCATAAATATTCAAATGCAAAAACTACGAACGGGCACGTGATATAATTGTTTTTGGCCAAAGTGCAAAGACCAGAAAAAGCTGGAAAAAAAAAACAAATTGCAGCACCAACGGAATTCGATTCGAAACAATTTCAAATTTCGCATTTCAGCTATTTTAACCAACACACAAACGTGTACACGTGCCGGATGGACTGCTTGGCAACAGTTTTTTCGGTTTGGTTTTGTTTTTTTTTTTTTTTTGGATTTGGAATTGGGATTGGGTTTGCAAATGGAATCGAAATGGAATCGAGGGCAACAATCCCCGGCAAATTGCTCTCTGGCGTGCTGTCTAGGCGAAAAAAAAAACAATTCGATGTGAGTATAAACAGAAACAACTCACATACAAAAGATACAGATACAAATACAGTACAGATACAGATACAAATACTGCACAGATACAGATACAAATACAGGGGAGTCGAGTGCGAGGCCAATTGGAGGCGGCTGTCTTTGCCTTATTACGCATACTACTTCTACGAATCTTCAAGAAACACTGGAAAAGTGCAAATGGAAATCTCGTATCGCAGCTCATTTGCAAATCGAGCTGGTGATGAGATAAAGCTGTCTTTGTTCCAAGGAAAGTGAATCACAAACAGTGCTGATTTATGAAATCCTCGTATGATTTTGTGTATTCAGTCCAGGGCTGCTTAAGATAGCAACTTGTGCTGTCAAACAACCAAGTTGGTAACAGAACTAGTACCTTAGAAAAGCATAATTTAGTTACCTTGTTGTAATACTCAATTGCAACTACAAATAGGTTTACTTAAGTACGAATATTTCCCATACTTTCAAATTGAAAAATATTTATTTTTAGACACTTTTCACATGAAAACTATCAAATAATGTGGCTATTATATGTAAATTCAATAATAATGTTTGACAATAAAACTTAAAGTTGATTTTCCCAAATGAAAATATGCAAATTTTTATCAGCAAATTTCCCCATTAAATCTCCAAATGCCAACACTAATCGGGCATTCCAGATCTGCAACTATCCCCATTCCATCCGCATTCCCCAGCTGAAATGAATGACCGCAGTCGCCATAACTGGGTCAAAAGACACTCAAATTCATCTATTTAAATCGTTTAGCGGCAATCAAATGCAGCGGTCATGAGTCAGCGGACCCAAAAACAAAAACAAAAAACCAAAAAACATCGAGCAGAGTGCATTAATCACGAAAGTCCACCACATACCGCACATATACCATGTGAATTTCTCAATTTTTGCGGCACGTTTGCAGCCCGTGAGTTGGAGAGAGGTTATAGGGGGGTTTACGGGTGTTTTTTTTTTTTTAAGGGGTTTATAGAGGGTCAGTCAGCCTGCATGGAACGTGAATAACTACGTGCCCGATTCTCAAATGCCAATGGACGTCCAACCGAACGGACGACGATGTTGATGATGATGACGATGACGATAAGACCGGCGACGGAACGAAATGTATCGATGCGGATCGGATTGAATCGGATCGAGATCGGGTAGGATCGAAAACAATTTCAAAGCAGGCGGATATATATATCTGTCCATATAATTTATAACACTCCGGTTGGCTATTTATATCGGGCTGCATGCGTTTGTTATTTGTTTTGGTGATAAACACGATCGAAAGAGTGAATAAATTAAAAACAACTGTATTCATATGGTATTTTCCCCATTAATTAGTAAATATTATGTTTTAAGCTCTATACTAAGATCAACTTTCTTCAAAATAATGTTAATACAGGTTGTGTTAGGCACTTTTTCTTGAATATTTATTGTATGAAAAAGCTTTGTTTCTGGATTAATCAAGGACATATCCCCTCTTTCGATCGATAGGTTCTGTTTAGCTTTAGCAGTTGGCAGTGGTTTCTTCCATTTCCTGTTGTTCTTTTTGACGTGTTGTCTTGCTGAACATCTGTGAGTTGCCAAATCTACAGGAAATCCATTCCGGATCCATGTAACACAGACGTAGCCAGCAAACAAACACACTTTTTCATAGATCTCATGCTGCTCCAGATAGACTTTCCATTGGTTTCCTTATAGTTAGAGCTGTAAATATCACTAATCACTGGGTCAGGGTCTTCAGATCAAAGTTTGATATCGTCGTTGTCAAGATCCCGAAATCGAAAACAACGAGAGACAGCTGAGTATTAAATGGGGTTGTGGGTGTAGATTGTTTGTTTTTTTATACAAAGGGGGATTTAGCAACTGTCTCGTCGTGCAACAAACCCGAGATCTCACTGACGCTTGACAACTCTGGACACTTGATAGATATAGATACACATGTGCTTATATAGATAGATAGATACTTTTCGTTTTGAAGAAGGGCCGGGGGCGATACGATTGTGCGTCACGCTCGTTTCGCTTTTTATCGCGTGTTTGCTTATCGCTATTTGTGTTTTCTCTCTGATATTTTTTTTTCGCTTTTATGGCTGACTTTGGGGTTGATTAAGATGGCTGCGCGTAATGCAAATTATAAACACTTCAGCAGCGTTGAAGACGAAGACGCGTGTTTACTTCGAGTGCCAAGTTTGATAAGGAGTCCACAGCAGGGGCAACCCGAATTTATAATATTTATTTTGATTATCATTTTTTTTCCTTTTTTGTTTTTTGTTCATGCGCTGATCCCGCGTGCAAAGATTAACAAAAAGAAAAACGTTCCCAGGAGCTATGATGGTGGTCATTGAATACCAAAATAGCCAAATGTAAAGCTCAATCAAAAAACAACAGCCACAGAACCAACAGAAACCTGAGAGAAACACAAAACTTGTTGACCTTCAAAAGGACACGGGCCACCCACAAAGCTAGCAAAGCCACCCAAGCACGTGAAAAGCACCAACATTCCACCCACTCGATGGCCAATCAGAGGAGTTGGTAGGGTAATACAAGACCCATGCTGTTGTTAACTGATATTTATAGCCACGTTTTGGCCGTTGACATTTAGCAGACACAGGCATAAAGCCCCTCCAAAGGCACATTGATTATATTATTCATTTGCAACGTTGGCCACACCACGTCGCTTGGATTATTTATCACCACTCTGGCCACACCAACGTAAACTTTTTTCTCATTTCCAATCGGACACGTTTAAACGAAATTCAAGTTCAAAAATACAAACTCATTGGAGAGGGGGGAAGTAGAGACTCACAGGGAAAATTCAACGAAACATCACGTTTGGCGAGTCGTGCGTTGGATTTTGTTGTGTATTTTGGCTTTTGGCAAACACGAAAACAAAAAAAAAAATTAAACAACAAAATAAAATAAAGATGAAATAAAGCAAAACTAAAGCACCTATCTCGGCCAAGAATAGCCCGGCGACAGAGTCTGCCCACGTTTTCTTCACCCGATTTTCGCGTTTGTTTTGCAAATGCAAATTGCTTTCTAGCTCGTTGGCTAAAAATACGCGGCCCACACAGCCCCAAAACAGATCCAAATGTTCCACGCCCGATCCTGACATGCACGCACATAACGACAAGAAGTTATAGAGGAGGCGGAGACTTAGGCTTAAATACTAACTGCGAGTCTTAGATACACTAAACCATTATTAAATTCACAGATTTTTTTTTGTTGTTGTGAATTTGCAGCGGGATCTGGGGATCTGTGCTGAATATACCTACCTCTCATACTTGACCGGATGGGCGGCATGTCCGTTCGTCTCGTTCCAATAGGGCTCCATGTTGGGGCTCCTGCTCCTCGATCCGCTCCGGATTCCGCCTCCTCCTCCTCCTCCTTGAACTTCGAGGCTTGCGAATCCGCTCCTGGGCAGTATGACTGTTTTGTGGAGCGACTGCTGCGCCTGCTGCGTCTGCTGCTGCGTCGACGTGGTTTGCTGCAATTGCGGTGGAATGGTGGAAGTGCTCCTCCTTACGTCAGTGCAGAAATAATTGTCAGATAAATGCCGGGGCGAATTTATGGCCGAGCAAACAGGTAGTTGAGTCGAAACGGCAACGGCAACGGCAACGGCGAAGGCGAATTCACTGCACGGCGAGTTACTTTTCTCTTTCAAGCTGAGATGTGTGTTTTTTAAGGTGGTATGTACTTTTCTTCCCGGATTTATACTTTTTTTTTTAAGTTTTAGAATGGCATAGCGGGGTGTTTATTTATGTTGGAACGAGTGGAAAATGCTGATAAGTGAGTACCGCCTGTTTACTCTTTTCCGCTTATCACTGGATGCGTGTGTCAATGTGTGTGGGTAGTACGATAACGATAGCGATAACGAGTTTATGTCTCCTCCTGTTTCTTTTTATTTTTTATTTGTACTTCTATTTTTGGAGCTTCAATTAAAGTGCACTTGTTGGAGCGGTTCTCTCTCTCTCTCTGTGTCGTCCGCGGTATCCACAAAAAAACAAAGGAAAACAAATAATGTCGAAAAACGTGATTGAGCTGCCCGGTTTTTTGTTTAATTTTTGCACGTTTTTAGCTTTTATCAGCTTTTATGCACACACTGTTTTGTTAATAATATATTTATATATGTACACACAGCCGCAAAAACAATAACTTCCTTTCGTTTCACAGTGGAATTTTACCAGCCGCCTCTATATACACACACACACAGTTACATATACAGATACATAGATGTATAGGCGAGCGAACAACGTGCGTGCGTGTGCGTTTGTGTGTGTGTTTCACTATTAAAGCACGTATATATATATGTATATATCAAATTTGTTGTTGCCCCTCCAGCTAATTTTGCTGTTTTTTATTTGCTCTCTCCCTCTTTTATTTTTTTTTTATTTGCTGTGTTGGTTTATTTAATTTTTTTGCACTGTCATCCGCACCGTGGACACTTTTCCAAACGTCTGTTCGCGGCCAGAGACAGAATCGAAATGAATGAACGGGCACACGAGACCCCAAAAAGGAGCCAAGAGAAGAGAGCTAAGCGCCAAATTAATGACGTGCCTGTCAAAGAGAGAGAGAGAGAGAATTCGATTCAGAGATAGAGAGCAACATGTGTTGTTGGCGGGCAGAGAGAGGGAGAGCGCGAGAGAGATAAAGATAAGGCATTTCGTGCGCGGCAAACGTGATTGCCACAGTGGAATTGAACTCGTAATTTTATGGCCACAATGTCCGCAGGGAGATTAGCTCAGGGGAATTCCTACAAAAAAATTGCCCAATTTGCCAGATTGCCTATTTGTTTTGATTACTGCAGTAGACTTTTTGATAAAAAGCTGTGCAAATTACGTTTAACAATACATATGATATTTTATATTTTATTCAAGGTATATATCACAAATAATAAACCACTGCTAAAATCACAAAAATATGGCACATTGCTTTCACATTGGTTATAACCAAGAAATAAGTGCTAAAATTCATATATGAACATTTTCGAGTCAATCAGTTCCACTGTGCCCCCGACATTTGGAGGCTTGATGACTAGACAACACGTACTCGCACTCGGACCCGCACACTCACGGCACTTACACAACCATGAGCATTATTATTGTTGTTGCAAGATAGGCATAAATTAGTTGCGTGTGAATTATATATTTATAAGCATTTAGTTGTCCGTTCCGATTGTTGTGGTTAAGTTTAAGTGCACCATATGTTCTTAAGTTTGAGTTACGAGTTTTCAGATTTTACCGTTACAATAAAAACCAGCAAATAAAAACAAAAAAATACAATATATACAAATATATACAAGAAAACAACGACGCAGAAACTCAAGGCGAACAGCAACAACACAAGTCGGCGGCACATAATAAAACACGTGAACGTGACAAATTCCAAAGCGAACTCAACTGGGCGGCGGCTGCCAAAGAGAGAAAGAGAGAGAGAGAGAGAGAGCGAGAGAGAGAAAAGCTGATAACCGCCGCTTGGCAACAACAATCACGAAGCCAAACATACACACACTCTTACTGCTCAGCCGACATTTTGTTTTTATTACAGAGCGCAACAGTCGCGGCTTTTGCTCGCTGTTCTTGTTGTTGTTCCCACTGGCGAGCTTTAATAAACGAAATAATAATCATACGCGGCGTTGGCCCCCTCTCTTTTCATTTGCTTATTCGGATTTTTTTTTAATCGAGACACGTTGAAAGTGGCAAACACAAAAAAAAGTAAAAAAAAAAAATAATAATACAAAATAAATAACAACTCAAAATTCGTGGCGCATGACGTAATTTCTCACGCGAGCCGAGCATGTCAGCTATTTCGCACACATACAGACACGCACTTACGAACTTGCACATTTACACACATCTACACACACCAGTGTAGAGCTCAAGTTTGTTGTTGGTCACGTGTTGTTGAAATGTTTTCGCGTTTACAAAACGCTGTTGTTTGTGCCTTGCAGTTTATTCGAATTTGTACAGTGCGAACACCGTAACTTGAACAAATATGATAAATAGATTGGCTGGTCAGGCATTTTTTAAACTTAGTTTTAGTTAATTCCTAAATGCCTCTATGATTTCTGCTTCTTTGTCTGATTTCTAAAAATAAGTTCCCATTTATTTCTTCATCTAAGTATATTATTTAAAGTTCCATTTTTTAATTAAAATAAAAGTACAAATAAATCCTATTTAATCAAGTTTGAGTTAAAGAGCTTTCACTGTGCTTCTTTGTGTTGGGCTTTCCAGCGTGTTGATTGTATTTAAATGGCTCTTGGCTATTTTTAGCCGCCCCAAAGGTCACACCAATACAATGGCACGGGCCGTAAGCCGTACTCTATACTCCGAAAGCCCCGAATCTTCTATATGGGATCCGTGATCTGCGATGACGAATGACGGATGTCGGATGACTTAAACGTGTCCAATTGGGCACTGTATACTCTTGCATAAGAGTTGAGCTTGTTTTTGTTTAGGTTTCGGCATTTTGACAATCTTTCGTTTTAATTTCAGTGCGACGGCACGTGCATTTCGTGTCGCCTTGCACGACGTTACGTATACGCCCCGTTTCAGAAATTACACATACGCCCTGATGATGGAGGGCACGCGCAAAGACACAAAAAACTAGCTCGCGTTACTCATGTGCCGCCGCCAACTCGTAATAATACCCCATCTCCCTCTTTCTGTTCAATCTTATCGGGCTTGTAATATATTTACTTGCTCACATGGTCTGACGTTTTACGGTCACGTGTTGTTAATCGAAACTGTTACGTGGGCCGGTGAATTTCCACGAAATAAAATGCAATCAAAGCTGGAGTGCATTTGCCACCGTCGAAGAATTAGTTTGTTTTTCATAATAAAGTAAATATATCTAAAATGGAGCCATGCATTTGTGGATTGTTTTCGTGTTTTCTCGGCGTTTCCAGTAGCTTATCTACCTAGCTCCGTCTGTATTACTGTTTACCCCGATTGCATGGCTAAAGTTTAATCACGAAACGTAGAGGAAAACCCCAAACGGCAACAATTGCAGGTGCCAGACCTGGTGAAACTATTTTAAAGATACTTTTGTTTAGCAGTCAGCCAGGGAATTCACTGTGGAGTGCGGCTATGAAAATGAAATAGAATGTTAAGTAAAAAATAGAAATATAAACTTAAATTCCAAATTTAAAACAAGGGATTTGATTATTTCACCAATATATTACAGGTTTTTGTTGAATATCACTGATACTATTTATAGGAACTACAAATTATGTAAAGTACTTAATCCACTGTGACTTAAGCAACGCGGCCAAATACTTATGACAACTACAAGTATACGTAAGGCAACACATACAAACACATGCAATTTGCACCTTCAATTAGGAAAGGTGCGAACGGCATTGGGGCGATCAGCGGACCAACTAAGGGCTAATCGAAAAGGGGTGTGCGATAAACAGATGGAGCGTGGCGTCGACACAAATCGTGATCAATCCTAATTTCTAGTAGTGAAAATTCTGAAAATAAACCCAACAAACGAGCAGGAAAAATATAGAAAATTAGTTAACAATTGGCACACCTAATCCAAGCTAAATACTATATAAAATCCAGTGAAATAACAGATATTGCTTGTTATCAGCTAGAGAAATTTCAATTTCAAAGTCGAGGTGAAATCAAGAGCAATAAAATGACAACGAACAAAAATAAAGCAACCCCCTGATAAGAATTAACTAACCCAATAAAAATAGAAATAAAAACTGAAAATAATCTGAAATTAAACCGAAACAACAATATTCAAGTGGAACGGGTCTGAGAGCTATAATATATTTGAACACAAATTGCGATTGTTGCCGCTGCTGTTGATACTTCTATCTTGTTATATACTATATGTATATATATTATTGCTGTTGTTGTTGTTGTTATGTAGATTAGAAATCTCGAGAAATGTTTATAAAAAGCCTGAGAATCCAGGGACAGGGGCAACGACACGTGCGCCCGCAGCTGGACAAATAAAAAATTATTTTACATAGACGTATATAGCTCCTATACATATTTTGTTTATAGGTGAATAACAGCCGAGTCATGAAATAAATGCATGCACAGTGCCTGCATTAATTAGTTGAGGAAAAGATACGTACACGTGGGGTAAGTTTATGGCAAAAAAAATTAAAACTACATTCAAAAAGGTAAAAAGAGAAGTTAGTTTGAGATATTGGTAAGATATTTACATAATATATTACTTGAAAAAATAATATTAGATATAAAATATTTAAGAATATTTTATTAAAAAATCTTGGTAATATTTTTCTGTGCATGAGCTGCTTTTTTTATCAGAGAATTCCCTGTTCTTGACGACAGGTTAGAAGATGGGATTAAGAAGAAAATCAGGGACAAGGCACTCATATCCGTATGAGTAAACAACTGGCTAAAGATAAGCAAAAATAAATCTATCTTTACTGTCTTGGGTTATTTTTAGACTTTTATTTAAACTAATTACTAACTAACTACCTAATTACAAAGCTTAGAGTCCGCAAGCTAGCTTTTCTTATAAACAAAATATAATAAACTAATTTCAACAATATCTGGTCATAAACAGTATCTACAGCCATCTATCTAAGTTACAACTGGAATTATTTTACAGCATATGTGGAATTTTTTCCTATTAGCCAAGCAAGCAGCTTTCTATGAATTTAATTTGCTTCTAATTGATTTCGCGTTTGTTTACGCTTACGGTTACGAATTCTATTTCTGCCCAGCGCCCTCTTATGTAAAACCTACAACTTGTTACACGTTTTGCATGTGAATGTTTGTTTTTCTTTTTTTTTCCCCCTGCTGTTACCGAGCTTGCTGTTGATAAATCAAGCAAAAGGCGGGTTTTGAATTTCCTAATGGGCCTGAGATGTCAGCAAAAACGACGACGACTGCGACAAGGCGACGCCGAATGTAACGCTATGGACTTTGGTACTACAGGTGGGCATAGCTTAGTTGAATGTTTGCCTAAAATATAGATTTTAACTTTAAGTTAAACCTTTCTCTCCCTTGCCTATTACTTTGGTGGAACTAGCGGGTGGTGAAGTGGTCTTGAAGCGATAGGCTCCATTGTTGGGATTGTAGGTGGTGGGCTGAATTTTCCCCTGGGTTCCTTGTCAGTCACTGGAACCGAAACTGAAGCGACTGGTAATGCTACACCTAGCTCGAGGAGTGGTACTGCACTGTAAGACGGATTCTTAGTGTGCTGAAAGTTGTCCAGGAAATCCGTGTTGAAGGTGACATGCAGGGTGATTTTCTTCCAGGAATAGGCAGTGCTGGAGGATTGGTAAGGTGGGTTAGTCATAGTCAGTGCTAAGCAAAAAAAAGAAAAGGTAATTTCCGTGAAATACAAAGTTTATTCTTTCTTTTATGCTTTATATGAAAACAGCGATGTTTTATTTCAAAAACATCGAAAACATCGATGGTCCCAAACATCGATAGTTCTCCAGCCCTAAAAAGCGACCTCTACCCGGAAACCAGTCTACCTTATACTACTGCAGTGTGCCCGTTCGTAACTTTGGCGCGCCCGCGCATTTGAATTCAAAATGTCGTTGCTTTTTCTTTTCAGTCTTTAATGCCTCATCTCCTATGGTAATCCTACTCCTAAGACTATTAAATAAGCTTTCAATGAATTGAATTTGCTTCTAATTGATTTCGCGTTTGCTTAGGCTTACGGTAACGAATTCTACTTTTGCCCACCGCCCTCTTATGTAAAACCTACAGTTTGTTACACGTTTTGCATTTGAATGTTTGTTTTTCCATTTTTTTTGCTGCTGTTGCCAATTTTGCTGTTAATAAATCAAACAAAAGGCGGGTTTTGAATTTACTTGGTCGAAGGGTTTTGGCAGCAAAAACAACGACGACTAGCTAAGTTGAATGTTTGCCTAATATATAGATTTTAACATTAAGTTAAAGTTAAAGACACAGAAACACATTTTTTTACTAATTACATTTCATTTTATTTACAAGAAAACTTAAGACTAATACAATTTCGTAGTGAATTCATTGAATATTAGACAACGAGTACAAAATACTTCAATGGAATTTCTAAAAAGACATTTCTCATCCGGTCATCGATAGGGTTTTTCGCTGCCAAATCGGTTCAATTCAACAATTGTCTAACGACTAAACATATATTCCTTTTATTTAAATAACTAGATACACGCATGGAAATTCATTAGAACGCATCTGAAACGGATTGAATGAATGTACGCGAGTGTTAATGGGTGTCAAGCGGTTCGTAAGTAAGATATGAGTACGAGTATGCATATGGAGTGTGAAAATCTGATGAGCATGGTTTCGGGAGGGAACTGTCTTTAAAATACTGTGGCACCTATGTAGGGAATATGTTCTGGAATAGGGCTATTGGGTGTGTTAATGCAAGTAGTTAGTACGAGTCCTGGGCTGGATAACCCGCTCAGTCCGTATCATAGTAGGCATAATCATAGCTAGTGTCCTCGTCCGCATGTGGGGGCCTCTTGCCAGCTGGTCGATCCTTCTTCTCCAGCTGCTGCTGCTCTTTTTTGCTCTTCACTGACTTCTTGGACTCCACGGGTGCACTTGTCGTGATGGTGGTTGTGGTTCTGGCTGTGGTTGGTGGACGTCTGGTGGTGGTGGTGGTGGTGCTAGTTGTGGTAGTGGTGCTACTGCTGGTCTGCGGACTAGATGCCACCAGCTGAGGATTGTACTGTGAGTTGTACTGCTGCGAGGTCTTCTCCGCCTTGTAGATGTCCGCCCTCAGTTTGTTGATGCTGGCCGCCCCGAAATTCAACGATTGGGCGGTCTTAAAGAGCTCCTCCTCGTCGCTGAGGTCAGATTCCCGCTCACGTTCCCTTTCCTTTTGGTAGACAGACTGCTGCTGGCTCTTCAGCTGACTGTGTGCCTGTTGGAAGCCATGTGGTTGCCGGCTGGAAATCACTGGAGCACTTGTGGTCGAGGTGGTTGAACTGGTGGATCGATTGCGCAGGAAACGAATGCGATTGCGCGGGAAATCGTTCTCGTACAACTCCGGGTGGTACTGGCCATCATCCTCATCCACAGTGGTATGGGGATTAACTGTAGTGGATGGCGCTGATGCCACCGAAGTGGCTGTCTTTTTGGTGGCCGCTTGCGTGGGTCGATGGGTCAGCTGCGTCTGATAATTTTGTTCATAGGGCTTCTTGTATGTGGTCGGTCTGAAGGTGGTGGGTGTGAAGGCCTCTTTCGCCCTGGTTGTGGCACTGGTGGTAGGATAGTATAGCTCCTGGTCCGCATAACGCTCGGTGGTGGCCTTGTAGGTTATGCTTCCACGGCTAGTGAAAGAACGGGGCTTGGAGCTCGGAGCGGAAAAGGGAGCTGGCTCCTGGCTACCAACACGAGTCACCTGAGGCTTATGCCTCTGGTAATGTGGTTCCAGTTGGTTGGGTTTGTTCTGCACCACCTGGAAAGGTTGCGGCTGCTGCAACTTGGGACTCTTCGTTAGATCCACAAACTCGTTTTGATTGATGTAGTTGGACTCCTGGGGACCAAGTTTCTGTTTCCTAACTGCTGCCGAAGTGGGTTTACTACGCTTTTCGAAGTCCTGGACTCCCTTGCCCGTCACCTTGGTGGAACTAGCCGGTGGTGAAGTGGTCTTGAAGCGATAGGCTCCATTGTTGGGATTGTAGGTGGTTGGCTGAATCTTCTCCTGGGTTCCTGGGAAGTCACTGGAACCGAAACTGAAGCGACTGGTGATGCTACTGCTGGGTCGAGGAGTGGTTACTGCACTGTAAGACGGATTCTTGGTGTGCTGAGAGTTGTCCAGGAAATCCGTGTTGAAGGTGGCATGCAGGGTGATCTTCTTCAAGGACTTGGTAGTACTGGGAGCAGCAGTACTAGATGGGATGGTGCTACTCGGACCGAAAGTGGGTCGTTGTGCTCCACGGGTGGGCGTGACCCTCGTGGTCTTACGTTGGTTATCCGAAAAGTCATTGGGCTTGGGGCGGGCTGGCTCCTCATCATATTCCCGGCCCCCGTGACGATTAGAGAAGAAGTGCGAGCTGTGGGAACCCTTGAAGATATCATCTATGTCTTCTGTGGATGGCAGCGTGATTAATTTTGGGCAATGCATCTCGAGACTCTATTGTTACTTACGCTTGGAGTCGTCATTGTTGCTGTAATTGTTGTTGTAATAGTTACGTTCCGTCGTGGATGTGGTCGACGTGGTTGTTGTGGTAGTCGAAGTGGTCGGCGTGTAATAGGTGGAAATGGGTCGCTTGGTGGGTTGCGTGATCTCCAAATTGGGACTGGAGCTGGAACTGGAGCTGCCACCTGTTTGGGCGTAATTGTGACGAGGGCGTGACTTCTGCTCCCCGCCACGATTATTGTTATTGTTGTGGTTCTCCTTAGATCGACGGACATCGCCTGTAATTACAGAAAACCTTGATGAAAAATGCCCACAAATCACGACAACCACTTCCGTTCGGATTAAAAGATAAATAAAATGTATTTTCTATAATCATTTTAAGAATGACTTTAACCCATTAAAGATATTAGAGGAACTCATATTAAGATGTTTACTTGATTTGTGGTTTTTAGTTCAATTTTACTCACCCGTTTCGGCGCGTTGGAGATGGAAAGTGGCCTCTTCCTCGTGGGCAGATTTGCTATCATCTCCACCGCGGTAGAGATCATTCAGGTGGCTGTTGTCGTAAAAAGACGTGGCCTTGTCACAGTCAACGTCCACCCAGTTAGCGCAGATCTGAAGTTCCTGGTCAAAGGCCGTCGTGTTGGGACAGAGGAAGCGGTAGTCCTGCACCTGTTGGACAAACGGATTAGCTCTTCGATGAAGGAGCTGCTCAATACAGCGAAAGCATCAAAAGCACCAAAAACAGCACCATTAGATAGGCAGAACAACATGCAAAATTCAATGTTATAAATCGATATGATTAAGCCAAAAGCATTAAGGCCAATAACCAGGCAGCAGCTGCAGTCACGTGAATAGCTTGTTAAAACTCTAAACAGAATCAGCTTAAACTGGGGCAACATTTTTTAACTTAGCACTTGACAAAAATTAAATCAATTTTGAATTTCAAACTAAGAATATTTCCTTATATAATAAATATCTTAGAAATTTGAAAGGAATCTTTAAATGCATTTTTATAATTGCCAGTGTAGATGCACATATCCAATAAGCGGCTTCCTTGTGAGGCGACTTGAATGCCATAGTAACCAGAAGCACTCGGTGGCCTGTCGTAAACTTTGGCATTTCCATTTGCCACTTGGCATTTGCTTTGGCCCGCAGGGGAAGCTTTAGAGGCTAGGTGAAGTGAACGTTCTCGATCTGGTTCTCGATGATACTACTCAGCCATTGTACACAGTAGGCTAATTGACAGGCCGAAATCCATTCTGTCCCACAAACAGTCATATAAACACACACGTCACAGCCATAAAAGTTTTGTTATTTTGTTCGTTTCTTTTTGTTTTTGTTTTTTGTTTTAATCCATGCAGTTTGGTAATGAAGGTCCCTATCCCGGGGAGATGAGGGTCTATCTGTTCCGCAAGCTCCTGACATCACCCACGGACGTGCAGCGGGAAGTAAGTGAGCAGGCGATCGCTGAGGTGTTGAATCAGGTTCTCACTGGACGCATAAGCACAATCTTCATTTGCGGCGGACTGGACACTGGAAATGGCAGCGATCCGACTAATATTGTCACCCGAATTCTCGGCGAGCTCTTTACCAGCGTTTACTCGATGGAGATGAATATGGAAGTGAACGTTTCGGTGCGTTATGTTGAATTGAACGGAGAATCTGACGACTTGGTTATGAACCTAAAGGGAGCCAATCGCCGAGCGTCCCGAGATCACTTTGTGGCCACCTCACGCGAGGTGAACACCTATATCGAGAAGGTCATGTATAAAGTGCGAGAGGGCAGTGATTGTCCACATCTAATTTTCACTATCAGTGTGATTCAGGCCAATAATGCAAAAATGTTGCGAACATGTTGTGGCAAACTGCAGCTGGTTTACATGCAGCAACTGGCGGAGGATTCGCCACCACTAGAATCTGACAAGCCCCTCAACACCCTGCTAAATTTGTTCCAAGCCCTGGGCTACAACCTGAAGTCCCACATTAGATATCACAATATAAAGTTGACCAGGTTGTTTAAGCAGCTAATGGGCAATGAAGGCAGAACGGTGCTAATCAATTATAAAGATCCAGCAGATCCTCAACCACAGATCGTCTTAGAGGCCCCTGCACCCACACCCTCGTCCTCTCCCAATAGCAGTTTGACTGCCGAAATCTGGAGCGCAATGTTCAGGCAAGAGCGAAGAAAGTATGTATGCCTAAGGGAGAAGGTCCTGGAAATGATACCTGAAAAGAAAGAATTGGAACAGTTCCTAGAGAGCCTGGAAAGTGGCGATTGTAAGGAGGCCGAAGAAAAGAGCTCAGAGGGAGACGTTGAAAAAGAGGAAGAGAATCGCCTCCTGCAACAAACAATTCATGAGATTCGCTTACAGGCTGAGGCATCCATTGCAAAGCTTCAGGATCTCGAGGTGGACATTAATAGTCTAACAGACAGAAACCATTACTTGGAGCAGCAACTTGACCAGAAGAACACTCAACTAGACAGGCAATGCTACCTCCTGAGATCCGTTCATATGGAGCTTATAGATCAAAAGCGAATATTCCAGGACAAACTAGCAGAGTACGCTGAAATGTTCCAAGGGATGTGGCAGCAGCAGAGTGCGGAAATCCAGGAGCAGGAGCATGTGCAGCGACACCAGTTGTCCAAAATGTTTGATACCATCTGCCAGGCATTTCATCTGTGTAGTCACAAAAGACCAGCCCGGATGCTGCTGGAGGATGAGCTGGAGAAGAGCCCAGTGGAAGACCCTAAACTCTAGAGTTTTGCACTCGGCTCCCAGCGAAGAGGCCGCGAAGCCACCCGCTTAAAGGTCAGCCAGCCAGTCGGTTGTCGTTTTCAGATCTTGCTAACTCCAAAGCCATCCGGACCAGTCACGAACCATTCGGTGCCATCTCACACATTCCCCAGCGCATCTGGCTGTGCCACTTTGCCATTTAGCTGGCGCGACGGAACCAAAACGATCGCTGTCGGCAAGTTCGTTGCCTAAGTCTTTCGTTTCGCCCACCAGTTTTACGCTGTAAAAACTGCAAGGACGGGTGGGGATGGTAAGACGTGAAATAAATCCTTTTAATTAGTATTCAGTAACTATTAAATTATAGTTAAACTGCCTAAATTGAATAATGTTTAATGTATTCTGTTCCTTAATCTGAAAATAATAATTTCTGACTGTAAGTAGTATGGCTGCTGCATGTTAATCCCATAAAAGCGGTTAATACTCCTATAGGTTGCATTAGCTATTCACGTTATGGTCCACTGCTGCTCTGATCTCAACCAGAACCCCTTCACCAGGGCACAACAACACTCACCCCAACTCCGGGCAGCTTGACGCACACGTGGAACATCTGGCACTGGGTCTCTGGATCGGCATAATAGCCGCCCAGGATCTTGTCGTGGCAGGTGAACTGCGTCTTGGGCATGTTTTGTAGACTGTAGGTGGGCCAGGGTCTTCCGAAGGCCAGGTCATCGTCCTCGTCGAGCAACTGAGCCTTAGCGAATCCGGATCCACTGCAAAGTGTCGTTGCTGCAAGAGTGGAAACGAAAAAAAAAAACAATCAGAAATCGTGATCTGGTTAGGACTGGTCTTCAAATGGCAGTTGAAGTAGTGCTAGAATGGAGACGAATAGATATCTAGTGGGAACTGATGCTGGTGTTGAGATGATGGTGATGGTGACCTGGTGGTCAAGTGACCTTCGGGCCGCATCACTTTCGCTTACAACTGCGAGACAAGCTCGTGATTTATGTGTGCCGGAGCACTTGCTGCGGTCCAAGGCTGTGGAGCCACCAACTCGGTTCTGCGAGTGCGCGAGACTGCTTTTTATTTACTTTTTCGGAGCATCGATTGCTATTTGCGATGCCGAGCGACATCATTAACATTTTTGGCCAGACGATATATGATCTCTGTGGTCACAAACGGATCCGCTCGGCACATGGGGGTCGCTCAATTAAAATGCCAAGTCAATCAATATCACGGATTACGCTTGTCGTACATGTGTACTTTGGGCATTAAAAGCGAAACCGACTCAGGGGTCTACCTAATTACCATCAGATTATACAATGTATCATTGTTGTCTATGACTTTTTATATATATATATATATGGTATATATCTTTTTCCTTTTTTTTAATTCTGCACAGCTTCTGTTCTTCAGACAACGGAAGAAGGTTTCGCTGCAATTAAGGCAAGTGTAATTGCCATTGCAAACTGCAGAACAAAGCTCCTCTTCTCTGGCTGCAAATTACAGTCGCAGGTTGCATAATCCACCAGTGCGCCCCCATTTATCATGCCAAAAACAAAAAAAAATTACAGATCCGAAAAAGAAAAACTGTTAAAGGAAGCCCCAAATGCAAAACAAAGAGAAAACAAGCCATCCAGCACAGTTCGAAGAAAGAAAGACTATGCGGCTGTGGCTGCAGCAACTCGTCTCTGATTCGCATTTAATTCAAGTGAATTTCGAACCCAACTTTCCTCCCCAGCAGGGCAGCAGTCCATTGTTTTGGCAGTGAACTATGACTGGGCAGATGGCATGGGGCATGGGGCCAAAGGCAAAAGGCATCCAAGGCAGCTCTTTTGTTGGCCCCATCCCAAGCAGATTGTTCGATTTCGATTTCAATTGCTTGGTTGGTGAAGTAAATCTACAAATTGCTCAAAACTTTGGACCAACATAAGCTCTCACGCAGTTCAAAATCCCATTTAAAGCCACTGTATTGGGCGTGGTGGCACTCCAGCTCTCACCGTAAAAGATAATTTACAGTATGGTAATTATGTTTACTGATGACCCACTCTTAGCCGTAATTGCCATTCCTCAGCCTTGTCTTCATTTCGGCCTGCTGCGGGGGCTGTCGGGCAAATTACGCTTGATTTCAAATGTGATCGATATGAAACTCATTGAATCCCATTAATTTCTTCTGCACTGGACCTTGAGCCAGCGTAGCGTTTCTATCTGAGGCATGTTGAAAAACAAAAACTAATGAGCATGCGATTTTTTTTTTTTTTACCAATATGCCATCTTTTTATGGTAAGACACAATGTGCGATTGTTAGGAGAAGGTTGATTGTCAGTAAATCGGACCACAAGAAGCATATATGTGTTTTTTTTGCGGGTTATCAAATCGATTGGAAAGTAAGTCCCATAATCGAAATTTAATATCTTCGTTTTTCATACACGCTTGAACCATTTTCTCCCTTTCAGTTTTTTATACATTTTTCAGCTATAACCCATTGGTTTATTTATTAAAATATTTCTAAAAAAAAAGAGCGGTGAAAATAGACATTAGAAAAAAGTTGAGGAACTTCAAAATTTAGCAGAAAAATTACTTATCAACTTTATGAAAAATTCATATTTTCGATATATGAAGGAATATGCAAAATCCTTTTTCGAGATTAGTTTGAACTTCTTTTTAGTCAAGGAAAATAAATTTTTGTAACAAATATGATATTTAAAAGTCCTTTTAAAATAAAACTTTTCAATATATTTGATCTAAGTGTTTTTTAATACAAAGACCTTAACATTTATGTAGTTTTAAGGAACACCCATCTACTACATGCCTCTTCTGTGCTCCGATTATACAAAATCCTTGTACGGACATTTAGAATATTAAAGAATTTTACTCACCCAAAAGTAAGGCAATCATGGCATTTTGTATGCTCAACATGTCGTATTAGTTTTTATAATCCAAAATCAGGATGATATCCAATAAGTAATCCAGAGCAATTAAGCTGTTAGTTAATCTCGATTTTCACATGGATCGCACTGCAAAACAAGAGGGCACAACACCAGAGATCTTATGAATATTGAAAGGGAATTGATTGCAAAATCCTCCCCCCGAGATCTGCACAAGATGTTTGTTTCTTTGTTATTATTCGGTTTTATGTTTTCTTCACTAACTAAACGCGAAAATCATCACCATTGACTGAACGACTCATTTCCATGGCGAATGTGCCACAAAAAAGTTGTCCGTCATGTAGGAAATGAGCAGACGGTAAAGCAAAAATTCTTCAAACTTCGATCTTGTATGTAAATGCGTATACGAAATGTGTTTCGCAAGGTGCGAAAACTACGGAAAGCCCATTTAGAAGGTGCAGCGAAACGTTGAGAGACGTCTGCGTCTGCCGCACTTGGCTGGGCAAACAGCGGAAAGCACAGAGTCACAAGCTGCACAGCCACAGCAAAAGAACCAACCACCAACCACTGATGGGCAACCACCAACCGACCGGAGGAGACAGGCGAACCAGGCGAGTTCAGCGGACAGAGCGGGCTCGCGATGCGCGATCTGTGACTTTATCGTCCACGTTGTCGAAGCGAAATGATTTCTGAAAGCGAAAGGAAAACCACTTGGAGCCCATCGCAGCGCGGCTTACAAGGCAGCAGCAGCAGCAACGGTGTACAGTGGGTATAAAGTATGTTAAATTTGATGGTTTTCCGTTTGTCAAGAGAGTATGTAAAGACTAGCTTTCTAACTATAAGTAAGCATGTTTTTGTAAACATCAAATTAGTTTTTTTTCAATGTATTTATTCCGGGAAAAGTTCGCTAACATTTTCGAGAGTAATGTCCGAAATGGCAATAATGCCCACTGTGCGACGTCGACTTAAGCAGCGCAGCAGCGTTCGAGCTTCGTCTAGCATCTTCGTCTGATGTTCGTTTCAGTGTTTGTGTTTCCAATGCTTTCTGGTTCTGCTGGCTTTTCGGTTGCGGCTCGCTGTCGTATGCTTAACGCAAATTACGCATACGCAGCGTGTGACCATATGACACTTTGTATCTCATTGTAAGCGATACACTGCACCGCCTGCCAGGAGTCGTTGGCGCTCATCACTTACGTCAGCTGGCCGCAGGGCTAGCTCATGATTATGGGCAAGCACTCCCCCGCCCGATCAACGACCCCCACATCAATTACACCCGCTGTACACTGAGCGAAATTAAGGCACAGTGGTTATATGTTATATATTTTTTGATACTTTTACTATTGAATAATACATATTTTCCATAATTATTTTTAGGTATTTTAAGGCTCTTCTGATACTTTGTTTTTAACTTAAACTGCGTTCCAAGATTCGAATATAAATCCTCCCCTTTAGCTTTTCCTTCGAGGATCTCACTTTTTGCAGTGCAAGTGCTGGCTCGTCGCTGGTTGCATCTTCCGCTGGGTATTATGTCATAGCCATGGCGGGGCTTTGTCATTTGCTGCCCCATCTGCCGCTGCAGCCGCGGCTGCCATGTCGGGGCAAAAGTCGCGGTGCCACCGCCAATCCGGTTATATGTATATGGGTGAGTGTGGCATGGAGGTTTCATGTTTGGGAGATGCCGGGTAGCGGGGGAGTTTCACGGCATTTGCTGCAGTGTGGGAATTTACACGCCTGCTGCTTTGGCCAGATCTTTGGCGGATCTTGGGCGTTGCTGTTAAGATTTTCTATATTTGCAGCCCAGGAAAAATGCTAGCAAACAACCTCAAGCTGTCATGTCACCTGGAACTGAGCTTAGTTTAACTGAACTGAACCCCAACTGAACTGGCAGCTTGGCATTTCAAAGTTGAGGTTGCCTGCCGGAAAAAGGCCAGGCAGCCAAAGTCATGCAGATCAGCAGCTGGTGAAAAAATGTCAACTAGAGGATGACTTTCAACCCGAAGCGAAGTGGAGCCATCTGCCAAAAAAGCTGTGGGAAGTGGCCGCCATCTTTCTAATTTGCTGCCGATTGCGATTGTGCAATAGTCGTAATGCTGTTTGTAATAAATGTTTGTTCGCTTTACAATCCAACTCCTGTGTGTGCCAATGACTCACGCGATCCCTCTGCGTGGGAAAGGCCAGCAATAAGGAAGTCCCAGCTACCAAAGACTTCAAATTGTTATTCGAAGATGATGCCCGACACGATCCATTGCTGGGCATTACACAGCATCCAAACGTATTGGATTCTAATTAGCGGTCGCTTTCAATTAAATATCCATCTATTCGTAGCTTCAAATGGCCTCGGACTCCACGCCTGACATTGATGAATGTGCTCGCCGGCAGAGACACGAATTCGGTGTTCCACCTGGCAGCTACAAGCAAAAGTACACGCCAGAATCCATTGGCGGGGTAAATTATTTAATTTTTACTCATTATGTAAGCTCAGTCTGCAGTAAAAGTGCCGAAAGCATTTGCACAACGTGTGGGAGCCGGTGGAAAATGCATTCACCATCCAGCAGCCACAGCAACAGCAGCAGCGGCAGCTAAAAATTCAATTAAGCTGAAGATGCGCCTGAACAGACTCTCGACTTTCGATCTCATCCCATCCAACCCATTCAGCAACGCGCCAAAAAATGCCAAAAACCAGGCAGAAGCTGGTGCAGCCGAAGAGGAAAATACACAGAAAGAAAAAAATTGAATTTTGCAGCAACGTTAGTTAGTTTAGTTCACGCTTTCCTTTGCTAATCTAAGCTTTTTTTTCTCTGTGTACTAACGAGTGTCGAGGATTGTGATTGGGACTCGAGCGGGAATTGGAAACCCAGGTCGTTGAGTAATTGTGCAGCAATGAGCATGGGCTGCCAGCAGATTTTCCCGTTGATAAAGTGCAGCTCTTAGAAAACCTTTGCCAGCGTACCGCTCATAATAAGAAATTGCAAAGGTACAGGCATATATATAAATGCATTTACACACATATAATTTCGCATTGGTTGGCTGAGATTGGGATGAGGATTCGTATTCGGATTCGAATTCGGATTCGGGGATTGCACGTGGCAGCGACAGCCGCAAATGGAGATGGAGACGCAGCTGTGCAATTTACAGTTTTATAGATGCGACGCCGCTTGCGAAACCAAAGCTCAGCGACTCGCAAAGATTGGATTGGATGGCAGCGGAATGGGTCAGTCAGGCAGTGGGACAGTGGTCAGTGAACGGACTGCTTGGCTAATTTGACGCATTGCCGTGATGCGGCACATTTGGAAATCTGCAAGCTCTACTCATAAAAAGTTGTCATAAAAACGAATGACTCAGGCAACGAACTTGTTTCATATCTCATCTTGTTATCAGTTTTTAAATTAGAATTTCGTTTTATAAACTGTAACTAAATGTTTTGGCTTAAAAGATAAACTATTTTTTATATATTTGAGATTAAGAGTAAAGCATACAGAAAAGCATTTTCCAATTCATTCACTCCCATAAATATGTTCACAATTAGCCATTAGCTTAAAAGCATCCTCAGGAAATTAACCACAATTTTACAACCTACCAAATAAGCCCAAACAGGTTTAATTGCTGAGCCTATTGGCAAAAACGATGCTTAAAATTGAAAGCAGTGCAGTAAAAAAATCAACTCACTAGACTAAAAAAACATGTTTCCAGCAATAAATTATGTGATGCTAAAAATAAAAATAAAACAAATAAGAAAAGAGAAGAGAAGAACCTAATTTGCGAATTAAACTTTATAAAGCATAAATGCAAACAGGTTTTAGTACCTGCGCCTATTGACAGTCAATAGATTCAAGCATTCTAAATTGCATTTACTGGCACTCGTAAACCGACTTAAGCTGCCATAAGCTAAACCAACACAGGGGGATCGCGCAGTCAAAATTTGCATAAAATGTGCATTAGTCGCCCGCCTCCGCCGATCTAGCGACCTCGCCACCATCATCATTATCACTATGGAACCATGGAACTACCATGATTCCACCATGCCACCAAGCTGCAACTGCTGCAACTGGCAACCAAGATCTCATACCATCCCAGGCATTGGATCGGCCACACCAAGGCGCAACTTGTGCCGAAATCTGCACGACGAAACGTGAGAAAATGTTATAGTCATTGCAGTTGCTATGCCGTGTACATAGCATAGACATAGACATCGAGGCGAAATAGGAAAATAAATAATAAAAAAATATTTTTCGTAAATTATGGGAATGAATGGAACGGACGAATGGTGGCGGGCGGTAAAGAATTTGGCTCTCCAGCTTGCAGATGCTGCGGTCTCTGTGACTAATTGCATGCCCATACAAATGCACTTTTCGTAATGTTGGAATATGTGTGAATTATTATGCAGTCGAATCTTCATTGTAATCATGTTAATGAGCTTTCCGGCTCTCAGTCTTCATTGTTCGTGATTCTTCTCTCGGCCAAAGATTCTGATTCCAAATGCCAAATGTCTAATGCGCTGGCTAAAACGTTGACCAGGATGTTGAGCTTGGGCATTGCCAGAGATAAACTTTTATTTTATGTTAATTCAATTAGACGGCGACTTTTGTCACCCTGCAACAGCAGCAGCAGCCAGAGAAACATTGCCTTTTCGGCAAACTCTGCCCTGCAATGGGTCTTCTTCATTTTACCAGAAAACATTTTTGCACAAAAACGTTTTTGAGGAGCGCCACTTGCTGATCGTTTGTTTGCCAAAAACACGACAACTACGCCAGGCACAACAGCAACATCCCGCCACAAAGCAGTAACTACACTTATAAAAATATCATGAGTTTTTAGAAAAAATGTTGGTTATATTTGGTAAAAAGTATACAAGAAATATCAAAATAGAAGTTTTTGAAATATCTAGAAAATTTCCATTTCCTTTTTGCAAAAATTTGATTTCCAGTTTTTAAATTTCTCCAAGAGGGTATAATTTTTTCTAGGTGCACTACGGCAACAGCTCTCTAGCTTCGGTCGTTGCTGATTTATGCGTTTTGCAGCATTTAAATTGGCATTTATGTCAAACTGCGGTAAGGGTAAGTAATATTTTTGTATAATACATTTCGCTTTATTTGTTTTATAAGCGAGCGTCCTTGGGGTTTGTCGGCTTCGACACTTTTCCAACTCTAGAGTCTTTTTCCCATGGCTGCCACTCGCATCCAATGTTGATGATGATGATAGTTTTGATGCTGTAGCCTAGGTATTTCCTTTTATATATTCGCTTAACGTTCGCTTTGACTTTATTGAGCCGAAACAAATTGGTTAATTGTTCCACAATCCCTCGGATGTTTGGTAATGTCTGGTCTGGTGTAAATTAGTCATTACTCTCCTGCAGCCAATTTGAACTTTGATCGCTTAGCATTTCTGGTCAGAATCTGCCAGATGTAGCCATAACTTGCCGCTCACAAATCGCTGCAGATCCTCAATACCAGATCTTGAGTCAGCGCATATGCAGACAAAATGCCAGTGGCCTTGGCTCGAGCTGAGAATGTTGCTGATGGTAGCTGCAACATGAGCACAGCAGCAGCAGCAGCAGCAACTGCAGCATCCACTTCCACTTTGACGATGGCTGAATCTTTCGAAAGCTGCCAAATCCGTTCGGCTTTCAATGGCTGTTATAGTTTCAGTGCGAGTTGTTGTTGTTGTTGTTTTTTCCTTAATATTTTTTTTTTTTTTTTGCTTGTCTTTATGTGAAAAATCACATCACTTCTCGTCAGCCAAACGAATTGCCCAATAGGCAGCAATGAAAATGTGTTGGCGTAATTAATTAAACAAATTATGTGCATTGCGCAGACGCATTGACGTTTTTGGTGCAGGCGATTTTTATTAATTTCACTTAGCGGTGGGAATGCACCAGAGCTATAAAAAGTGCATCAACAGCAACAAGCAGTGCACTTTTGGTCAAACAGTGATTACAATTGCGGCCGTAAACGTTTGGCAATGTGGCTTTTACGTTCGCCAGTCATATAGGCAACTTATGGGCACATACAGGCATACAGACATACAGGCACACCTGGCAACTCCAACTTCTCAACTCTATTTCCCAAAGTACATCCAGTACTTTGTGCCATTTTGGGCCAAGAAATTCTTCAACTGCAGCTGCCTGCGCTGTCATTCATTGTTTGTGGAAAAGGCGGCTCAATCAATTATTAATTATATGCCTTGTTGTATTCGAGTGGCATAGTGGCAGAGTGCCCCGAGTCCATCCATTGTCTGCAACATCTTCATATCGGACAAATCTCCACTGCCCATTTTCCACTTTAAGCTGCCGAGGTGTTTGGCAACATTTAACAACCGCATCAAAATTAGTTTCGTTATTGTGTTAGCCTTCGGCTGGCCAACTTCAACTCGAAAATCGACTCCGCTTCAATTGATTTTTTACGTGCGTGCGGTTTGCCGTGACTAAGTGCGTGTGGGAAAAGGCGATCTATGTGATCTACGGTTTACGGTGGAATTCTGAGGTTCCGGAAATGCAGATGATGGCCCTTGCGGCCAACAATTATGGCTACAAATAGGCGTCACCGAAATCCCGAACAGATTCCAATTCCAACTGAGACTCCCAGTTAGATCCACCATATGCCGCCGATGCTGTGGCACAAAAACCATGACACAAAGCCACTTGGCTGGCTGGCGGCATTTGGCGATCGCTAAAAGTCACATTGTTGACCTTTTTGCGGTCTTGGGGCCGCATGGAGAAAAGGTTTCTGTCTCTTCTGAAGTCCCTGTCGCTCTGCGCGGCTCATTAAAATAATATTTAACCTTTGGGAAGACAAATACTTGTTGAATATGTTGGCATGCCGAGAGATCTTTTCGTTTTCGAACAGCTCTTTGTCGAGAGCCAACGAGCCGTGAGCAATTAAAAATTAACTATTTACTTTTAATGTGCAAAGTTTGACGCCGACCCCGGCCCCGCCCCCTATTTTTTTTAAGATCTTCCGCCAGCCCCTCCCTCAGTCTCGGAGGCCCATTACCAATTGAATTCCATGTTTAACGAGTTTTGACAGCCGCGTATTTGTGGGTTTTTCGTTTACCTTCATCTGCTCATTTGCAATGGCATGCAATTGTGATGGCAGTGTCTAGAAAGGGTAAGTCTCAAATACCTGAAGACCTAACAATTTTGAATATTTGTTTAAGAAATTTATTTGGCTAAGACAATTGACACCCGAATATTATTTTAAGAAGTTTCAGAAAGCGTAATTGGTACTTTAAAAATAAAAGGCAATAAAAGTCTTTTGAGAACAAAAATATTTTTCCAAAGACAATAAGAATCTTTATTATCGCCTGCGTGTCTGGCCTCCTGTCACGGCTGACATTCATCCGACAGCGATCTCGCCGCTGAACCTGACCTATACGCGCCGTTCACACGCTGAGCGGACTCTGATGGCTCTCCCAGCAGCCATGACATCAACTGGCAGCACACCCATTTAAAAAAAAAACCTCAGGATGAGTGGCTCGTGGATTTGTTTTCAAATTTAATTTCAACTCTCTATAATCGATCAAAATTTCACAGTTTTAAACCCATTTCCATCTAAACTCTCAAAATGATGGCAGTACGAATACTTTTCAGCTATCTCATATGTGCGACAATCTATAGCTTAAACATGTTGGGACAGTACAATGCTAACCAAAATATTAAGCCACGATCCCTTGATGATGACCTATACTACATAAAACCGAAGTGACCCATCGAAACGCAACAGTAACAGCTTATCAAGAATATATATAGTTTTAATGATATTATTTGGTTATGGCTCGTTTAAGACTGCTTTTCCTTCCGCCTGGCCTGCAGAACACTGCGCAGCATGTTGAAGGAACTGAGCACGGGAACCATGATGGGCAGGAAAAGTGGAATGTAGATGGCGTACTTCTGTTCGTCCGGGAAGTACAATTGTGCTAGAAGACTGGAATCGAAGAATCCCCGCTCCGAGGCCACAAATGCGCGCTTTGCCAGCACTGACGCGTCCGCCAGTCGGTGTTCGAAAAGGGCAGCCTTGGCGGCCAAAATGTCTGAATAGGAATTTGTTATTGCGGCGCCCACCTCGTCGTCTATCACAATGTAACTGATTTGATCTAAACGAGAGAAGGAAGCGAATATTAAAAAAAACTGTCCAATTAAGGTGGTTATCAAACTTCTCAAGCATTAAAAATTCAATAAAACAAACATCAAACCTATTTAATGTTCTCTTTTTATATATGGAATCTGAAGGTCATATCTTTTATCTTATTAGCTGTTTTTAAATTGGAGATCCAAAACTTACCCAATAGTTTAATGAGACTCTGGAGCGTGCTGCTAGCCGTCGAAATGTGGCGAATGGCGCTACGCCTTAGGTATGCCTCGTACTCCCAGCGACGGGGCTCCAGTTGCTCAATGTCCACAGCCTTAACGCCGTCCATCTGCAGCTCACTACTGATGTCAAGCAGCTTATGAAGCTGGTCCAACATCACCTGCATATTGTCAGTGGTGCTGACATGGTATGGCACTGGCTGGTTATCGCTCATGGCCGCCAGACAGACATGTTCTGGCGGATTGGCTATGATGAATCCACCCCAGGGTGGCGATATAAAGGCATCCACGCCGTTACGCGTCAACTGCTTATCCTTGCTGTTGTATATGTGCAGGGGAGCCGTGTGGCAAGGTGGGATGTACACAACCAAATTAATGGCCGGCTTGTCAGTAGTGCTGGCGCTTAAGTTCTGGGCAATCGAGGTGAGCAAATGTGGTAGGGCCGATTCCTGGAGGGCGTAGTGGCGTCCTATCTTGCTCTGATCGCGCACCTGCTTGAGATTGGCCTCTATTGCCACCCGGTATTTCCACTGAGATCTAACAGTATAGTTAGACACACCAGATACCTGAGCTAACCAGGGTTCAATGTAAGCTGTAAGAAAAAAGTATATCGCATGAGTAAGAAATGGCTACCTGAAATCCGTCAATGCTTACTCTTAACAGCCATTGCAATGTTCCATTGGGCGTGGGTGAGGCGGGGTTTTGGATTAAGAACAGAGACTATAACATCGTAAGCTGGTTGCGGGGCTTCCGACTTGGCTCCCATCCGCTCATCTGTACTTAAAATTTGATTGATGCGATACGTCTGAAGAATCTTGGCATGCAGTAGCTGGGCGATTTTGCTAGAAGCTAATCAGTATTTATACGTGATTAGTCTTTGATATGAACTTGATTAAAATAAACTTTAGTAAATTAAGAAAAACATGAATTATCTAATTTGGAACAAATTTGAGGTTAATGAGAATTGGAATTGTTTTGAACTGTTTATCTTCCTCGATAGTATAGTGGTTAGTATCCCCGCCTGTCACGCGGGAGACCGGGGTTCAATTCCCCGTCGGGGAGACGTTACTCCGTCTTTTTAAATAATATTTTTTTTATATATTAGCTTGATATATAACTTATTTTTTAAATTACAATTATAAGTCCCATTTTTTTGTGTTAAAAATTATGCTATTTTTAAAGGACCTTAGTATTATTCCAACAATAAAATGTTAAAATATAATTTAAAAAAGGGATATCCTTATCTCCCCGACGGGGAATTGAACCCCGGTCTCCCGCGTGACAGGCGGGGATACTAACCACTATACTATCGAGGACGTTAAGAACAATCGTTATTTAAACACAATATACATAAGAACAAAAATATATTAGTCTTAAAATAAAAAAAATCCTTTCATATATAGAAGCTTGCAATATACTCACTTGTATCACTTCGCATCAGGGCCGATCTTTCGGTGGTTAGTAGCAGCTCCTCTTGCAGTTTGGGCCACTCGATAAACATGAAATCGCCAACGCTCTGAACATATTCCTCCAACAGCAGCTTCTCCAGAGTAGCCGGGGTGTGAGCTTCTTGAGTTTTGGTCGTTGGGGACAGCTGCTTGAATTCCACAGACCATATTTCTAAGAGAAGGCCATTTAGTATTACAAAGTTAATTGCTGAAGATTCTAGTACCCACCACTATCGCTAAAGGCACTTTGCAGTTCAGCTATGAGTAACTGTCCACGACTAGACTGTTGTGTGTAGATAGCCACCTGCACAGCCGTTTTGATGGGGATCTCACTCAGACTCAGAATGGCCGATGAAGGTAAATTGACTCTGCGAATATAATAATTTTGGATAATTCGAAAAACGCTGTTAGAAATTGTTGACTCACCTGTAAACAGTGGTGGTACGCCACCACATGGGCACGCCAATTCCAATGATGACAACAATAAAGGCAATTGTCGCCCCGATTCGAAACTTATCTGTAATGTTAAGAAATTTAAGATTAGTTCTGAAAATATCGCGGTTCCGTGCGTTTCGGTATCGCCCTTGTACGACTTCTTTTGATTTTAAATATAAAAATGTTTTAAAATATTCTATGAAATAATTGCTATATTTTTGTTGCGGTTTTTTAAAGATTTTATTATGTAAATAAGTTTCTGTACAATAGAACGCTATGAATGTGAATAGTCCTTGAGGAGTAATTGTGCGCATGTTGTGAAACAAACTCACATGCTACTCCTTGTAGCTACAAGAAATAACAAAAACAGGTCCCTTTTCCAGGGGCGTGTTGCGTGACACATATTTGGTGAACTTGGTGGTGCCCTCGCACCGGTACACTATGTTAAGGGCGTTGTCTACGGGCGTGATGGTAAGTAGAACCGAATCGTCCTCTTCTTCGCCATCGTAGTCCGATCGCCTGACGTCTGCCGGCGCTTTCGCTGTTGGCATTTCAGCGTCGGGTGAGAGGTATGTAATCACCGCTGCTCCTTCCGCAGCGTTCAGGTAGTAGACCAGATCCAAAGTGTTTTCCTCGCTGGCTAGGCCATCGCCTAGCACTGTGTAGTTGCCGTGGGACCAACGCTGCAGCTCCACACTGCATGTTGGCCTGTCGGCATCGGCACCTGACAAATCCAAATCGGTAAAATCACGCAGCAAATCAAACATGGCGTGGCTGCGGAATAGTTGTAGCAGTTCCAGGATAGTGCCTCTGGCTGTTGTCAAATCTAGAACTTCGTAGTTATGTGCGTTTGCGGGTCCCTGTCTTCGCCACTTTAGGGTGCTCGATTCCGCGAGAAGTTGTGACCGAGCTAATTCGAACTTCTCTCGCTTAAAGAACTCGTACAAGCAAATCTCAGAGTTTTCCTCTATCCGCTTTTGAATGCTTCGACGTGTGGCGCCCTTTAGATATACATTATTAAGGAACAGGCAAAGCGGCGGCTTATTATTGCTGTCCGGTTGCAGGTAATTCAGGCGGGGAAAAGCGCGCAATGAGTCGGCCACAAAAGCCTCGTTTGTCTCGCCGTGGAACCAGCCGTTAATGGTAAGACGCGGGTAGTCAAAAGTGGTAACCTCACCAACCTGGTGGAAGGACCGAGAGCCCACCTTGAAGAAAGCGAACTGGTTGTCTTTGGGAGCGATCTTCCGCTGCACCGGAAACTGTGGGAAGCACTGGTCGTCGCTGCCGAAGATCTCCAAGCAACCACCCTGCGACTCCGTCCACTCCTCCGCTCCTTCCCAGGGCGATAAATAGTAAATAAAGGCCACTTGCCGATCCTTTAGGAGATCATCATGCACAAGCAAATAGTCACCACAGGTATACATACTGCAGGAGGCAGACACGTAGTCCAACTTAAGGTGGGTCACCTTCTCAAGCCACGGTCGTACTTGTTTTCGAAGCACTTGCAGGAAATTGGTCAGCAGTCGGCAAGTGGGCATGTTGGAGAGGTCGGTGCTCTGGTAGAACTCATACAGGTCCATCTGCTTGCGCGACCACTCAACCTTTTGAATAATCTCGGCTACCAGCGCCTGGCTCTGGCCCTGCTCTAGCATACCGGGCAACAGGCAAATCTGGAATGGGTCACTGAACACCTGAGCTCCGGTCTGCCCCTCCTTGGTATCCTGGGTTTTCCGTTCCTCCGTCCAGGCGGTCTGTAGCCACTGTGTGATCTCCGGTTGCTGATACTTCTCGTTCAGAAGCACTTCCTTCGATTCGACAGCCTCGCTCAGTCGCGGAAGCTTCCTTTGCGGTTCGCCCACCTGGTCTGAAGAATCCTCCTGTTCTGCACGGCCATCTGCAAGGGCAACATAGTGAATGGGTTGGCATTAAGCGGGGCAAATAGGGGCATACCTTAAACTTTAATTTTGCTGTTTTTCACGCACACCAGCACTCACACACGCGTTATCAAAGGTAAATGGCACCCGATGTGCCGGCACATCTCTCTTTATCGTTTTGGGGCGCTTACTCAATGTTTCCACTTACCTTCTTCCTTGTCTTTTCGCCTAGGCTTCACTGGACTGGAACTCGTCGTTTCCATTGTTCTGTGGGTCAAATTTTCGGGGAAAACGTGAGTCTTTGCCAGGGAAAATAAAAATTTGGCTTGTGCAGCTAGAGAAGTGCAACGAAAAATATCGGCTTGGTCGTGCTAGTGGTGATTGTCTGGCTATTTTTACGCTCATTCAGTTTTCAAGCTGAATCCTTAGAAATTAATAGTAATAATTAGTTATCCCATAACAAAGAAAACTGCATGTTTCTCAACCTTATAAATTATGAATTATATTTTCATTTAAAAAATCCAATTAAGTTTGTTTAGCGTATAAAGCAGGTCACTCGTGAATCACGAGTTTCGCCATGACATCTCTAAGCGATTAGTAACGAATATTTGCTTAGATTGAATGTTTTCCAACTCTGGTAGTAGCTAGATCAGCTTCTTTGCACCACGTAAATAAAGTTTCGGTCCGTAACTTTATTGATTGCTTATCGCGGAGGAAAATAAGTAAATCGTTTATGGCTGTATACTTTCGAAACGGACGTGGACAAAGCCGGTGAATACAAACAAAAAGATAAAATAAAGTTGGCGGGGTAGAAATTCCAATTGGAAGAACCCAATGCCGTTAAATGACCTTGGAAGAGGCGGAGCAACCAGCCAGCCCTACAATCAACAAAAACAATTTCATGCGTTTCGCTGGAATGTTTATTTAGATTTGGTGTAAATAAAAATGAGCGTGCGCGAGTGTGTGTGTGCTAGGGCCCAACAGCTGATCCGCCTAGCTGCCACCTGATTTTGGGACTGGGGGTGGGGCTCTGTTATTCTGTATGCTCGCGATGATCTCATTCTCTTAAAATCGGAGCAATAGCTAAAACAACCTGACACATGTGTTTTCTGCCCCTGTAGTTACCTAGTCTTGGAGGATCTGGAGGAGCAATGGGTAAAGATCAGCATTTGCTGGAGGCATCGCGAGGCGGTGACATCAAAACGGTAGACAAACTGTTGGAGCACTCAAGCAAACGCCATGGACCGCTGTCCAGGTGAGTCATCATATGCACCTGTTAAAATACCGGTTTATATTTAGAAACGAATATTTTCCCAGCTTTCGTCGCAGCCCCAGCATTAATTGCCAGGACATGAATGGATATACTTCGCTGCACCACGCATGTCTAAATGGTCATAGCAACATTGTGCGGCTTCTCCTATCCCACAACGCACTGTTAGATGTGCCCGATATACGTGGCTCCACGCCTCTTTTTCTGGCTGCCTGGGCAGGGCACCAGGACATCGTCAAGATGCTGCTGATGCACACTCCAACAGGTGCAAATCCCAATGCTCAGACCATCGAGAACGAAACGCCGTTGCACTCGGGTGCTCAGCATGGTCACAATGCCGTGGTGGCCATCTTGCTGTCCTATGGTGCCGATCCCGCCATACGAAACAATAGCTTCCAAACGGCTCTGGACTTGGCTGCTCAGTTTGGCCGCCTGCAAGTGGTTCAGACCCTGCTTCGCATTGATCCTGACCTGATATTGCCATATAAGCGTTTGGAGGAGGATGAGGAGCTGCTGGGCTGCTCTCCCATTAAGCACATCTTCACGCACACATGCCTGCACTTGGCCAGCCGGAATGGGCACAAAAAGGTGGTGGAAACACTACTGGCGGCCGGCGTCGACGTCAATATACTCACAAACGCGGGCAGCGCCCTTCACGAGGCGGCTCTCTGCGGCAAGAAGTCCGTAGTGGTAACCCTACTCAAAGCTGGTATATACGTTCATGCGACCGATGGGAATGGACGCACAGCTCTGGACATACTCTCCGATTATCCGCCGCATGTGACCTACGACATTGTAGCTGCCATCAACGGTTCGTATGAGTAATACCCAGGGCTTTTCCTTGACTCATTTTTGATTACCCGCTGCTATTTCTTATCTTTATTGAGATCAATAGATCTTTTTACCCGCTTACCTAAAAAAAATATACTAATCATTCTCGCTGTAAACTCTTCATCTTTTATTTATATTTCTGTTGCCGTAAAACAATAATTTAATAATAAATAATGTCTAAAATATTTAAGAAAATAAAAATAAGCTTAGTAAAAATTAGTTATACTCAAGATGGAAACAAGTGACTTTGTTCCCAATCGTAGCCAAGTTGACCAATCTTTAATGGGCCTCCAAACCATCCACGATCTTTTGCAGAGTTCACACAAGCGACGAGGGAACAGAAGCCACTCGCTGTGGAGAACGGAACACAGTCGCTGCCGAAGAGACTGTACGAGAAGAACTCGCAGCGACAGAAGCTACCGCCTAGGCAGAGGAAGTAAGCCCAGCAACTCCATGCATTGCGATACTGAGACACCCACCCACATCTTTGCTGACCCTAATTAACTTAGCCCGCAGCTCATGTCATTCGGAAAGCGCACTCATCCCCACTTGCACTCGTACCCACTTTCATGTCCACGCCCACTAGCCCTAGCACTCATCAGAATTAGCTTCAACATCGATTGTGCGTCTCTTCAATTAACTGGTCTGGTCTCGTTTGGTCTCTATTCCATAACCACCCACTCACCCCTCGCCATGTAGAAAGCAAGATCATCAAGCCAACGGACTTTCGCACTCTTTAAGCTCTCTGGACGTATTTGCCAAGGCGCCGGATAACTACCTGCAAATGAAGCCCATTATTCAGCAGAAGTCCTGTGACAACATGACCGACATAAAGTCTGATGGTAGAGATCCGTGGTCCAGCTACAAGCCGGTGTATAAACAACCAATCCTGCCCAGCTTTCGGACAGGCAGTGATATCTCTAACGGATCGGTTCCCTCAAGATCGTATGAGTACATTAATCTACTGAGAAACGGTTCCGCCAGCGATGATAACTCCGCCAGCACCAGCAGCAATTGTAAGTAAAGTTTTTTATTGCCCCATTCATTGAAAATAATTGATAATTATGTAATTTAATAACGAAGTACGCATATTCATTGCACAGTGAATCAATGAAATAAACATCTGGATTTCTGTCCAATTACAGCTGCGGTGCGTCAGCAAGCGGTAGCTACATATGTAGAGATGACGCTACCGTCTCCTCCGGTTCCCAAACCACGCACTCGAATAAACGGCGAATATAACGACTACGCGAATCTGGTGCCAATAGAAGAAGGCAGCTGCGTGGCAGATGTAGACAATAACAATAACAGCAATGGTAATGGCAACAAATTGCGATTGGTTCGCCATTCACCCACGCCGGATTATCCACCACCCACGGTTACCGAGGCGGAGCGCACGATCTTCAACTTCATGCAGCCGGCTACTTTACGCAAAAATAGTTTGCTGGAACTAGGGGATTCACCGCGGACCACTAACTCGGTTAGCTCCGACCAGGTGGAAGAATTCGTTGCCGATGTCCCTTTCGCTGGACTCTTTAAAGGATCAACTTTGAACTTGTCCTCGGATGTAGTAGATGGAAATGGTTCTCAGACAGGGGATCGAGAGTTTCTGCGATCACCCAGCATGGTAAGATCGGCACACGCCCAAAACCACCGACGCAGCCTGTCCAAGCAACGATTCTCTGCTTTGGGAGAGGACTTTAGCGCCTCTCGAGTGTGGGCCGAGATCGATACAATTTTTGAGAACATTGGCAACGAAGTGTCCACTGTTGAGTATGAAACCGATGAGCTGATCAGTGAACCAACAAGCCTTTCCTTAGAAGATTCTCGACAATCCTTGCACATACGAGATCCGGCGGAATTGCTGCTGGGAAGAAAACAGAGCTCCACCTCCAATTGGTGCCACTCGCCATACACCCTAATCTATGGCGAAATACGATATTCTCTGTTCGTAAGTATACTAATAATATTAGCTATGAATAAGTAATATCTCAATTTACTATTGCAGTATCTTGGATCAACAGTAATAAGGAAGCTGCAGGGTACCCTTTCAACGCGCAAATCCATCCAAAAACTGAAGATCGATGAAAACATGAAGTCTGCGGCAAGTGTTAGTGATTTCAGTTTGCTCGAGAACTGCACCACTTCTACAAAGTACCTGAAGGCTGCCAACCTCCAGTCGCGACTCAATGTGGACATTGCTGTTTCCTGTATCGGCGTCAAGTTTATAGATCATGATAAAAAGGTTCATAGATATATGATATACCAATAATTATAAGCAAATATTTAATCTTGCTTTTTTTATAGACTGCCATTTGTTGCCATGAGATAGAGAATATCAATTGCGTTTGCCAGGACTCTGGAGATTTGCGCTATTTTGCGTACATAACCAAAGAACAGGACCTGCACTATTGCCATGTCTTTATGGTGGATAGCTTGGTTCGTCATTTGTGAATGATTAAACTTTTGTAGTTAACCAGTTCTTTCCCCAGGAATTAGCTAAGGAAATCATTATGACCCTGGGACAGGCCTTCGAGGTGGCCTATCAGTTAGCCCTGAGCAGACAGGGCACGCCCTTAAACGGAGAGTGCTAAGCCATGGAAGTGCCAGAACTGCCACTGGGCGGTCTATATTATTTATTTCATTGCATTTTACATGTAAATGTTTTTTTTCATTTGCTAGTCGTTGATGCCATCTCTATGCTGGCTTTGCTTCACATAAGGCAGCTCACATGTTAAGTATTTTGACAGTTTTTTAAATAAATTTATAACAAATTAGCTGCTTCTTAATAATGGTTTGGAATTATTGTTATGAAATTTTTCTTAGACATATTTGAAATTTAACGATCATTTGAGTTTAGCGGGAAAGTGGTATTTTTTAGGGTATTCATTATTTGTTACAATCAGTCAACCAAACATCTGGTAACACTAATACATATCATCTTCAAAAAAAACGTACAGATTGAATATCACTGGCATTTTATTTTGCGTATATTTAAAAGAAAACTCGAAAGATACACCTGAAAATGGAGTTGAATACTGGTAAATACAAAGTGAAGTGTGAATTGGTGCTGGAGTACATATTGTTTACCACAAATTATTGTAGATAATCCTTCAAACGAAGTTAGCGTCCTCGCGCCTAACGATCAGGAAAATGAGGACGCCAATCTGAATTTGGAAACTCTAGACGCTGTGGGCACTCCAATGGCCAAGAAAACGCGTAGAGCCGTCCTCAAACGAATGAACGCCACTTCGGAAAAGGATTCGCCAACACATCCTGATCCTCCGAAAACGCCTGGCTCGCCTGGCCATGTTCGTCCAACCACTGAAACCCCAAGACGCAGTTGCCGCAAAAGTGTGCGTCCGCCAATCGACTATGATGACATAGTGCGATCCGCCAAGAAAGTTTTAGTTGAAGCATCAACTGACGATCCCGAGAACGAAGAGCCCTCCACTCAAAAGTGGAGTGCCGCAGAGGTGGGCAAAAATACGCGCAAGCGCAGTCGCAAGTCCAAGCGCGTAGCTAGCAAGAAGCAGAAAACAGATCAGGTTGTTTTTGAAGAAAATGTTGGGGAAGTGCAGGATACAGAGATGGAGATTCCAAAAGAAAATGTGGAGAAGCCTCAGGATCAAGTTAAAATTACAGAGGTTCAAGCAGACAACGAAGAAGTGAAGCAACGAAAATCCATTAGGAAATCCACCAAGACATCTAAAAATCAAGTTCAACCCCGAAAACAAAACTTCGAGGAACAAGAGCCATCCAAATATATAGTTGCTGATGCGGAGAAAGATGAACTGGGCTTGTGCCTACTGGATATGGATGACAATGATAAAGAGGAAACAAATATAAAGGCGGGAGAGTCAGCTGAAACTGCTCCAAAGAAGAAAGATGAAAATGTTGTTGTTCAAGATAGAGCGCAGTTTAGTACTGACGAAAAAGTTGATGAAACCACAAAACCACTTACACCAATTAAACAGAAAATAAATACAGTTGAAGATAGCCTTTCTGTGGTACAATCAGCTGAGGCAGCTAATGTTATCGATGAGCAAAGCCCTGAAGAAGAAATGCCCTCACTATTTATGGAAAGTGAAGATCTGAATGGACCAGAGAAGTCGCCGCTTAACACCACATTCGACGCAGAGGATAAGAAAGATTTAGATGCAAGCGTTATCTTGGTTGTTAGTCCCCTTCAGCAGCCAGAAGCTAAGGCCTCCAATATTGATGCAAGTGTTATCCTTGTGGACAGTCCTGAACAATCTGAAATTTGCGCTCCTAAGCCAGAAATTTCTGAGGAAAAATCAGAGATTAAAGTGGTCCTCACAACAGAAGATGATCAAGACCAGGTCCTATTAGATCTAAATGATATATCTTCGCCAAAGGAGTTAAATCCCAGGAAATCAAAGGGTTATCGATTCCCCACACCATATAAGACAGGAACGATCTTTAAGTTTACAAAAACACCAGAGGCAGTTAGCAAGCATAACATTAAAACCTTTTTCGAGGAAGATGTTTCTGTTACAAAGAACGTTCGCAAACGTTCCAAGTCAACGAGCCAGTTAAATGATAACGTGTCGAGGACTGTATCTTTTCAGAGTCCCATTGAGATTGCCCATGTCGAGGACATTGACAAGCGCTGGAAGGGACTTCAAAAAAATAGTAAGAATTATATGAACATTTTAATTAAAACCCTTTACTTACTCCAGTTCCTTTAGATGTTAACAACCGCCGCAGGCGATCAAAGTCATTGGATGAGAACCGTTGCAAAATAAGCAGGATTCCCAAGCCAAGCAAAGGTATATAGTCAAATATAGTTATCCTGTTCTAGTAATATAACTTGTTTGTTTCCCCAGGAGTTATACTGGTAAACAGAACCAACACACCTAGCCAGGTAAATAAGCGCACAAAGATGCCCAATTTTGCTGCCATGCATGAAAAGCAGTTTGCCAGGATGGAAAGCCTCTTGGATCACGTCGAACGGAAGGCGGAGCGCGCTAAAGTGCTGACAAACTCAGTGCAAAAGCAACCAGGATCAACCTCCAAGAAGCCGCAAATTTCTGCTTCTGTGGAAGAGGGCACCCGTCCAAGAGCAATGAAAAAGATCGACATGACCGCCAATCGAAGTATGGTGATGGAACACTCAACCGATAAGCTCAACTCATCCCGATTGCCCTTGAAGACCACCGCTCCCGTTCTCAATGTGGTTCCGAAGCCAGCATTCAATCTGTCCACCTCTATGGTGAAGACATTTAACGCTACGTTCAGCAGCAGACCGGTAGAGTCGCATGATACCAAGCTCGCGGAGCGACGTCAACGTCGCATTGAAATGTTTAAAGGCAGGACAACGAAGGACCAAAAGGAAAAAGCAGAGTTCATCCGTGGAGTGCGTCTGAATCGGCGATTTGAGCTACAAATGCAACACCGTCGGCACTTGGAGGAGGATTAGTTTCCTAAGTTATTTTGTTAATTCTTCATATTTCCTTATGCTTAACCTTATGTATTCGCTTTAACATACCAGTTTTAATTTTAGATTCGTCTAAAAGGAGATTCAAATTTCTGTTAAATCCAATAAATATGTTTTCTTGTGTCATACTTTGTTTTTGAAAGAATTAATTCCCCTTCTCCACGGCGGTGGAAGACAATTATTATATTTTATGTTACATTATTAAGAAAAAAATTCAATTACTAATAAAAAAATGTGTAAAATGTATTTTTACGTAAAGTTTTTATTTTATTTTACATTTAATATGGTGTTCTAATTTTTAAAGCCGCCAGTACCTTTGGAACAAAAAATGAGAAACTTCCAGCACTGGTCGTAAACACGATTTTGATTTACCTCAGTACGCACGTCCGTTTAATTCAAATAAATAGTAAATATTTAACAACCATTTGTACGAAGAACTTCAACAACTACACTTAACTCGCAAGTTATTTTGTTATTTTTTAAATTTGTGTTGTTTTTGTATTTAAATTGCGAAAACTTTATCGTGACTACAAAGTTTCTTTTTGTATTCCGATCGAGACCAGTTGGCAGCACCGTCCAAATAACGGCGCTAATCGTGTTCTTTTGATTTTTTCTTTCGCTTTGACGTCTTTTCGCGTTTACTCCTCTTTACCTTATTTCCTTTCCCCTGCCAAAACAAAAAGCGGACCCATAAAATGTGTGACGCAGCGATTCCTGTAAAGCCATGGCAGTTGTCCGGAATATCGTACAGCAGTGGAATTTCAGCGCTCTGCTTGCTGAACCTGGAGATCGAACAGTTCTACAGTTACATCCAGTCCACGCCAACAGAATTCTTTTTGCGGGCGGAGGCAGTGCGACGCATCGAGGACGTGGCGCTTTCACTCTGGCCAGGCGCATGCGTGGAGGTTTTTGGCTCATTCCGGACTGGACTAAACTTGCCGGATTCGGACATAGATTTGGTAGTTCACAACGGTTACTACTGGAACCCCAGGGTGCTGCATGAGCTTCAAAATGAACTTGTTTGCCAGGGGGTCACAGATCCTGACACCGTGAGTGTCCTCGACAAGGCCTCTGTGCCGGTGGTGAAGTTCACGGAGCGCGTCTCCCGGATAAAGTTCGATGTGACATTTAATGCGGCCGCCTCTGGCGTTAAGGCCGCTGAACTTATTAAGGACTTCATTCGCCAGTTTCCCGAGTTGCCCAAGCTGGTTATGGTGCTTAAACAGTTTCTCAGCCTTCAGGGGCTTAACGAGGTATACAGTTTCGGTGGGGTCTCGTCCTACGCCCTCACTCTTATGGTCATTAGCTTCCTTCAGCAACAGGCGCGCAGTAATAAGCGATACAATGTCAACAATAAGCTTGCCCTGCTGCTCATCCAGTTTTTGGAATACTACGGCCACAAGTTTGACTTCTTTAAGTACGGGATCTCCGTTCTCGGTGACGGCGGATGCGTCGAAAAAGAGCGACTTCGATCCACGCTGGGAGAGAATAATTGGCAGTCAGTACTTAGTATAGAGGATCCTGTGACACCGACTAATGATATTGGAAGAAGCTCATATGCTGCTCTGCATGTGATGCAGGAATTCGAATCTGCCTTCTTAAAGCTTTCCAAGCTAGTGGACTCCGATTCTACCAAGATTGTAGGTCCCATTTTGGACAAAATTGTGGAGGTACCACAATCAATGGTCAATTATCGGGCCTGGGTGCACTACAATTTCCAGTACTTGACGGTTCCCGGAACCTCTAGTCCCAGCCCCATTGGAGAAACCACGCACACAGGCTCCTCCACTTCGGCCTCCGAGGATGAGCGCTCAGACGGCCAGTTGACAGCCCGGAACGGATTCCGCCGTTGCGGAGATGGTCCGCCCCAGAACCTAGACTTAGATGCCACATTGGCTAACCTTAAGTTAAATTAAGTATTTTAACATTTAGCTACTGGTGATTTTACTTCTATACTTCTATAGTTTTACATTTTATTTGCATACAATTATGCTCGGCATATGAAATCTAAAAAAATGCAATCTTAGGCTGCATTTTGCATTTTTTATCTATTAATTAAGAACTAAAATTATACAAAAAAAGGCCACCTGCCAATGTAGTTAATTTTAGTGACTAAACGTATTCAAATTAACAATAAAAGAATGTAAAGCCGTATCGTACTTGTGACATATTACAAATAAAATAAAATGTATGCCGTAAAATGCTCTTGTTTGTGAGTCATATCATTTTGTTTATAAAACTTAATAATCATATATATTAAACCGCTTCAGTATAATAATAATAGGATAAGTATAAGATTTTCATTTCTATGCCTAGAAAGAAAATAGAGAAATGAAATCCTTATTGGTATAACATCAAATCCTTATTCGATAAGTCACTGTTTATGGTTAGCAGTGACTTTAGCGAACTGTTATCTTCGCATCTCTTCTGACTTTTCCGCTGAAGGTGGCAACCCTGGTCGCTGTCACTTGCTTTTTGGTCCAGGCGTGTTGTGTAAACGCTGGCCCTCTTTTCTGAATCCGAAATTCCGGCGCAAGCTCTCCGGGATTGTACTTATCAGAACCTAAGACTTCCCCTAGGCCATGCTGCACCTCTTACGGCGGCGTACGGCGTTAGTGCCCCTCATCCGGGGCCCGATTAGTGCTTCGCTGCACACAACGGAAAACCGGCCGGGTTACATAGTGCTGTAAGTATGGAAATTAACTTCAATTTGGTATCCGGATATATTATTGTTATCCTTCCAGAGTCCCGGAGATCGGTGAGGAGGGTCCACTTGGTGAGGGCGTGCTGAAGCCGGACGGTCTACCCGCCTTCAGTGACATCACAATAGAGATGTGCCTGGGTGCCATTGGGCAGCAGGCTTCGGCTGTGGAGAACTCAGTGAAGGCGCTGGAGGCCGATCTGCAAAATGGCAAGTCGTTAGACGCCGGCGGAATCTTCCGTGAGCTGGACACCGTCACAGGGCCACTAGAGACTACGTGGGGCGTGGCAAAGGCTTTGTACCTGGGTAACTCCACTCTGATTCCCACCAAATCCTACATGAACATCCACGAACGGGCTCGTAATGCTCGGGCGGCCAAGTTTTGCAATCATACAGTGTTTAAGGCACTTAATGATGCTTCGGCCGAATCTGGACCAGATGAGCGGCGACTGCGACAAAAGTTCCTGCTCGAGGGCAAGCTGAACGGGCTTACCCTGGACAAGGATAAGCAGGACGGACTGAAGGAGCTGCTCACCCATCTGGGCCGCGAGAGAGCCAGCTTCAAGAACAAGGTCAACATGGCAGTGCATTCGTTCGGTCAAGTGATTACCGACTTCAATTTAGTAAGAGATTTCCCGCCTTCCCTTCTAGAGGCAACTGCACGCGATCCCAGTCAGCCGTTGGAGGGTCCATGGAAAATTACGCTGCAGCCTCAAGTGGTCGACGGATTCCTTAAACACTGCCCAGAGCGACTGCAACGCTGGAACGTTTGGAGAGCTAGCGTTTTAAAGGCGTCTTCGCAGCAGGAAAAATCACTAGAGAACAGCACACACCTTGAGAAGATCCGTGGTTTACGCAAGCGACAGGCAAATCTACTGGGCTATGCTAACTTCGCGGACATGTCCATGCAGACGAAGATGGTGGGTAGTGTGGACAACCTGAAGCAAATATTTGCTAAACTACTTAAATTCGCCGGCCCTGCTCAAAGTGTGGAGCTAGACAAGCTCCAGAGTTTTGCCCAGGATAGCGGCTGTGACTACAAACTGGAGGCCTACGATGTGGCCTACTGGCGACGCAAACAACTGGTGGCTGAGCACGGCCTGCAAGAGCAGAAGCTCAGTGAGTTCTTTCCACTGCCCCGCGTTCTGTCCGGAATGTTTGCGCTTAGCGAAAAGCTTTTCGGCATCCAGATAGTAGAGCAGCCCAATGCGGAGGTATGGCACCCGGCAGTCAAGTTCTACGACGTGTTCGATGCTGATTCGGATAATAGCTCCACTCCGGTGGGAGGTTTCTATGTGGACTGTTACTCCAAAGAGCACAAGTTCGGCCGAAACAACGGTTGGATGGTGGGTATAAGAAATAGCAATAGATCCGCAGGTCTGACGCCCCTCTGCGCACTGATCTTCAACTTTTCTGAGCCGCATAAAAATTCGGCAGAGGGCAGGCCCCCACTTCTCGCATACGATGATCTACAGATGCTCTTCAAGACCTTTGGTAGTGGATTGCAGCATCTGCTTACTCAAGCGGGCTACAGCGATCTAGCTGGTCTTTCGAACATCGAGTGGGATGCCTCTCAGGTGTCCGGTCATGTGATGAGCAACTTTCTCGATGACCCCACAGTGATCCAAAACCTTTCCGGGCATTTTAGCAGTGGTGAAGCCCCTGGAAGCTAAGCTTTCTCAAAAGATGCGACTGCTGAAGACCCAATTGGCTGGCTACAATTTATGCCAGGACCTATATCTGGCAGATCTTGACGTCGAGCTGCATCGATCGAATGCCTTTTGGTTGGAGATTGTTCGTAAGCTTTGGCCCGTGTACCACTGTATGCCGCTGGACAAGAAAGACGCCCATCCCTGCTCACTCACGGATATTTTTGCTGGAGATTGGGCAGCCGCGCAATTCAGTCACTTGTACTCCCGGCTAATAGCCGCAGACATTTCAAGCAGCTTTGCTGTGCAGCGAAGCGAGGAGAACTATGCTGCCGTTGGTAGACGCTACAAGCAGACTTTCCTGAGTTCCGGCGGATCAGTTCCCACGGCGGAAGTATTTCGCCGCTTCCAGGGTCGCGACCCGTCTGGCGAAGCACTCCTTAAGTCCCTGGACATATTCGAAACCTCACAGACTACGGAAAACAATTGAGGGTCAGGCTCTGACCCGCTAAAACGTTATCTTTTGTGTGTAGTCAACTGATAAGCCTGATCGATGGCAGCCTGGGTTGCTCGACTTGTTTGACTAACAATTTTAGGGGAAAGTAATCTTTTGAGTATTTGAAACAATTTTAAAATAGGTTTGAAATAAAATGTTAAATATTTGTTAATTGGTCAAGAAATACATGTACTTATTGAATACAAGTATATATTCTCTGATTTCCCAAAGAGAAAAACACAAACGAGTTTTACCTGATCAATGATAATAATTGACAATTCTGTACTTTCCGCTTTTTCGATTTATTAGTTAGGCAAGTCGATCTACACCCTAATAGCAGTCGGATTATGTGATAGCGATCGCGTGAGTCAGGTGGGATCTTATCGCAGGTGTGCAGGTGGTGACACCGGCCGCCAGTGCCGGTCCCCTCAGTTAAAACACACATTGTTGCTTTATTTAAATAATACTTTAATAATAAATTGCATAAATTTATAACATTTAACATATTCTCTCGCTCCTTCCTCGGCTCTCGATTCGGTTCGATATATAATATATACACAACAAAGGCGAAATATGCATTCTGCGGAAAGGAAAGGTATCTAGTGGTTTAGAGCAAAAACACGGATTAAAAGCTTTCACTTGTCTAGCCCTCGTTTGGAAAGCCACTAGAAATTGGGGAGGGGGGAACCGAAAGTCAGAACAGATATAATCATAGTAAATTTCGATGCAAATGTATGGATCGAACTTGGTTAGTTTACAGGAATTAATTTATATATATGCACTAAATCGAAGTGTGGTACTACTATATGCGTATGTGCTGCTCCGCAATCCGTCGGAGCGTGTTCCGCTTAAGTGTGTCGGTTGTGTGCAATGGGTGTGGAGGCTGCATATTTGAAATCTTTAGAATATTCGCTAAGGCTGCTATGTGTGGTAGTGGCCGCAGTTGCTCCCATGGCTGTTCCGTTGGCTACTTCTGTCTAGTATATCTCTGGACAGCCTTCAAAGTTCTGCTCCGCCTTGGCCTCCCAGTAGGTGTTCTTATACACGTGCACATATTCCTCGCTGCCCTCCTGCTGTTCGCGTTTAAACCACATGGGCTCATAGGCTGGATACGGCCGTCCCTCCGCCGCTGCCTCCTCCGCTTCGTTCTCTCGCCGGCGTCGCTCTTGTCGCTGCTTGTCCTCCAGGCGCAATTTTTCCTGGTTCGATTCGTCCCATCTGCCTTGCTCCATGAGCCTCTGGTCGGGACGCAGACGTGAATCCGTCGGCGCCACGCCCTCCTCTTCTTCATTAAGCTGGCAGGCTAATGTGGTGAAGTTGTAGAACTTCTCAGAGTCCGGTGGAGCAGGTCGGCGGCGCCAGGCCAGCTTAAACTCGCCCGTAGTATATGTTGGACTACTGGGGGATCCTGTAGTCTTCAGCACCGGTGCGATCTCGATCTTCAAGTCCCAAGTACCTCGCACCACCCATTTTACCTCGTTGTCCTTGTTCATCACCACACCCTTTACGCTCCTTTGCACATCGCGACTGAAGTACGAGTAGGGGATAAAGTTAAGGATGCATTTGAGTCCTTCTGCAGCCTGTGATCCCCGGATTTCCATTTCGCCATGCTGGTCAACCCACAGACGGCCCACAATGATGTTGTTGACCGTGGTTGTCACCTTGCGCCAGGCATAACGCCTGCCGCTGTTCTGAAATTGCACATAGACGCCGCCCAGAGGATTAATCTGTGGAAAAAAAAAACAATTGATTTAGATGTACCCTTTAAATGTATCCAGAGTCTCAGAGTTACTTGTCTATCTCGAAAAACAGTATTAAATTACTTATCGCTTTGGGAAATATCACTTCATATTACGAGGACTAACTCTGGCTTTAAGGATCTGTGTTGAAACGATACTCACTTGAACGTACTTGCCGCGGAACTTGCTGGTCATGGAGAACTCTTGCCAGCACGTCCAATTCTTGCTCTCGCAATGGAGCGCTGCCACAGGTGGATGGTGAGAAACCTGCTCTGCCAGGCACCTCCAGCCGTAGTCATCCATGCGGTCGCACTCGTATGTCTCGCCCAGGAGCGGATTAAAGGGCTTACCGGTACGGTTCGTGGTCGTGGCGTAGGCGGACACAGTGAAGGCGGCCAAGTAGGCCAGCTGCTCGCACTCATCCTGACATGTGGCCGCGTAGTCGAGAATCTCTGAGTACTCGTAGTCCTCCACTAGGCGCTGAAGCATTGATAGCGGCTCGTTAAAGTTTATAGGCATAGGAATTTTGGACAGATCCTTGCCGATGCAGTTCTTCATGATGCCCCAAAGACTAATGGAGTGGTTCGGTTTATCTGGTACTCGATCGCGCCGTTTCTTCATAAGATCCGGGTTCCAGTTGCGTCCGTAGATAGAGTCCGTGCTTTGCTTGGCTGGCACCGCTTTGTCCACGTCGTCATCATCGCCCTGCCCTCCAGAGGCCACACGTGGCGCGCTCACTAAACACACCTGCTGAACTGTTTGCACGGTGCGTTTCTGTTCGTCGCTCTCCGACGAGCTTCCCTCCAATTGGCCTTCCACCTGGTCCTCGCTGCTACTGCGCCGCTTGTTCATTTTCAAGATAAAGGTACCTCGCTCCCGATCCAGCGATTCCGCGGAGCGGCTGGCACCAGTGTAACCGTGCTCCTCGGCGTCAAAGAACTCCACCTCGTCATCAGAGGTCACTAGGGAACCGGCTGTACCACCACCTGAATTGGACGGCACCAGCTTATTCTGGCGCACCATGACAGCGGCCTGTTCCATCTGGGACTGCTGCTTAGCCATCTGCTCGACCATCTCCTCCAACCGCTGGCGCTGCTCTCGTTCGTGTTGCAGCATTTTCGACCACTTATGTCCCTGGGCTTCCGCCGAATGAAGGTAGTCTTTGCTGGCATTGATCATCGCATTCGAGGTGATCCGGAAGAGGGTGGCCCGCTCATTGACGATTTTCATACGGCTGGCCAGCGACTCCTCTTCGTTGGTTTCTAGATCATTAAGAGCGCGCTGAAGGGCGGCGCCGTGCTTGTTGATCAGGTCGTAGCAGGTGCGCATATTCTCCAGGCGTTCGGTGAGATCTCGAACCACAGAACTAATCTCCTGGCTGGGCACTACATGCGCTGTCTCCGTCTCCTCCTCCTCCTCGCTCTCAATGGCCCGGATAGCCTTCGCCTTAGCAAGTTCCAGGGCAGTGACCCAAGATTGGCGCTCCACTTCGGTACCGGCCTTAATGTGGAACGTCTGGGTGCCGCCGTTCGAGATGACGAATGTGCACGAGTCCACCGTGTGGATGAGGGCCCCGTGCAGCGAGATGGTTCCCCGACACGTGTGGTTAATCTCCGTTTGATTGCGGTAGTAGCTCAGCACGCCTTTCGAAAGGACGAACCACCTGCGCTGATAGCCCTTGATGTAGTTAGTCCACTTTAGAAGCCAACCTTTCATCTCCGGCAGGCCCTTCTCGGCTAGCGCATTGCCAGCGGCGTCCGTCATGGTGGCGACCGGTTCCGGAATCGTGATACACTCCTCCGGCCGGATGGAGCACCTGCTTCGAAACTGCGAATACCGCCACGTACGATGACTGGCGATTGACCGATTTGGTTCCGTTCCGCAACTCCGACTTGAAAATCGAATACGCTATTGGTTATTGGACGGCGGTAGCTGTTTGTTGGCCAATTGTTAGCATCGCACAGTGGGCGCTTGGCCTCCGGATCACCAGCGAGATTCTGATTACGTTATGGTCGCGAATCCGCCTCGCGTTCACTGTGAATTTCGTGTCGTTTCGCTTCTAATTTTCCTGCAGAAAATAAAGAAACTGTGGAAGTTGAGTGCGCGTTTGTGTGCGTGTGTGTCTCGTGTGTGTGTGCTGGCGCAGCTGCAGGTGTGTGCGTTCTGGCAGTGTTACCAGATAGTGAAATTAATATTCCTTGATATATCGATTTGCGATAGACTTTTTTATTTGCATCTCGTTTCCGGATATCGATACAATCCGATCTGATCTGAGAATGTTTTCATTTGGCTATAACTTTGATTCTTTCGTTAAAAACCAAATATAATTAATATTTTAAACATTAATATTTATTTTCAGAAATGTAGATTACTTAGCATTCCATATTTGCTAAAGGAATTTTCGAAAATTGTCTCATATTTTAAATCCATGATTTCCGTTATATTTTTAAATTAAAGTTTTAAAGTTAAATCAGTCTTTCATAAGAATGAAATAGACAACGAAAGAGTGGGCCAAAATTTTTCGAAAAGAGGGACATCGGTTGAAGAATTTAATGTAAATATTTACAAGAAAACTTTTTTAACAATACATCAAAATCTCACTGCCGAACGGCTTTTAAATTCCCTTCAAAAAGCCGATCAAATAATTTATGATCAATATAGGATTTCATGCTTATATGGTAATGGTTTCAAATGGGGAAATGTTTAATCAATGAAATTGTTTGTCATCTGGTGTCAATAATGTGCCAGGGACCGTTCATATTAGATGATGACTCATGGCCAACAGTAAAACAGATTGCGCTCTAAATTGGATTACACATTTTTATTTATAAATACATGGTCTGATAAATAGCAAAAATACAAGTGTTCAAGGTGGGAACTTTCATGCAGCGGCTTCGGCAGGGTGACGGTCCATGTACCGGATCACTTTTTGTACTCCGCCCAAGAGTAGCGGAACGAACTGATCATGTGGATTAGGCTGCAAATACAAATCTGGTAAAAACGATGGGCAGTGATCTTTTGGGTTTACATCACAAAGAGTCTGTGAATGACACAAGGATGGCACAGAGACAATCACCAGACAATGACGTATATACAATAAATCGTTTATTCGTAGGCAGTTCTTGCATAATATAAAATAAATATGTATACAGTTACAAGTAATTTAAAAGTACAAATACAGTTTCATTTCCATAGGTTGTTTTGTTTGCCCTCTCTTGTCATCTTAAAAGTTCCATTTACACGTTGCAGAACAAGATCTTTAGAAGCTATCATGGACGCCTCACACAACAAGACAACAAACACAAGGCATGAGGGATGGAGGGGGAGGTGGTGGTGTTCGATTGTTGGACAAAAAACACAAAATGGGCGAAAGCGGGCAAATATATAAATACGTAAAGCAGGTGAGAGGATGAAGACGATCCTTATTCGCTAAAGGGTATGGATTGCAAGTTGCAAGTGGCATGTGAATGTTGCAGGTTGCAGTTTGTATGGTGTTAAGCAGATTGTGGCCTTTACATGGTGTTGTAGGCGGCTGTATTGAAGCCTGTTTTTGGAGCACTTAGCCTGCTCAGCGGATGTGTCTTTCCATGCTGCGCCAGCCGCCGGATTTGAACCTGCTGCTGCTCCGGTTGTTGTTGATGGTGGTGATGTTGCACGCCGCTGTTTTGGCTGACGCGAACGGGCGCGGGCGGTGGACGACTGTCGCTATAGTCATGTGTTGATCGGTTTGATAGCGAACGGTCGTAGTACGAAAGCGGGCGTTGCTTGAAGCTAGTGGTAGTGGTGCTGCAGGCGTGGCTGACATTGCTGGTGGTTCCGGCGGGTGGCAGTGGGGCACAGGCGACTGTGTGCGTGGCGGCCGCCTGGCTACTGCAGGAAGTAGTGGTTTGATATTTATGCACTAGACCTTTTACATTACGATCACAATTTTCGCTTACGCTGGAATCGGACGAGTTGGAGGCGGAGGAGTTGGAGCTCGAGGCGGTGGACACGTGGTTGGCATGTTGCGCCACCGGTGACGATGGCAGTGATTGGTGGCTGGTCGTCTTCTTGCCGGTATTCACTGAGCTAGCACCAGCCCCTCCAGATAACGTCGCTGCGATGGTTGTGCCACTGCCTGCTCCCGTTGACGTTCCACCGCCTCCTCCAACGCCCACTACTCCCGCTTTGGCTTCAAAATTCTGCTTGAGTATTTGCACATTGCCCGAGATGCGTTGATCCTCGGCCAGCGTTTGACCCTGAACGCGAAGAACTACCGTTGCCTCCTGGTCACCGGGCGTAGTATTTTTGTTCTCGATGTCGCTGGTGTGCATGAGCTCCTCACTATTGCAGCGCAGCGGCTGTCGCTGCCGTGGACTGTGCGCCGAGGAGGCGCTTCTGTAGAGACTAGGGCACCGTTTTTGCCCAGCATCCACCGCCTCAAGTAGCAGCTCCTGGCTGCTTTCTTCCTGACAACGCTTCTTTAAAGAGGTGCTCTCTTCCAGTTTCTGCTTGGTGCGCTTAACGGTGCCCTCGCCTACTCCAACTGAAGGTTCCGCTCCTTCGATCACATTACAATTCCCGCTGCGTTTTAGATCCTGGATAACGCCCTCGAAGATAGCTGTGGTGTTTCGGTTGCTGTCGTAGTAGGAGCAAGAACTGGTCCTTTGCGGCAAACTGGTCCGGTTGTCACCCGATCCCCAGCTGGCGTGCCGAGATGGCAGTTCTCGTTGTCGAATTCCTCGAGGCCGCAATATAATGGCGCTTGATTGCTGCTTCAGTGGCTGTGGCATTGGGTCTAGGACGATGCCACCACTAGGACCGAAAGACTCCGTCCAGGAGTGCGTCTTACGACGCTGTGGCTTCTCACCTTCCTCCTTTGCAAAAACACTGTCCACCTGGGAAGAGAATACATCCGATGAACTAGAGTCCCGCCGCGGTTGATTGTTCCCACTGCCGCTGCCACCGCTACTTCCTGCTAGGTTATAAGTTTGTGTGACCAGCTTGGTCAGCGAAGTCCAAGCACGCTGCTGTGGAAGTTGGTCTGCCTGGTGCGCCTCGAGATCGTGAATCCGCGTGCGAACAGACAGAGGCGTGTGCTTCTGGATGTGCAGCACCTGGTTCTGGGTGACGCTGTAGTTCTCTCCGTTGCTACCCGGAAAGCGCATGTTCTTGGGCTCCTCAGCAACACTTCGCTCCGGCGTTAGGTTCTCCATTGACTGACTTTGCTGTTTGGTTACCACAGCCGTTTGTGTTTTTGGCGATGTGCTGCTTGAGCGTCGAACCATGCGACGTTGTAATTTTTGAGCGCTTGATCGGCGATGAAGGCGTGGTCCATCCTCTTCCTCCTCGCCTTCTGGTGTTACACCTGTCTCACCGGTAGACTTGGACTTGGCCTGGTTAAGTGCCTGTATGAGTGGAGTGGGCTCGCTGCCAGGCAGCAAACGCGCGTCCTTTGTGCTCTTTAAGTTCGTCTCGCTCTTGCTGCGCTGCAGCTTCTCCTTGTTCTTCATGGCGTCCAACATACCGCTATACGTCTCCAACTGATTAAGGAAGTTCTTGTTAGGCTTAATACAGCTGCGCCGTTTCTTAACGTGCTCTAGTGCCTGCTGGAATTCCCACTGATAAGCCTTCATTGCATACGCGATGACAACCGAGGCAGAGCGACTAACGCCCATCTTGCAGTGCACTAGCACCTTGGAACCCTCAGCCTTCGCCCGCGAGATGTAACGGAACGTATCGTCCCAATACTTAAGCAGGTTCGTCTTTTCGTCGTCGTACACGCGCACGTTAAAATACTCGAACGTACCCGGAAAGAAGTTGTCAATCTCCCGCGTAACGTTTAGGATATGGCGAACACTGGAATATAAAAAACGAAGAATGAGATTTTTGGTTTCAAAGACAACATATTGAAGTAAAATCCTTTAGGCATACCCGTTTTTCTGCAGCTCCTCAAGGTTGCTGGCGTTCCACTCGGATCCTAGATAGACGTGCTCGAATATTTTAGTTGGGGCATCCATCTGACCCAGAATAACGAGCATTTCGGCGTCAATGAACGATTTGTACTCGCCCAAATCCATGTCCAGGATTTCCTCGAGTCGTCCGCGTATATACTTGGAGGTGACCTCGTCCAGGTCCACCGACATCATGATGGCCTTTAGCTTCATCTTAATGACACTTTCGGTTTCCTCCTTTTCGGGGGGTCTGTAAATGCACAAGGGCAGATATTAACCAACAAAAGACTTATCGTATCGAGTACATACTTGTTTCGTATGGCATCAGGCGAAGGTGGTCGGCGGCTCTCGAGCGCGTCCATGGCATTCCACTCATTCAGACAGGATTGATCCGACTCGATGCGCTTCTCGTAGCTAGAGAGCCAGTCGTGGGAGGGTCCACTGGCATAGAAGTTGTTCTCACGAGCCTTCTTTGACACTTTGTGCAGCGTCTGCAGTGCGGACCTGTGGAAAAAGGGGGTTATAGTCGTGGCTGAAAAGGATTTAACCCTTGCAGGGCCACCTACCACATGGCCTGTACTGAGACCGGCTTGAAGATGTGCGTCTTTTCGTAAACTTTGACGCTAAAGCCGCTGCAAAAAGAAGATATGGAGGATCAGAACAATTGAGAGATTTGTTAATGTTCATCCGGGCTTACCCATCGCCATCGAGGTGGATTGTGGTGTCCGCGAGGATGGGCACCACAAGGCCAATTGTGGTCCGCTCATTGCAGTCAATGCCCAGCAGGCAGGACTCCTCCATGCCCGAGGTATTTTTGTTGTCGCCGGCCGCCGTCGCGTTCTCCTTGTCCGCTGATCTATCACATTTGCTATTGGCCTCGGAGGCAGTCTGTTCGACAGACAGTTGACGCTGCGCGGTGACTGCCGCAGTGGACGACGTTGATCCTGCGGTACCTCCAACCTTCGCGGAATTGTGACGCATGATCCGGTGGCGACGACGTTCGCTGGTTGCGCTCCGACAGCAGCTACGAGAGGCGATCACCAGATAGCGCGTGCGGTTGGACCGCTGCGACTCCAGCTTGACAGCCTTTTGGTACAGAAAGTTTTTAAATAAATATGTTGCTCTCATACTTCGAATCGAATACACACCATCTTGAGCGTGTCCTCGCGCTGCAGCAGGTAGAACATGGACTGCAGGTGAAGCTGGATGTCCGAGTTGTTGCTCTGCGTGCTGTTGCTAGAACGAGTGGAGTCAGTGCTAAGACGGCGCTCGCTCTGCGGCTGAAGCGGGATGTCCTTAAGGGCCAGGACCAGGGCGGTCCCTTTGCCGGCAAAGAAGCACTCGCTACGATCGTTGCCTTTGCTGTTGCCCTCGTCGTCCTCGGCCTCGCCATCCTGTAGACGTGTGGAAAGAGAGACATTTGTTTACTCATAGTCCAAATGGGCTTAATACTTCAGCCCTCACCCAGCGATGAATACTATATATATTGTCAAGCCAGAAACAATCTCGCATACTGATTGACTTTACACAAGGAACAAAGATACATTTCATCATAGCCTGAATTAAACTTTCAAGGGCAGAAATAAAAGCAGGCAAATTTCGCCTAGAAGTGCGCAGTTCAAAGATATTTAAATTCCGTCGTGTTCCGTCGGACCGTTAGGCCTAAAGCCCGAGTTCGAATCGCACGGCTGTTTCCAGAAAACTTTGTATTTTTTTTAGACTAATTACAATTTCTCAAAAACAACAATTTGACATATTTTACAAATCTGTTTATAAACGAAGTGTAAGATTAAATTGATCATCGCATAATATTAATTTTTCCTCTGTGCAGGCGGACGTCAAGGTCTCGCGAACTATTTTTGGGCGGTGGGGCGGCGAAGAAAATAATAATAAAAAAAAACAAAAACAAGCGGTAAGCGGAAAGCGACAAAAACGACTAATAAGGCAATGCAAAAGTCTGTTGAAAAATATAGACGTCGCGACGTCTGCGGATTTGCTTGGGTTACACCAAAAGCAGCGCTGTCGATGACGATGAGGCTGTTGTCGACTGGCCGCCCACACGCGAACGCCAAAAAACGTAAGCAACAAGCTGGCGGATGATAAACATTGGGCATGAAAACACACAAAGGATCATGGCTAAAAGCGGAACACGCACGAAAGAGAGCTTTTCCTTAATTGGCCCTCTCTTTGATGAGAGGGGTGACCAAAACAAAGCACACACGCACACGCGAGAGCCACTCTCACCGAATTCGAGCAGGAGCCAGCCACACTGGGAGAGCGCTGCACCGTCACCAGCGCCATTTGTTGTTGTTGCTGCCGCCGCTCCACCTCCTGCTCCTCCCCCGACGACGCCTCTTGTCCCTCGTGCTCCACTTGACGCAGATGACAATGATGATGCAGCGGTGTCCTTTCCAATCCCCTCCTGCTTCTGTACTTCCTTCCACTTGTGTATGACTGTGCGCGAGAGTGTGTGTGTTCAAGTGTTGTGGGCTAGGGCTACCAATGCATTTTTATGTCGCTGCCTGCTGGCCGTTGTTTTTGCACTCGGCTCCGCGTTCTCGTCCTTCGATCCTCTTGGTGGCCGCTTCCTGGACGTTCTCGCCAGGCGCTCGTCTTTAAGAAACGGTATGTCCTCACAATTGACAGACACTCACAATGCTAATAAATGGTAAATAGACTACACGAATTTTTCTTAAAAGAAAGACAGTGAGGACGCCATTTCTAATCGATAACACTAGTATCGCCAGCCAATCGTTCTGGCTGCGCAACTATCGGCAGCGAAAGCGATGTATCGAGTGCTGCACTGCGGAAAAAATCAACTAGGTTTGAAATAAAATCTAATGAAAGAACATTTACATATTTAATAACTTGAAAAAAAGAAAGCACAATGACCTTATTGAATTCTTTAGTCTAAGGCAAAATATTTATATGCTTCAATTAATTTATGATACATATGGTGTAATTGTGATATCTAAATTTTATTCAATGTATGTTATAAAAAATTGTCATTCCTTGCGGGGAATTTTAAAATCCATCTTTATATTAACTACATATTAAAATTTTAGCCAATTGGTACCAAAACTAAGGTTACTTTAAGTCGATATATATTATATGTCATCGAATAAAAAAGACAGCCCCCTAAGGTATGTAGTGTTGGAAAATAACAATAGCTCGAACAGATGATTGCAAAAATCAGCTGGCCAAACAACAACATAACAAGCAAAGCCCTCAGGTGGATCAAAAATTATAAAAATCGTCAAAAATCCAATAAAATGACGGCTTTTATTGAGGAAACAAAAAGTCTGCTGCCGCGGATTGCTTTCATAGCCTGCGGATGTTTTAGTCCACCTACACCAATGCACTTGAGAATGTTTGGTAAGTTAAACTCAATGGTGAAATTACCCGGTACATAATCAATACGATTACGCCGCATGTTTTTTCTCACAGAGATAGCCAAAGACCACTTCGAAATGCAGGGCACGCACAGAGTTGTGGGCGGCATTATCTCGCCCACGCACGACTCTTATGGAAAGAAGGGTCTGGCCTCCGCCTTGGACAGATGTGCTATGGTCAAGTTGGCCACGCAAAGCTCAAATTGGATCCGGCTTTCCGATTGGGAGGTGCATCAGAACCAGTGGATGCGCACTCAAGCGGTACTACAACATCACCAGAACTACATCAACAACCACATCAATTCCGGAGGAGCAGGAGGAGATGATGAGCCGGACACTCATCTGGCTGGATGGTTACCACGGGGGCTGCACGACAGTCGGGATCCGGTTCATTTGAAGCTTCTCTGCGGCGCCGATCTGTTAGAGTCCTTTGCTGTACCAGGCCTGTGGGCTGAAGCCGACGTTAGTTTTTGATTTGTTACCTAGTTTTTTTCTTAATATGATCTCCCCCAGATTGAGGACATAGTGGCTAATCATGGTCTGGTGGTAATCACCCGTGCCGGCTCAAACCCAGGAAAATTCATTTTTGACTCCGACATATTGACCAAATATCAGGTTACACATAAACTACCATCAGAAGCTTTTTCCTCATTAATATTTATAAATATTCCAGAACAACATAACTCTAATCACCAATTGGGTACCCAATGAAGTAAGCTCCACGTTGATTCGGAGGCTTCTAGGACGCGGTCAGTCGGTCAAGTATCTTCTAGACGATCTGGTGTTGGAGTATATCAAGCGCCAACGTTTGTTTAACTTTAAATCGTAGGTGGACTTCGTATTATCTCCCCTGAAACCTGCATGCCCACTCACAATTACCCATTTTTAACACGATACGTACACTGAATGAGGAACCCCCTTGATACATTTTACACAGCAAAAGATCACACTTAACGTGCCCCACTATCAGTTCTTTGTACAGTCTTATTTTGTGTCTCAAACTGCAGGCAGGATGCACCGGTTCCGCCCGAATGCGATTCCTGACGCGTTTTGCACCCGAAACAGAAGCACTCGTCGCCCACCCGTTGCCCAAGCCACCAGCACCGCAATTCGCACCACTTGCCACACCAGCACCATCCGCTGTTTGAGCCGTGGCGCCTCTTCATGGAGCGTGAGTGAGCCAGAGCAGTTCAGAGTTCAAGTTCCTATTTAGCGCTGATTCCTTTAATGCATGCTTATATTTTTCCAATCTTCGACCTTGTAAATACCTCTGTTAAGATTAGCTATTGTTATTCCGGTGGTCAGTGTGCGTATCATCTTACTTACACCGAAATGTTGCCAAAATGTAGTCCCATTAAACAATAACCTTAACTTTGTTGCTATTGTACTGACCACGCCCGCCTAACCCGTGGATTATAGTAAGTATATAACGGATGCAGTGCGTCCCACACATTTGCTCTTTAACCACGCCTACACGGACAACAACAAGAACGCAACCACCTACCCCATAGGCGACCATCTGGAGCAGGACATGGACGAGTCAGATACTCCTAGCCCAATATTGCAGCACACATCCACGTCACGTGTCTTCTGCTGTGGAGAGGCTACTTTACGGGGATCCAAACTGCTGCGATCGGGTCCTGGACAAGCGGTGCAGGTCATCACTATGCAGGCGGATGAGAAAGAGGAGGTGGGTATTGCTTTCTATTGAAATCAAACAAGAAGTTGTGAGAATCTACGTACATTGATTCTGATTTCTTAGATATATTTACAAATCTTAGTACAAGAATCCCTTTTCCAGAGCCAAGCGAAGAAACAGAAGATTTCCCAAGTGCAACTTTAGGAAGGACTGAAGGACGAATCTCATACGGATCGATACAGGAGCGCTGGAAGCTATTTGTTGATATTATATGTATGTGCACGTAAAATAAACACGTTCGTTACCGAGTTGATGGCTGCCGAGATTTTGTGGGTCACTCCACGGAGCGGAGGGGCAAGGCATTGAACTTCAAGCAACGTGCATTGACATTGCAGCCGTTGCAGGGCTTCCCTTTGGTGTCCGGTGTCAGAACTTGTTGATGGTTATATTCTTGCCTGTTGAGAGTGGCCACCATTAGTTTGAGCTTAGAAGAGGAACTGCAGTTGCTTACTTCCCTTGGAAGAGTCCACATCGCGAATGTTCTTTTTCCGTCGCCAGAATGTCAAGCCCGCGCCACGCCCCTCGCGCGCCCCATCCTTCGCGCTTCCCAAGCGGCGACCTCCTGTCCAGCTTACGCCTTCGCATCAGCACGACCAGCTGCCCTTCTTGCGGAGATCACGATTCAGCGCACTTCCTCACTTCCGGGCCTATGAGGATGAGCCCGAAAACCTTTCGCTTTTCATAGCCATCCTGTACGTGGTGGATTTGTTCGGCATCTTTCCATTTGTCACGCTGCCAGCAATGCTGGTGAAACTGGGATACTTCGGTGTGCTGCTGGTGCTGTCCATAATCTTCCTTCAGATATATACCTCCTTCCTGCTGTCCCAGTGCTGGACAATGGCTGAGCTGCTAGATCCTTCTATTCAGCAAAAACGCAACTATCCATATGCTGCGCTGGCGGAGTTGGCTTACGGCCCCTACATGAGTCTGCTGGTGTCAGTGCTCCTTGATCTTAGTATATTCGCAATGGCGGTGCCCAGTGTGGTGATGGCCGCCGAGAACTTGGAAGGCGTAGTGCTGCGCATGAGCGGTGGTCAATACAATTTCTCATACTGCTACTGGGCTATTATAGTCGGTTTGGTCATCTGCCCGCTCATGTGGCTGGGCAGTCCTAAGCATATGCGGTAAGACAGGGTTCCAGAATGTGGTTAATGAAGTTACTCAAAACTAATAAATTTTATATTGGTATAAATTTTATAATTTAAATACCACTTTATAAATGCCCTAGGGGTCTGGCCATCATCGCTGTTTGTGTGATGATCGTTATTGTGGCGCTGCTGTGGTACTGCCTCTTTGCAGCTCCAGCGATTGCAACTCCATTTGAGGGCATCTCTATGGGTGGGTACTAGAATGTTGGGATAAATTATGGATATTACTTTGTTTATTATCCTCAGAGTTGCCTGGTTTCCTTACCTTGCTGAACAGTTACAGCATTTTGGCCTTCCAGTTTGACATCCATCCCGTCCTGTTGACACTTCAGATCGACATGAAGCACAAATCGCAAGTGTCCTGGGCTGCCCTCATCGGAATAGCCAGTGAGTAGTTGTCCATAATCAAGTCCATCTGATCATATCACTATTTTCCGATTAGTTACTTGCAGTGTGGCTATCTTTGGATCTATCATAGCAGCCTACAAATTCGGATCAATGATAGCGAATAATCTGCTGCAGACCTTGCCCACCAGTGTTCCCTTCTATGTCATGCTGATCCTGATGGCCCTACAGCTTTGTTTCTCAGTCACAGTGGCCAGCTCAGCCATGTTCATGCAGATCGAGAACTACTTCAAGCTGCCGGAATGTAAGTCCATCAAAGCTTTTAAATTTATAAATTTAATAAAATCAACTTTATATAAAGTGAACAAAATGCTACCTATAATAGCTATAAAATTAAATGGAAATGTGACTATAAATTAAATTATTGAAAGAGACTGCTAATAGTTTCCGTCATAACATTTTAAACTACATTAATCTTAATCAAGGTTAGATATTAAAATATATTTTATATTTCATTTATAGCCCTCTCCTTCAAACGCATGCTGATCCGCTCCTCAGTGCTGGCATTGGAAGTCCTTGTGGCGGAGTTTGTACCCAGTTTCGATGCTCTGATGGATGTGGTGGGTGGAACCATAACCGGACCGCTGGTCTTCATTCTTCCGCCACTTTTGTATCGACGCATCCGGCGGATGGAACGGGTGCATCAGCGGATTGCAGCAGAGGCCAGCTATGGTAGCCTGCCATTGGATCTAAACTATGACCCTGTTGACCTTGAGATGGAACCCCTTCTAGTGACCACACCACCGATTTCCCCCCGCGGCTGCTGGCTAAGAATGGTGCGATTTCTTCATCGCCTAGAATGCGACGTATCCTGTACAATGGCAGTGCTCCTCTTCGGCCTGCTGGCCACCTTCCTGTCCACCTATCTGAATATATTCAGCCTGCCCGATCTGTTTACCAATAACTCACCCTGCCTGAGCAATCTTACTAAGCACTTTTGAGGTTCGACGTCTTGCCCCCCCGCGTCAATAAAAATTAAAACCTCTGCCAAGTTTGATTACCGTCCTTCGGCGGGTTCAAAAACCCGAGTTGCGGCTTCATCTTTAATGCAATGCTTAAAGGTGTTTTGTATAACACAAACTACAAATTTAATAAATCTATTATATTACACCAAGACACGCACGTTCCCAGTGTTTTCGAGTGGCTGTTTAATTAGTTAAGCTTTATTAAAACATCGCCAAAGCCAAACTATTTGTCCGGGAATTGCACACGCGCATCATTTATCATCTTTTTCGGTTGCCCAGTAAATGTTTGCCTTTTTGTTTGCTAAATTTATTTAACCATTCTGTACACACTTTGTATTTGTTGTTGTTTGTTATTATGGTTAGTTTTTGTTTTTTTTTGGCCAACAAATTTGAGACAAGATGAGTTCGAGCTTCTCCAGGTGGAAAGTAAACAGGCTGATAACACCTTTCGCAGCCCTCTTTTTTGTATCTTCTGTATCTTTTGTATCTGTATCTATGTATCTATTTTGTTGGAAATGCCGGGCAGCTTAGCTCAGGGTTTAAATTTAAACACACGAAGCTCAAGAGATTCTTGTGCGGAGATGCTGCTTGGAGATTCTTTGGCCGCTAAGCAAATTTAATTTATTCTTCGGCATCTGCTTGGTTTTGCTTCTTATTTTTTTTACATTTTTTTTTATAAAGTTTGTATTTGTATTTGCGTATTTCTATATAATATACGTAATATGAAGGTATACAATTTTTTCCCGGCATTCATTTCCGTCTTCCATAATACGTTTTTAAGCGCGTTCCATGTTCCATTCGGTCGGGAGATGACTCAAGGCATTGTGTTGATAACCTCCCCGAGTCATCTAGCCATAGACATCCAATGCAAAAACCGCAACTACAACAACAACTCAAATTATTATTTATTTTTTTCCATTCTCGGTGAGTGATTATTTATTAAAATTAATACCCAATTGTTTGATAGGAACGGAACGGAACCCAATCCGTTGTCGCGTCATCACTTGCCGGCCACCTGCGGCTGGGATGCTTTTATTGGCTCGTTATTCTCAGTTTTCCGTTGTCAGTTTTCAGTTGGCTCTTTGATTTTAATGGCCAGGGCCCAAAGGTACGCACTCAGCTATTCGCCCTTTTAATTGCGACGAACTTAGGGTTTACTACCTTTTGGGTTTGGGGTTTTTTTTTTTGGTCATTTAGTTTTTAGCCCAAGTTGTTTATGCCTTAGCCGCTATTTTTTTTTTTTATCTTTTGTTTGCCACATTTCAATATGCAGAAGGTCTCGTTTGGCACGAACTCTGTGATCCGCGGATGATTCACGCTGGAGGCTAATACAAGTACTTGCCGTACCACTCGGACATGGATCCGTGGAGTTGCCAAGTGCAGCATAAGTCGTGCTAATTGATTATATCGCTGGTCCATTGACAAGCGTTTAGGTAGTTTATCGATTTATTTATTTTGTCTCCATTAACAAATTACACAAACATGCATAATTAATAGTTATTAAATGCTGTTGCTCACTCAGGCCACACAAATAGAATTTTTAAGATTTTTTGATGATCGTTTTGGGTTTATAAATCTATCTTCTAGATATTTAAAGAGCTGGTTATGCCTATTTAGGGTTTCATGACATTTTGAGATGTGGTAAGAATAGTTCTTATATTTTTAGAACCTTAAGAACCTTTTAAAGGGCCAACTTTTTGACAGTAATTTCTCTTCTTACCAAGAGATCTCCGGACAAGTCCCGTCTGATTAAACAGCCATTGAGTGGTCGACAGAGTGTCGCCTTTTTGTACTTGAGAAGGGGAGTTCGAAATCGAAGAGCCGTTGCCAATTTGGCTTGGGGCTCAAACGATGGCTGTCAAAAACTGATTATACGGTGGCAATTTTCAAGTGGCCGACACAAAGGCTTAACCCAGAATTTAATGATATTTAAATTGCAAGTTCCTTTTGGCAAATTAGAAAAAAACGAAAATCCAAAACACACATTGTCGAAATTTTAGAGGGTAGAGCAGTACAAATAACAAAAGACCGAGAGCTTTGGGCATAAAATTTCACTTTTCATTTCCTATTGACCCCGATTCCCTGGACGCACTTCTTTCTAATTTTTCTTCTGTTTTTTTTTTTTTTTATTATTTTTTTGTTGTTGGCCCCCACCATTCATCCCATCCAATTCCTCTGAAGTGCCCGCAGTTCTTCGAGGTTTTCGCTCCCTACTCGTCTCCTAATCGAATTTCGGATCTGGCGTTCGATCGATCGAACTGTAACGTCTTTCAAATGGCCATTTATGGTGGTTACTTATGGTTACTTCTGGTGGTGGCCGCCGCCGGTTGCTTTCTGCATCAATTGAATACTCATTAGGCACACTCACACTTGCAGATCGCGTTGCCCAGATTCGGTTTCTCGTGCCGAAATGATGACTTTTTGGTTTTGCCCATAATCAGCACAAAGTGTTTTTCAAGTCTTTTTCGGGCTTTTCTCTGAATTTATATATTTATTTATTTTTTTTGATTTTTTTCAAACTGCTGCATTGTTTTGCATGTTGATTTGCCTATCAGTCATGTCCCCGGGCTAAACTTTGTGATTTTTGAAAGAAAACCTATTTTTACTTATGGTTGAGGTACAATTTTCGAGTAAAAGTTTTTCTTTCTTTTTCTTTTTGCTTTCAGCTCATAAAAACATATTAATTAACACATTTGACCAACATTTTGTAAGGCAGTAGGGCGCGAAAATAAAAGCTAAATAAAAATAAACTTAAAACGCACCTACAACTTGTTTTTTGTTTATATCATTACCAGCGCTAGGCTTAGTAGTAGCTTCTGAAAGACAACTGAAAATAAACAATTGAAATTAATATAAAACGCATTTTTACATAATAAATGAAATAATATGCTAAGGCGTTAAGAATATTGTTTAAAAATAAATCGATGACGCTATAAATGATTAACTCTTAGACAATACAAATTGTTTGCTAATAGACATGGCCAGCGTAGACGTTGGATTTATGGAGTGAGGGAGTCCGGGGCTTAGGCAGAGACGAGTCTATCTAGGGGCTAGAGATTCACATCGCTTTATTCACATAAATTATAATATTTGGCGAGCACAAAAACGTGAGCCATAACAACAACGGCAATAACAACAATAATAACAACAAATCGAGACTCGATAATAAGCAAATAAATTATAATTATACACAAGTTCATAAAATGTACAGCCAAGGACGTTGAAGGCCATTCAACGAGTGTTTTGGGGGTTGTACGGAACCGATTCCATGCCTTCCCTTGAATGACCCATCATTGGAAGTCTCCACTCTAGTCTAGCCCTCCCCCGGAGTCATCAGCCACCTGCTCCACCGTTGCGGGGGCTTCTTCTTCCTCAAGCTCATCGACATGCTAATCAAGCCGCACAAGCATTAAGTCAGATTGATGCTGGCCCATAAATATGGATGCTACAGCAGAGAGGAGGAGAGAGCGAGTACACAGGGGGGAGGTTTTGGGTGGCTATATAGATATATAGCCATATAGCCAAGTAAAGGCTGCAAGGCCGCAGCCAAACTGTAAATAGCTTGCAGCTCATTACCATTAGCCAGATCGCAGTTGCCTGTTGCCTGTTGCCTGCTGCCAGTTAGTTGCCTGTTCCTCGTTCACGGCAACTAGCATCCTCAGTTTATTGTCTAAAAATAAACGCCCGACCACTTGGACTTGGCTTAGTTCGGTTCATGCTAAGAGCATGAATCTTGGCCAGAACCACTGCCTGAGCCGTGTCTTCCTGCTTCTGCCCGTTGGTGTGTGTTTGTTGTTTTATTATTATTAATTAGTACGGCTCAGTGGAAGGACGTAACCGGGTGTAGAATTTTGACAGGAATGCTGCACTACAAAAATGTTTTTTTTTTTATTTTTTTTATACCATTAAGAAAAGTTATAAAGATAAGTATATTCAAGTAATAACTTAAATGGCCAACTATAAACTCTGATCCAGATTTAAAGAAATATTTTTTAAAAGGCTTTTTAGAGGTTTTTAGAGTCTAAACTATATCTTAAAAGCATAATAATTATTTATTATATTTTCTGGCTTCGTTTTTAAAGGCTTTCTGAGAAAAAATTAAAATTTTCCTACATTTTTCTTTCTCTGTAAGCTGGCGAGGCCGTATCCCTAGCATGGGGTGTTGGCACTTTGGCGCCTCTCATCAAGGCTTCCAGACATCGGCTAGCTGCAGCTGCCTCATCCTCCACACTCCAGCCTCTTGTTTCAGTCTTGGCCACATCCTCAACATTTGGCCAAAGACAGCAGCCAATTAATTGGCATTGGCTGCCTCCCAACCCAACAGCACCTAAGCCCCCATACCATACCATACCATACCATATACCGATACCATACCGATCCATACATAAACCCTATTCCGAACCCTAAGCAGGAGAACCTGGCTTTAATGGCAACGCTTAGGAGATGCTATAAATAAAACTATGAGTATCTGCTGGCCACTTGGTACCTCATTTCCATTGTCAATCTGCGGAAGGCCCCTCGTTCTTAGAGCGCTCATTAAAGAGCCAGCGATCGGACAACGTTGACTTTTTATTGATGCAATCAAAATGTGGCAAGAACCAAAACCTTTTAAGTGTCTTCAAAATGCAGCCAGCGGCAATTCCTCACTTCTTATTACCGGCCATGCCCTTCTAGGAATCGCCATTGGTATTGGCGAAAAAACCCAAAATGGTATGGCCAATATAGACACCCCGTTTCCTTTAACTTAGCGCACAGGAACCATAAAACCTACGATCCGGCATACGACTAAGAAGATGAACTTAGTCCGGTCCAACTAATCAGATGCTGAGTGGCTGTTAATGATGGATACAGGAAATGCCAATTCTCTGGGTTAAGTGGTAAACGATGAGATCGCTAGGAATGCCTCGGCAAGAAAGGAACTCTTCTGCTTAACTCCCCAAGACTATTTTACCACTCCCCATTCTCCCAAATCATAAAAGTACCACAAAAAGCTTTCATTTCACACAGTTCCTATAAAAGACCAGCTGCTGCTGGCCTATCCCAATTTCCGACACTCTCTGGTCAGATTTATTGTCTCCAGTTTAGTCGGTGATTTATTGTAATGTCAAAAGCCGCTGCCATTATGCGTACCACCATCACAGCCGTATCAAATGGAAATGGAAATGAAATTAGAATTAGATTTAGAATCAGAATTAGAAGAAAGAACGGATCGGAATAAAGGAGAATAGGATGGGGCACTTGTGGCGGCTTTAACTGCCGCTACTTCATTTCGGGTTGAAAAAAACAATAAACAGAAGCGACCGGGACTGGGCCTCTAAATTAAGCAGATTATTCATAACTTTTATAGTGCTGGGACCGGGAGAGGTTGGCGGTCCCCTTGCTGATGATTAGATAAAAGGGCACTGAGGGAAAAGTCTCTAGAAATCTATAACAAAATATGGGTAAAAATAATCACATTTTGATAAGATAGAACTTCAGATTTAAAGATATTAGAAGTACAGATATAATCATCATTAATAGATGTCCAGGAAGCTATAATCCATCCACTGTGATTCACTATTAAAACCTAAAACTAAACAAACTCTGTTAGTCATGCCTGCTGTTTACTTTTCACTCTTAATACAAGTCTACCGATCTTAACTAGTTTTTCCGAGTGTTCATTGCCGCACGTTGACCGCGACGAACGACCCAGACTTAGGATTAGGCCCACTAAAAGGGGAGGGGTAGTTGTTGGCATCAGCTATTTGGTGTTTGGTAGTATCTAGTAAGTAGTTGGCAGTGGAGGGTTACTAACCCTCCGCACATAACTACCGGCAGCGAGTGAAGAGTTCTCAGCACTGGAATTATAATTAAAAGCGGAGGAGACATCGGCCTCTGGGGACTGCGAGATTGGGGACTGGGGTCCATGGCTGAATTAGAGTTATGTTTCCTTAATGAGTGCCACTGCCGTCAACAACAACAACAAACAGTGACCGCTAAGCATCTTTCAATAGGGCCTGAGAAGATCACCGAGCTTGGCCAGGGTTCACTGAACTTTTTGGCAACCAGCCAGCGCTTAGATCTCTGAACCGGCCACTTTCCCAATTCCAATCCCAATTCCATGCCTGATCTGATCCCAAGGCATGGAACCTAGAAACCAAAGAGTCTGAAAAACCAATCCACTGCACAGAACACTCGAATCGGGCGATAACGCCTCTAACTGTAAAAATATTTACAGATTTCTGTCTGTCTGGCTTTGTTTTTCCCCTATTTATTGGGGCTTGTTCGGGCCAATGTTTGGGCCATAAATTTGCATATGTTTCGATTTTACATTTGGAAATGCTTTGCGAATTGGTAGGTGCTTCGGATGCTGCTGCCGGGTGGAGTGTTTACATAACACTAAAAGACCGTTCTCATGAATGAACCGTAAAGCAAACAGCCCGAGGTTTCCTAAAGCCTTAACAGACTAAGACAAATATCTAAGGCACTCAACAAAAATGTTGGATCTTAAGAAACTTTTTGATCATTTCCTAAAATAAATAAAATATTTAAACAATATTCTTAACACTTTTTAAAGATTTCCTTAGGGATTATGATAAATGTATTTCCCATCCTAACATCAGCGAATCTATTTTTGGTATTTCCATATATAAACTTGTCATTAATTTACATTGAATGACCCAAGTCTCGGCCAATCGATCATCGTTTTTTTTTGCGTGTGTGAATTTGCATCAGTTTCGACAGGCGAAATTAATCAAAAGTTGGTGGCACAGGTAGAGAGTCACAGGTAGATTCTATAGCCCGGTAGCGTTTACGCTCAATTACTTAGACCCTCTGACATATTTACTCAACAGGCCACAAAGATGCGCCGCCCCTGAGGCGTTCTAATCAAAAGTTTTAGCTATTTGGGATTTGGGGCGCCGTCGTCATCATTTGGGCGTCTGCGTGAGCCATTTGTGTGCCAATTGCCAAATGCCAAAATGCTTAAAGCCGAATAACGTTTGTCAAATTCCCCCCGTGTGGCCATAAATCAGCCGCGAGTGCCTCGAATCCGGCGACTGGTCGCTGTAATTGTCGCATTAGAAACGCCAGCAAAACGCGCGAATAAATCAACTAAGCCCAGTAAATGCCCAACACCCACCGTACGTGGTTCCCCTCTATTCTCAGGTATCACTTCTGTGTTACGAGAATCGCACTACTGTTCTACCTTTTCAAATTTACATTTCTAAGCATTAACAGTTTTACACTTGAGAAAA